GCGTTAGACTAATATTGTCAATTTTAAAAAATATATATTTTTATTTTTACAAATTATTATACAAAAATTAAATCCATCTCTCACAAAATTAATTGCATAATTTAATCCTAAAATCCGAAAGTACAATGGATGAGCTTTGGACAAAACCATACCTTTGGCGTTTACTTGGCTCTGAAGGCGTATTTAGGAATTGTTATGAGTAAAAGTTTCCGTAAATGACTTGAGTAAATCATGTTACGCTTGACTTGTCGGTGGATTTCTTACTTTTCAGATACTAGTTTGGCGAGGACCTGTTTTGTCATTGAAATACATACCAGTCTCCAGAGATTCAAGACTCAAAAAGAGCTTACAAAAGAAAAGAGTTCAACCTGATAAGAGCACGCAGGATGGATTCCTTGAGGTGGTTACCGTGCTTTCTGTTCTTGTTGGTCTTGGCTCAAGCCTTGCTTTTAATCACAAGAAGAAAAGGAAGGACTGACAAGCGTCCCCCAGGTCCAGCCCCAATTCCGATCTTCGGGAACCTCTTCCAGCTTGGTAACAATCCCCATAAATCCCTTAGTAAGCTTGCCAAGACTCATGGCCCCATAATGACTTTGAAACTCGGCCAAACAACAACTGTGGTTTTTTCCTCAGCAACCTTGGCCAAAGAGATCCTCCAAAAGCATGACCTGGCCTTCTGTAACCGAACCATTCCTGATGCCGTCCGAGCCCTTCAACACCACGAAGCTGGAATGCCCTGGATGCCCGTTTCAACCACATGGAGAAACCTTCGGAAAATCTGTAACCTGCATATTTTCGCTAGTCAGAAACTTGACGCGAATCAATACTTGCGACACAGGAAAGTACAAGAACTCCTCGCTGATGTTCATGATAGTTTCCGTATGGGCGAAGCAATAGATATTGGTCAAGCCGCTTTTAAAGCTGCGCTTAATTTGATGTCCAATACTGTTTTTTCTATCGATTTGGCTGATTCGACTTCTGATACTGCTCTAGAGTTTAGAGAGCTTGTGCAGTGTATCAAGGAAGAGTTGGGAAAACCCAACCTTGGTGATTATTTTCCTTGTCTTTTTGGAAATCTTGACCTGCAGGGTATAAGGCGTGGCATGACAATTCATTTTGGGAAGTTGATGGATCTTTTTGATAGAATAATCGATAAGCGGTTGCAGCTAAGAACAATGAATGATTATATATCGACCAATGATTTCCTTGATAATCTTCTCAATTTTAAGGAAGAAAACAGTGCAGAGCTTGATAGAGATCTCATCAAACATTTGCTTCTGGTTGCAACATTATCTCATTTTCATTCCTTTTCATTTTACTTCTTGTTATAGTTAAATTATTAACGTCATTTTTGATTTGTCAACAGGATTTGTTTACAGCGGGAACTGAGACAACTGCCAGTACATTGGAATGGGCAATGGCGGAACTACTTCATAATCCAAAAGCATTACTGGAAGTTCAACGAGAACTTAAGCAAAGTATTGGCGAAAGGACTCTGGTGGAGGAATCTGACGTTGCTTGTTTACCTTATTTGCAAGCAATTGTCAAAGAAACTTTGAGGTTGCATCCACCAGTTCCTCTGTTACTCCCTCGCAAAGCTGGAGAAGATGTTGAAATCCATAACTTCATTGTTCCAAAGGGTGCACAAGTGCTGGTCAATGCATGGGCTATAGGTAGAGATCCTACCATCTGGGAGGAGCCTGACTTATTTCTCCCAAAGAGGTTTCTAGGGTCAGAAGTGGACATCAGAGGTAGGGATTTTGGATTCATTCCGTTCGGTGCAGGACGACGAATTTGCCCTGGATTGCCATTGGCGATGAGAATGGTGCACCTAATGTTGGGTGGACTTATTCATTCATTTGATTGGAAACTTGAAGATGGAGTTACGCCCGAGAGATTAGACATGGAGGATAAGTTTGGCCTTGTTTTATATAAAGCTCAACCGTTAAGAGCTATCCCAATTTCAATTTAACGATATTGTGTTTGTTATTTTAATTATCGATATATACCATGTATTTCAATAATTTTGAGTAACAGCTTTCATCAGTCAAGTTAGAACCATGATATCATCTCGAACTATATATGGGCTCTCTTTTGCCCATTGCTTTTTGTCAACAGTGGATGCTCCCAACTGTAGCTATTCGGTTGGGCTTATTTTGAAAGAAAAAATATTACTCAAAAAGAGAATTTTTTTGCTTTTGGTATTTTCACCCACGTAATTGTGTAGAAGCCCAGATGGACCTCGCACGTGGGGAGACATCCAACATAGATTGCAAAAAAACATGACTCATCTTCTCCAATCTCTCTTGCCCATGTCTGCTCTCACTCTGCCGAAACGACTTGTCGTTTCCTCCTCTCTCACTTTACTTCTTGACCGTTGCACAAGATCAAAAAAGCCCTTATACTCCAGAATGTCGGCCACGTCATCAACTCCCCTGACTCACTCCATCTCCTTGCCGAGTCAACTCGGCCAACCCGTCCAAATTGTTGCCTCTCCTGGCCTATCCGATTCCGAGTTCAGGTGAATTGCCCTTTTTTTCTTGTCTCAGTTTAAGTCTTTGATTTTTTTAAAAAAATTTATAGCTACGGTTTCTTTTTTTTATTAATCATAAATATGAACTTACAGGAGTGCTATTGAGTCATCTTTATTTAAAAAATGGTTGAAGAATCTGGAGAGTGAAAGTGGGATTTTGGCTAATGGGGACATGACTTTAACTCAAGTTCTTATTCAGGTTTCTTCCCTTTAATTATCCAGCTTGGGTCTTTGTAATTTTTTTTTTGAGTATTTTTTACTTTTCTTGTCTCTATCGTTGTTGTATTGAGAATTTTGGAAGAATTGTTGCTTATATTGATTATGAGAGACCATGCCTGGTGGGTTGTATGCAAAATTTGAACTTGCTTAGCATTTGGGCTCTAAAGTATAAACTTTTTGCCTTTTCGTTTGTAATGTGTAAAAGAAATAATAAATGTAGCCAATAGGACTTCCTCTTCTTCGCTTTTATAACTTCTGGTTAATGGCTTGCTTTGATAACAGGGAGTTGATATGTTTGGGAAGCGCATTGGCTTTCTCAAATTCAAAGCAGATATTATTGATAAAGGAACAGGAAAGAAGGTATTTGATCATCTTCATGCATAGCTTTTCAGTAGTGATTCATATCAGAGTATGATTCTTTATGTAATTGATTGAATGCTGAAATTCATTATTGGATTTAGCTTTTTTTGGAGTATATATTACAACTATTTCAGCGGTCTACATAATTCATTCATGCTATTGCTTTGTTTCTTTATAAACTAAAACATTCTTAGGTTCCAGGTATAGTATTTGCACGAGGACCTGCTGTAGCTGTGTTAATTCTTTTGGAGTCAGATGGCGAGACTTATGCTGTTCTCACTGAACAGGTAGGGTGATGTTTGCATTGAATTTTTTCTTAGCAGTTTGTCAAATATGATACAATTGAGCATAGAATTAGTTCAGTACCCGCGACTTAAGTACTTTACTGTTTCTATTACATCCAAACTTAATGAATCTTAATGCTTCTCTAAGGCTAGGGTCCCCACAGGGAGGCTTGTTCTGGAACTGCCTGCTGGAATGTTAGATGATGATAAGGGTGATTTTGTTGGCACTGCAGTTCGTGAGGTCTCTCTCTCTCTCTTGTGGCAGGATGTGCACAGACACAAAATGTATTATATATTTGTTTACATATGTATATCTTCAATTTTTCTCTAGTTTTCTGTGGGCATCTGTATGTTAGTGATTTTACCAAACATGAAGTTCATCAAATGATCCACTTTAGGTGATGGTCCTTAAAAATATGCCATTATTAGGTCAAGGGTCATATAGTAGAGCACTGGAGGAACATACTATTCCAGCCTTCGCTTTTTCCTTTTCCTCTTAATGCATTACTCTTCCATATCTGAGTCTCTGTTATGAGACCATTTTCCCCCTTTATGGGCTGTTCTTATAGATTATATTCCGGCGTATGTTATTTTTATGGATATGCTGATGTTCAACATCTGCCATTCTGTTGATACAACATACAATTTTGGACAGGATATATTGTTTTGTTTAAAATTCCCTAGGGTAGCCTTTTTTTACCCCCATTTTGTTATTCAAATGATTTTTTAATGAGTTGAAACTGACAGGTTGAGGAGGAGATTGGTATTCAATTGAACCTGGAAGACATGGTTGACCTCACAGCCTTCCTTGAGCCATCTACTGGATTCAAAGTTTTTCCTTCTCCGGTATGTTGGCATCTACCATGTTAAAAGTCCAACAAGCATGACTTTGAAACAGGATTATTAACTACAAGTAATTTTCATTATCATGTGAATTTATGATGTGGTACTATTTGTTTAGAATTTTTGCATTACATTTCCAGAGCCTCAAAGGTTCTGATATTTTTTCTTGAGAATACTATGTCATTTTTTGGGCACATTTCGTGTTGTGACTTGATTCAGCTTAGTAGCAAGATAATTATTTCTTGTCTTTCCATGATAGGGAGGATGTGATGAAGAAATTGGCCTTTTTCTGTACAGAGGGTGTGTTGATAAAAACATTATTACACAGCTGCAAGGAAAAGAAACAGGTCTTCTTGAACATGGTGAGCTTATCAAGGTTTGTGTTGTTCCTTATGAGAAACTTTGGCGCATGACACCTGATGCAAAGACTCTGATGGCAATTGCTATCTATGAAATGGCCAAGAAAGAAGGATTATTACCTCATAAATCCTAACCTGCAAAGGTCTGTCATTGCTGGCTCCTTTTTGTTGTATGGCTTGATCAGTCATTTTGAGGTCATGGAACCAGGGGCAACAGTTGTCTTAGAAATCAAGTTATTTCTTGTAGCCTGTATTAAGACGTGTAAAACTGTCTGATGGAGCATAGGTTTTGTGTCACATGTTGACGAATTTACTTCTATCACAGGAAAATAAATTTTACAATAATTGGTGCCTATTTTCAGTTATTGCGTGTGGTGATGGCGACAGTGAGTTGAAGTATTTTATCCTTGCAGTAGAATGAGATGGATATTTGCATGCTTATTAAGCCACTATTACATGAGCCTTCAGCCACACAGGTAAACAACCTTAAAAAGCAATTCAGGGTTTTTGAATCTCTCAGTGTTTTCACCCTTTTACCCATTGTTTGGCCTTTTATGAGTAGTGTATCAGGTGCTTGCCTGCTAATATCCTAGGAATCCTCATTCCAGCATTAGATTTTATTTTCATCCCACTTAGGAGTATTGGTTAATGCCTAAGTAACAGGCATTGGGGGCTCCATTTGTTGGAAAATTGTGGCCTCGACACCTTCCTGAGAGTTTTAGCTTGTTTTGTATGTTTTTTTCCCCTAAATGACCAGGATATGAAACTGAAGCCCGAGGGAATTTCGTTTTGTTGGGGGCCGAAAGGAAAATCCTTTTATACCGGATTATATCCAATAATGTATTTAGTTCAAAGTCAAGAAGACACTGTTGGTTATCGTATATTGTTTATAATTATCTTCTACGACTTGTATGAAAAATCGAACTCCTATCATTTTCCTGGAACCTTTGTGAGTCACTATTATTTTGAGTTAGTGCAAGATTTGTCATTGGTTGCAGCTAATGCTAACATTTGAACTTAAAACAATCCGGTTTATTTCCTCAACAACCAAAACATCACTGCCACATTGTCTAGTTATAAGGTTTGAGCAACTTTTTCCATTGTAATTGAAGCATAGAGCTGACACGTTTTATTGGATGGAATTTCATCATCGCCTCTGAGATCATGCCTAGAGCTCATAAAGACAACAAGAGATTATGCAAACAAGGATCCTTATACCAAGGATACAGGTACCTACAAGTAAATACACTGAGTTTGAAAAAATCCTCAGACCTTACTAGTGACAAAATCTTTGTCACTTGCTTCCCAGATGGTGGTGCCATCACATGCACATATCTTCTTGTAGTTTTCGCCAACTCCAGCACTTCGGGCAATCACTGCAGCTGTCCGGCCTTGATCTGATTTATCTTCAGTCTCATATACCACTATTGACCGCCCAATGAGATCAGCAACTCTGAGCTTCTGTTTGACACCGGTGTAAAAGGCCTCCCCGTTCTTATCCACATCAAGAGTTCCCAGGTCGCCAAGTGGCTGCGTAAAGCCAAGACAAGGTGTTTTTTGAATCGAAGGCAGGAATAATGATTTCATTATAAGAAGGAAATAACTAAAAAAACCACCCACAAAGCAAAGACCAGGTTAAAGAATGAAACATGCCGTCATGATTGTGTGCACAAATAGATAACAAGATGATGGCTTGGAATTAAACAACTATGTAGTCCATAAACGAGATCAAATGCCAAAAATAATGGAAAAATCTTTCAAAGTTAAAAAAAGAGTTTGAAAGGGATCTAATCACGCTGTCCACATGCACATGATTACATATGAGTATCAACAACTATATTATAGCATGGAATCATCTTGGACAATTTGAATTCATATATATTCCGATTAATCAATAAAGAGTGATGGCAGGGCAGATTAAAAGAATATTTTGGGAGGATTTTTTTAACATAATTTCATTCATTAGGGAAATGAAAAAATTTATTACAACATGAATTTGCAACAAACCATTTGAAAATCACATTAAGCCAGCACAATGCCCTTCCTTTTTAGTTGTACCCCTTAGATAGCACTGACAGGTCCATCAAAACAGTAAGCACCATCTTAAACAGGTAAGTGGTACTTAGAGTCTTGATACTTGCACTTTGATGATTACTAAAATGAAATTACAACGACACACACACACACACACACACAGAAATCATTAAAATGACAGGAAAAGGCAGTGCATGTCAGGTCAATTGATGATTTATGGAAAAAAAAAAAAAGAGAAATATGAAATACAGTGATGGCAGAAGTTGGAAAAAAAAACCTCTTTATCAGTTCCTTCATTTGAAAGATTAAACACTTTCCCTGTACTTGCTGCACCTCTTGTCAGATCACCGAATTCATTAATAGACCAACCGTGTTTTCCAGGTGACAAACCACTAAAATTGGCTTCAATCCTAGCCAATTCCATACTCACTTGACCCAATCTAACAACACCAAAAATTTCTGGACCTTTGAACTCAGCAACAGCAGCAGAAACTAAAAAGTCTGCAAAAGGAAGGACAAGGGTAATAGTTTGAGAAAATTGTAGTTGTCGTTTGCTGACATGAGCAGTTTAATCTACTCCATCCTATGAATCGCATGCCCAGAAATGTGCTTCATAAAGACTACTTTTAAAGCTTTAAGGTTCTAGGAAGTGCGTATTGCTTGTTTCCTTATTTATTCATTCAAAGCTCCAAGTGAACTGATTGCCAAGGAAGAGATAGGTAGCAGCCTTGGTTAATTTACATAGGAAATGGAAACATTTAAGTAAACCATATCAATATTAGTAGCAATTAACAAAACATTTCAGAAATGTCCAGTACTTTCATTAACAAGCTAAAGTGAGCATAAATTTTATTCAATCACAATATTTTTTGCACCGGTTGGCATCATTGGCAAACTCATAATAATGACCTAAAACAGGTATCGCAACCAGCATGTCTATTCTTTCCTTCTTTTGGAAAGATGTAAAACGTTGGATGCTATCTAAGTCATGAAATACTAAGAACAAATAAGACTTTTCATTCTGTCTATTATCAGCATGGATAAATGAGGCAAGCGTCAAATTATATAGGTTAGCACTTAATATACCCAACACAATTACAAGTTAGATTGACAAACCTTCTAGCACTCCTTGGCCTATTAACCTAGCTTTTCGACCAGTCTGCTCCAATGCCTCAGTCATGGTTTTCACAGGCGTGGAACCGAGTATTCTCACCACTTGATTGCTCAAGTCCACTTCCACACTCTTGACTCCTTTGCATATAAATACAAAACATACAATAATTACACAACTAAAGCAGAAATTAACGTGAAATAAAAATTAAAAAATATATCCATTCAAAGCCATAGAAGATTGGTCATGCACAAAATAATTGCTATTGCCTTACCATTAACTGTTTGTAACTTATTCTTGACCGCATTAACACAACCTTCACACTTCATATCCACCATGTATTCCGTCTGATACCACAATCAAGACAAAATTTTCAGCATGTCAATAAAATTTAAAGGATTAATCAACAATAACTATCCAATCATGTTGAAGAAAAAAAACTTAATTTACAACTAGAATAAGCTTTGATAACTGAATTAGAATAATCAAGATGATTCACTTACAAGGAGGTCAGGCAAGGAACCATCCTGCAAATTCGAGATAGAAAGAGTCAGACTTTATTAAAGATAGTAAAGAAGAGCAAGATTTGATGTGAAAGGAAATGGGCAATGCTCAAACTTGGGACTTTGATAGCAAACCTGAGATGGGTTGTGATCAGATGTGGGTGAGTCCATGTGAAGACCGGTAAGAGAATTGGTAAAGGTTCTTGTAAGGCCTAAGCGACTTGTTGGCGAAGAGAGGAAACATAGACTTTGGGTTTTTGAGAAATTAGAAGATTTGAAAGAAGAAGAAGAGGAAGACAAAGCAACAGCTGTCGGCAGAACAGAGGCAGCAGCTATGGCAGTTGCTGTGGTCAGCGACCTCAAAAATGCCATTTCTTTTTGTTTGGGTATTGTTTTACTGAGATGTTCGGTAAGGCGCGGTTGGTCGCGACTCAGCTGGCTTTCTGGATCCTTCCAACTGTTTTTTCGGAAAAATATGTTCTTTTAAAATGAAATTGTAAAAGATATATTTTTTTCTTATTTTATTTGGAGTATTATGCGAAATTTCTAAATTTTATGGGAGATTATATTTCTATGTTCATGTAAATATTAAATATGATAATGAAAATTCAAATATGATGTTATTAGGTTATTATGTTTGTATAACGATTACTACTATTATTTTTAAATACATTGAATAAATACTACTGCTATTTTTAAATACATTATCCTTTATTAATGCTTTTTATATTATATTTTTAAATTATTTATAACTTTTGAATACCCGATGGTGGATTGTGCGGGTACTTGAGTTCGAAAGCTGGCCAACGCCCGGTTGAATAAACGGGTTTTGGAGAGAAGGAATTGGGAGAAGTTTGGCGATGCGGTGCGTGAAGATGTTGGCAGTCGGCTCACTTTGGTTTCCACTGAAGAGATCCTTCTTAGGGACCTGGTACCAAACCCGAAGAAATAAAGGTTGCAGGGGACAGCTTGGCAAAGGAGGTGCTGTTCTCATGGTGTGCAGGACCTGTGGTAAGAAAGGCCATCACTCAACAGCGAAGTTAGTTAATTTTTATTGAAGGATAAAAAATTAAGAAAATTAAAAATTAAAATTTTTTTAAATTATATATTAAATTTAATTATTAATAATAAAAAAATTTATAACAAATAATAATTTTATCTAATATATAAATAAAAAATAAAAAAATTAATAATAATATTTTAAAAAAAATTTATTTGATAATGATAATATCATTTTTAATATAAATAATTAAATTATTTATAAGAAACTTATCATTTATTTTATTTTAAAATTTTATTTTTTTAATATAAATAAATAAAAATTAATATTTAATATTTATTTTATTATATTTAAATTTATAATATTAAATATTAAATTATAATATATAAAATATAAATAATTAAATATGATATATATAATTAATAATTTCTCTTATACTTAAAAGTAATTTCTTTTCAACTAAATATAAAATGTAAAGAATATTAAAAATATATACTCAAAATAATTTTTTTTATATAATTAAGATTAATAAAAATAGTATATTAATAAAATTTTAAATAATAACTAATAATGCAACATTAAAATTTATATTTAAGAATTACATATATAATAATTTTTTAATTTTTAAAAATTAAAATTATTAAAAATAAAATTCACATAATAAAAAATAAAAAATCATGATAAGTAAGAAATATAACCTATATAACAAAAAAAAATATGATTGATGGCTCGTAAAAATTTTTTAAAAAAAATCTATAAAAATTTAAAATATATGAGTAAATAGAATAAAATTAAAAAAATAAATAATAATATAAATAAAAATTTTATCTCTTTATAATTTCACAACATAAAAATAAAAAAGAAAAGAGAGAAGTCTGAATGGAAAAAATTTTTAAATTAAAAGAATTTAAAAATTTGAGTAAAATTGAATAAAATTTATAAAATTATTTTATTATTTTTTAATTATATTAATTATTTAATAAAAATTATTTTAAAAATTATTACAAAATATATAATATATAAAAAATTTAAAAAATTTTAGAGGGCCATGGCCCCTGGACGCTCCGCCCGTCATCACTGGACTTGCAAAATGTCCTTACAGGATCTCGCCGCTCATGTTGAAACCTTTGTTGATTAACCTGCGGCATCCGAGACCTTTCTATGGCTGCTTCTGGAGCTGGAAAGGGAGCCTATGTCCCGCCAAGCATGAGAGCATGAGCAGATAGAACTGGTGGATCTGATATGAGACGTAGGAATGACGAATTTGTCTGAGGATACCCTGGAGCCTGACTTGCTTGAGCTTTTCTGCACATTTGGTCCCCTGACTCGCGCCTGTGTTTCTATGGATCATAATACAGGCACAAGTAGAGGATTTGGTTTTGTCAACTTCGTAAACAGGGAGGATGCTCAGAGAGCTATTAACAAGCTCAATGGATATATATATGGTTATGACAATCTCATCTCAAAGTATTTCTTCTCATGATAGTTGGGTGTTAAACTGTGAAAATATCTGTACAGGGGTTATTTTGTTTCTTCTCCTGGGATATCGGCTCTGTAATGCTGTAATTTTGAAGGGATATCCCAGGAAAGCAATATGGGTATATGCTTCAAAATTATATGCCTTAGTCTGGTGGATTTTTTTTGTTGTCTTTTGTAGGCCAGCTGGATTATGTAAGGATGCAGTGTCTGTCGCAGGTCTGTCCTATTTCTTGCCAGATGGGATGCGATCTTTTGATTGTTTCCCTTTTGCTTGTGCCGCTGGAATTGGATTATTTTGTCATCAATACTCAGTATTCCATAAGGTCTATCGCCAAGTAGCTCTTAACTGCATTGGCCGGCCACCAGCGGAATTTCCAAGTCGAAGGCCAACCCTCTAAATGGTAAAACTTTGCCATCTTCGGTCCCAACAAAGCATATTTGTCGAGTTCCAATCGCAGCCTTCAATCCTAGAGAGGCCAAAACCCTACATATACACAAACTCTGTAATCTCTGTCTGTCCCCATCTTTCTGTCTGAAATCTGATACCGTGAACATGTGCATGGATATGAAGGTTACAGTAACTCAGAGCAATTAGCACTTTCCAGCTACTGTGGAGAACAAGAGGTGCAGCTGCAAATTGTTGCCAACTCTTAACTATTTCTCTACTTAGCCTGATCTCCATGCTTTCTTTCTCTCATGCAAGCAGTGAGGGGATAGTTAGCATACAGTCAAGGGAGGCCACGTTGAAAGAGGAAATCAACCTAACGACTTACATTGTTTATGTCCAGAAACCAGAAGGCAAAATTTGAAGGAGTAAGAGGACTTTTATAACTGGTACCAGACATTTTTATCAGTTACCAGCTCAACCATTGGCCATCAAGAACTCATTGTGTATTCCTATTGGAATGTGGTAACTGGTTTTGCTGCGAAACTGACCGCAGTGGGAGCAAAAGCCATGGAAAAGGTTGAACGAGTTATGAAAGTCCATCCTCAAAGATTATTGCCTTTTCACACAACTCATAGTCCTGATTTCTTAGGGCTGCATCAAAATATTGGATTTTGGAGGCAATCAAATTTTGTGAAGGAAGTGATTAGTGGAGTTCTAGACACGGGAATGACCCCTAGTCACCCTTCCTTTAGTGATGAAGGAATGCCTCCTCCAGAAAAATGGAAAGGCAGATGTGAGTTGGTGAAATGTAATAACAAGTTAATTGGTGCAAGAAACTTATGAAATGATGAACAAGGTCAGCCCCCATTAGATCAGGATGGGCATGGCACTCACACGGCTAGCGCAGCTGCTGGAAATTTTGTGCAATGTGCCAGTGTGTTTGGTAATGCCAATGGAACCGCAGTTAGCATTGCACCTTTAGCTCAGCCATATACAAAGTTTGCCATGATGTGTGCGTTGATCGTAACGTACTGGCGGCAATGGATGCTGCTGTAGAGGACGGTGTTGATGGGATTTCAATCTCCATTGGCGGTGCTTCTACACCTTTCTATGAAGATGAGACTGCAGTGGGTGCATTTGGGGCTATTCAAATGGGAATATCTATAAGCTGCTCAGCAGGGAATGTCGGCCCATCTAATAGTACACTATCAAATGAAGCTCCTTGGATCCTCACTGTGGGAGCAAGCAACATGGATAGAAAGATAATAGCTGCGGTAAGGCTAGGAAACGGTTATCTCTGCTCTCCGGAGAGTCTCTGTTCCAGCCAGCCTAAAGATTTTCCTTCAACTTTGCAGCCTCTTGTTTGCGCAGGTGCCAATGGTAATGCATTATCAAGATTATGTGCCCCAGGATGATTAAGAAACATTGATGTCAAGGGGAAAATAGTATTGTGCGTGATTGGTGAGATACCAAGAATCAGCAAAAGGCAAGAAGTAAAGGATGCTGGAGGCGCTGCCATGATTCTCATGAATGATGAGCTCAATGGATTTAGTACAATAGCTGATCCTCACGTACTTCCTGCAACAAATGTGAGATACACGGCAGGAATGAACATCCTAAACTACATCAATTCGACATCAAAACCAACTGCCACTATCTTGTTTGAAGGAACTTTTTCCGGTTTGAAAGATAATCCTCAAGTCACTTCTTCATCCTCAAGAGGCCCTAGTTCTGCTAGCCCTGGAATCTTGAAACCAGACATTATATGGCCGGGTGTGAGCATCCTAGCTGCGATGCCAGTTTCTGCTGAGAACAAGACAAAACCAGTTTCAAATTTTAATGTTATTTCAGGCACTTAAACGTTGAAGAAAACAGCTGAACATTAAAGTTTCTTGGAAAAATTACTTGAAGAAGAAGTTAAAAGAACTTAAGCAGAAAAAACAGAGAAATAAAATTCAGCTCAAAACTGTTGGATCCAAAATTTACAGATCCAAGCTTTCAAACTTGTATTTGTACTCAGCCATTACAAACTTTCCTCATAAATCGGATCAAGGAAGTAAACTTCACTACAATCAAAGGACAGCTTCAACAGAAAAACAGAAAAGGAAAAAAACCAGAAAAATTCATAGCCGTTGGCCTTTAAAACAGATACTGAAAGCTAGACTAAAACGACAACTCAATTTAAACAAAACGACAACACACTGCGTATAACAACAAAAGAATAAGAAACAGACAAAACAACATGATGAACTATCGTATTGCTTTCAGCTGGTTAAGTCTTTTAACAGCAATGTTTTGTTCCTTTAGAAAAACAACTTTCTTCAACCTCTAGAACTATTACTTCCCTCCAATGACCTTAGTAAGCTTGCTTCACAGATTAAGGATTAATCTTCAATAATGCCCACGTCTTAGCGGTATCACTGCTCTGCTAAAAAATTTACATCCTGACTGGTTACCTCCTGCCATAAAATCTGCAATCATGACTACCGCTGATTTAGTGACCCTAGATGGTCTGCCAATTCTAGATGAATCACAGTCTCCATCCAACTTATTTGCGAATGGTGCAGGCCATGTTAACCAGTCAAAGGCAAACGATCCAGGACTTGTTTATGACATGCAACCTGATGATTACATTCCTTATCTATGTGGCTTAGGTTACACAGAGGACCAGGTTAGAGTCATAGTGCGGCAATCAGTGAAACGCTCAAATGACACCAAAATTGCCGAAGCAGAGCTAAATTATCCTTCATTTTCGATTGTATTATGGTCTACCAACCGCACATACACGAGGACAGTGACAAACGTTGGCCATGCTAATTTATCTCACACTCTGAACATTGCTGCACCACCAGCGGTAGACAGTAGGGTAACGACTAACAGAATTGAGTTCACTGAGGTGAAGCAAAAAGCAACATTCTCAGTGACATTTAGGCTAAGCTGGAAAACTTCTGCAGCCTTTGTTAAAGGTTATCTCTATTGGAATTCTGCTCTGCATTCTGTTAGGTCTCCAATTGTTGTTATATATGAATTGAGTACTAAGTACTCTGATTCTGATCAGCATTACATTGGGAATCTGATTTTTCAAAGCAAGTATGGAATGCAGTGCAGAGTTGCCTTCTCTTAGGCTAATGTACTTTCTAATATTGTAGTCAGTTCAAATAAATTCTCTCATTCCTATAGAGTACCTAATTTTTTAAAAAAATAATAAAGAAATAACTATGTGACAAACAAAAGAAATTTCCTGGGCTTTCGCAGGAACTAACTTCAGAATTTCCAAATCAGAAGGAACTTAAAGTGACCAAAAAATTAAAAAAAAAAAAACCTTGTTTCTACAAATTCTAGAAGTTGGTGCTTCCTCTCTGGAGGATATTAACTTCTGTTCAGGACTTGCAATAATCAAGTACAGTCTTAGGTGTACGAATTAGTTACCAAGAATTGTGGTTCTTATATGGAAGCTATTGGTTCAACTATGCTACTGTTGCATCATTAATTGAATTCAAAGATTATGCTCATGAAATGGAAAAAAAATGCAAGAAATTGTGATTATCCTTGGTACAAGCTGCTAGAAAACAAATGAGCTCAAGGAATGCAAAGCGTTTGCCCCTAGCTGAAGTCCAGATATCATGGGCAAAGCTGAAGTAAGAAAAATTATTCTAGCAAAATTACTATGAAGATGCTAAGGTTAATATTGATGAAGCTATTTATGACAAAGGTGAAAAAATCTGTATGGGTGAACAACACAACTGATATTCTATTAATTGCTATCTTAGAGCAGGATACTCAAAGAAATATGAAAATATATTAAAGAGTACTCTTACTTATCCAATAAAAAAACAATCAAGAGAACTCTTAATTTTTCTGTGATTATCCTCATTGTTCCTAGGTTCTGCAATAAAGCTTCCTATGCCTGTTCACAGCATATCTTATGCCCACAAACATTTAGAAAAATTTTCATAATTTTAGTTTGTACCTCAGAAGTCAGAACCTAATTTAATATTTGCGATAGTATATAGACAAAGATCCTGGTAAATGTAACCAATCACCTACTAACTGTCATCATGCTCCCTGTTGCAAGTCAACATCTTACATCTAAGCATTCATTCCCAACAAATTTATGCTAAATACAGGTTCTTAATGGAAGAGACTTAGCAAGAAATTACTAAACAAGTATAAATGTGAGCCTATTTACAAAATAAAAAATTAAGCAAACAAGAAGTAAATACCAGTTGGCTTTGCTGGAGAAGTTCCCAAAGCCAAATAAATCTGTTATACATAAGGCACATCGCTACTTTGTTTTCAACTGCATAGAGCAGCGGGCAATACCAAGTTCCAATCCAAAAAGTATGTACCTCAAGCTCTGGTTGACGTTCCCAATCGACAATCTGACAAACTAGTCCTAACAAGCCTATTCTTGTAGCCCCAATGATAATTGTCATTTGTAGTAAAGACGACAGCCAACACTTATACCAACATTCTCTTTATCTGTCCTGTACCATCTATATATCGATATCTGTGAAGGGAGTAGTAGTAATCTAAACATTAGGATTAATTCTCCATTCCTTTAACCAATATGAAGAGCAAAAGTACTCAACCGCTGCCAAAAATGGTAGCCATTTTTCTAGTTTCTCTTGTTTTCATGTCTAATATTCTTCTAGCAGTTGCTCAGGAAGTGGAAGTTTTGCCCAAGAGCAAAGAAAATGAGAAAAGCAGCTTATCAACTTACATTGTTCACCTTAAGAAACCTGAGGGAGTCCTTACACAAGCAGTAGACTTAGATGGTTGGTATCAATCATTCCTCTCGGTCACCAGCTCCAGCAAGCAAAGACGGATGGTTTATTCCTATCGAAATGTGATAACAGGATTTGCTGCAAAATTAACAGCAGAGGAAGCAGAAGCAATGAAAAGAAAGGAAGGGATCATATCTGCTCGTCCTGAAAAAGTATATTTTCTACATACAACACACAGTCCTAACTTTTTGGGGTTGCACCAAAATCTTGGAGTTTGGAACCAATCAAATTATGGTAAGGGAGTAATAATTGGACTTTTAGACACTGGAATAACCCCAGGTCATCCTTCATTCAGTGATGAAGGAATGCCTCCACCACCAGTGAAATGGAAGGGGAAATGTGAATTCACTACCGGATGCAATAACAAGCTGATTGGTGCAAGAAATTTTGCAGAAGATGTGGCAGGGCCACCAACTGATGAGGAAGGTCACGGAACTCACACAGCTAGCACGGCTGGTGGAAATTATGTGGAGGGTGCCAATGTGTTTGGCAATGCCAATGGCACAGCTGTAGGCATGGCACCTTTAGCTCACTTGGCAATGTACAAAGTATGTGGAGAGGGCTGTTCAGAAAGTGCAATATTGGCTGCAATGGATGCTGCTGTTGAGGATGGAGTGGATATCCTCTCACTTTCATTAGGCGGTGGTTCAGTTCCCTTCTTTGAAGACTCAATTGCGGTGGGTGCATTTACAGCTATTCAAAAGGGTATATTTGTGAGCTGTTCAGCTGGAAATGAGGGTCCTCTCCATGGTACTTTATCGAATGAGGCCCCATGGATTTTTACAGTCGGAGCAAGCACCATTGACAGGAGCATAGCAGCAATAGCGAAGCTAGGAAATGGGTTGACAATTGATGGTGAATCGCTTTTTCAGCCTAAAGATTTCCCTTCAACATTACTGCCTCTTGTCTATGCAGGGGCAAATGGAAAGGCATCATCCGCATTTTGCGCCCCTAGATCATTGAGAGATGTTGATGTCAAAGGAAAAGTGGTATTGTGTGAAAGAGGTGGGGATATCGGAAGAATTGACAAAGGCCAAGAAGTGAAGGACAATGGTGGAGCTGCCATGATCCTCATGAATGACAAGCTTAATGGCTTCAGTACAATAGCTGATCCTCACGTACTTCCTGCAACCCACGTGAGTTTCTTGGCTGGTTTGAAGATTCAAGAGTATATAAACTCAACATCAGAACCAACAGCTACAATCTTGTTCAAAGGTACCGTGATAGGAAATCCATCTGCTCCTGAAGTTACTTCTTTCTCCTCAAGAGGCCCCAATATGCAAAGCTTTGGGATCTTGAAACCAGATATTCTTGGCCCTGGTGTGAGCATTCTAGCTGCATGGCCAGTTTCTGTGGAAAACAAAACAAATACAAAGTCAACATTCAACATGATTTCTGGCACTTCCATGTCTTGCCCTCATCTCGGTGGGATAGCTGCTTTGCTCAAAAGCTCACATCCTGACTGGTCTCCAGCTGCTATAAAATCTGCTATCATGACTACGGCTACTTTGGTAAACCTTGGAGGGAAGCCCATTGTTGACCAAACAAAAGCTCCCGCTGATATCTTTGCTACTGGTGCAGGCCATGTTAACCCATCAAAAGCAAACGATCCTGGCCTAATCTATGATATCCAACCAGATGATTACATCGCTTATTTATGTGGCTTGAATTACACTGACGAAGAGGTAGGAACTATTGTGCAAAGAGCAGTGGAATGCTCCAGTGAATCAATAATAGCTGAAGCAGAGCTAAACTATCCTTCATTTTCTATAATATTGCCAGAATCTGGTTCTCAGACATACACGAGAACTGTAACAAACGTTGGCCCAGCAAGCTCATCCTACACCTATGAAGTTGTTGCACCAACAGGAGTAGACATTAGTGTACAACCGGATCACATTGCTTTTACAGCGGTGAACCAGAAGGCAACTTACTCAGTGACATTTAGCAGACAAAAGGACATCAGCTTGCAATTTTCCCAAGGACTTCTCACGTGGGTTTCTGCTCAGCATAATGTTACAACCCCAATTGTCGCCATATTTGCATAAGGAATATGTTGAGCTGCCCTTGCTTATAGCAAAGGAAGCACAGAGTTAATCCCATGCATGGCTTCTTATTCCTGGTCCACAGTCGTCTTATCTGTTTAAGGCGTTTTTCTTCAATAAATGCCAAGTGAAACAAAAGCTGTTTATTTGAAAACCATCAGCTTTTTTTCCTTTTTTTTTTAATCTAAGTTTATTCATTGTAGATTTTACGAACTCCTATTTACACGATAAACCCAGACGTCTGAAGCACTGGTGCCTATTTAAGTTCTTAGGCTAAGTACACTACATACTGGTGGGTACTTAAGTTTTGGGTGGGTTGCATATCTAGACAACAAGAATTTTTAGAACCAAAAGATACGTACCAGAAAAAAAGAAGCAAAACCATTGCCTACAGCTCCAATCTGGCTACTTAAAGGGTTAAAACAAAGAAGAAAGACTGTAATTTGATCTAGCAAAAAACCCAATAAATAGTACTGATACTTATGCTTGCAGAAAAACTTGTGATTAAATATTAATAAAGTGCTGAATTATTCAACCTATGACCAAATCAAAACACAATGGATTGTCTGAGACTATTGTAGTTTTGCTCAGAATCTGCTCATATGAAGGTATGTTAGTTACTATACAGATTCTAAATGTGGTAGGAGATACAGGAAAGAAGCTCGAATCATACATCTAGGATTTTCATGCCACATTAGTTCACAACCGTATTCAGGAATATTATCAGCAGCAGGCTCAAAAATAAAACAAAGGAAGTCTATGCAAGGACTCAGTTGTACTAGTGGAAAGTCAATTAAAAATTGTAGAAGGACAAGCATACAGTGACAAGTATGCTTCATCATACCCTTAAATAATCACTCACAAACAGCATCTTTGTTGCCGTTTAAAATAAGAGAATGTATTACTGAACGAAAACAAATGGATGGGCTAAGTATAATAATCCAACAGAGGATCATAACCTACAATGAGACTCACAGAAAGAAACTGGCCATCTTTCTCCCTCTCACTTGTATATATAGGCAGTAAGAAGTGGTGGAAACACAACCAATTAAATAACCCTCCTCCAACTTACTGCAGAGGAGCCATTCCCCATCAAAGATGGATATCACTCACTTCCTCTGTCTCACTTTGTTGCTCAACTTCCATTCTCTAATCATTCAGGGAAGTGAAATTTCATCTGCAATTGAAACTGAAAAGAAAAAATTGCAGACTTACATTGTCCATGTTGAGCAGCCAGAAGTAGGAGTTCTTGGTCAAGAAAATCGAGATGTAGAGAGCTGGCACAAATCTTTTCTGCCATTTAGTACTGCAAGGTCAGACACTCGACCACGCATGGTTTATCCATACAAAAATGTCATCAGTGGTTTTGCAGCAAGATTGACAGAGGAGGAATTGCAAGCCATGAGAATGAAAAAGGGGTTTATCTCAGCACATCCTCAAAGGATGCTATGTACACAGACAACACACACACCCAACTTCCTGGCGCTGCAGCAGGAACTGGGAATTTGGAAACAATCAAACTTTGGAAAAGGAGTGATAATTGGTGTGCTGGACACAGGAGTTTTGCGTAGCCATCCTTCATTCAGTGATGAAGGAATGCCACCTCCCCCAGCAAAATGGAAAGGAAGATGTGATTTTACAGCCTTTAATAACAAACTAATTGGTGCAAGGTCGTCTTTCAATATTGATGGAAAAATGACCAAGGGAATGGGGGTTGAACCACCTATTGATGAAGATGGACATGGAACTCACACAGCTAGCATGGCTGCAGGTCAGTTTGTAAACTATGCTGATGTGCTGGGAAATGCCAAAGGTACTGATGTAGGGATGGCCACCCTTGCTCATTTGGCAATTTATAAAGTATGCTTTGGAGAAGACTGTGGAGATAGCAACATACTAGCTGCGGTTGATGCTGCTATTGAGGATGGTGTCAATGTACTCTCACTCTCTCTTGGAGCAGATGCAGTCCCATTCTTCCAGGACAACATAGCTATAGGTGCATTTGCAGCAATGAAGAATGGAATATTTGTTAGTTGTTCAGCCGGAAATTCTGGCCCTTCCAACAACACATTATCCAATGAAGCCCCATGGCTTCTCACAGTTGGACCAAGCACCATTGATCAAAAAATTGTAGCCACAGCAAAGCTTGGAAATGGAGAAGAATTCGATGGAGAATCTGTTTTCCAACCCAATGACTTTCTTCCATGCTGTTACCACTTATTTATGCCGGCATAAATGGTAACCAGAGTCTGCACTCTGTAGTGAGGGATCATTGAAAGGTACAGATGTCAAAGGCAAGATGGTTCTATGTGAACGAGGAGGTAGAATAGCAAGAATTGCTAAAGGACAGGAAGTAAAAAATGCTGGTGGTGCTGCTATGATTCTCATGAATGAACAAGCTGATGGCTTCAGTACTTCAGCCGATGTTCATGTCCTTGCAGCAACCAATGCAAACTATGCTGCTGGGCTGAAGATCAAAGCTTACATAAATTCAACAGCATCACCTAAAGCGACAATCTTATTTAGAGGAACTATCATAGGTGAACCATCATCTCCTTCTGTTGCTTCCTTTTCATCAAGAGGCCCCAGCTTGGCAAGCCCAGGAATTCTGAAACCAGACATTATTGGCCCTGGAGTGAACATTCTAGCAGCATGGCCATTCTCTCTTAGCAATAATACTAATTCAACATCTACTTTCAATAGAATATCAGGCAAATCAATGTCATGCCCTCATCTCAGTGGCATTGCAGCCCTGCTCAAGAGTTCTCATCCTACCTGGTCACCAGCTGCCATTAAATCTGCTATGATGACTTCTACTGGCCTATTCAATATTGGAGGCAAACCCATTGTTGATGAAACACTACAACCTGCTGATGTCTTTGCTATTGGCACTGGCCGCATTAATCCATCTAGAGCAGATAACCCAGGATTAATACATGATATCCAACCTGATGACTATATTCCACATCTCTGTGGTTTAGGCTACAAAGATGAGGAAGTTGGGATACTCGCACATAGATCAGTCAAGTGCTCAGAAAAGCCCAGTATACCACAAGGAGAGCTGAACTACCCTTCATTTGCCATCAAACTAGGACCATCTCAGACATACACAAGGACTGTGACAAATGTCGGTGAGGAAAATCATCTTATGAAGTTTTGGTTATAGCTCCAAAGGGGGTTGATGTGATTGTGAAGCCCATCACACTATACTTCTTGGAGCTAAATCAGAAGGGAAATTACTCAATAACATTTACTCGAGTTGAATCAGCTTATAAAATAGGTGAATTCACTTAAGGGTATATCGAATGGGTCTCTACTACATACTTTGTTAGGAGTCCAATTGCTGTAAGCTTTGAGTAAGAAACATGTACACAAAGACATAAGAGAAAGCAATCAAATGAATTGTCATAGAAATCAAAAACTATTACTGAATGCTATTGCAGACTTCTAATATCTTATTTTCTCTGCGTTTTCTAGACTAACATTGCAAATTGTTTCAAACTTATGACCAGAAAATTCAAACTCAACCCAATGGAAGGGGGAAGAAGCATGTGGGAAAGTATACCGGGCATAGACATTAACTACCTTTGCTGTTTTCATTTAAATATCACAACACTTGATGATGAGGTTCAGTAAAAAAAAATAATAGTAATAATAATGTCCAATAGAAGACCTTAATGAACAAAAATGAAAACTAGTCTAATAAAACCATAAAGAATAAAGTAATTCCATCTGCCAAAGAAGTCCATACAAAATGCATATATAAACTAGTAATATTGAAAATAAGCTTGTTTGGTGCTTAAATTAAGGTATATTTCTCAAAAAGATAAATTATAAGAACCGCATTTCACTACTACTTGTAAGCATCACAAGCGTGGACAGAGTTTTAGACAGTCGTACTAAAAAGGAAGTGCAGATGGCTTAACTTTTCAAATTCCTGCCCCATGAATTTTCAAAAAGTGCAAAATCGGTGATTAGATACAATGGAAACAGACAGCAACTGGAGCTATGCAGTTGTGAAACAACTGACAATGAGAATGGTTATTTTTATAAAAACCCTCTTATAATATTAGTAAATCCCTTGCAGATTCTCAAGAATGATATGATAAGTTATTCAAGATCAAATCAAGATAAGAATATAGCATCGGGTTGTCCAACATAACAGACACAGTTCCCTCCCCGACTACCACGAAAAGAAGAGCCTTTTGGAGCAGAAAAAAGGTATACTGTCTCAGTAGTTCTTTACTGACCCATTCACTGTATAGTCTCTACCACACTTACAGCTGCACGATGGTAGTGAAAAATGACTTGCAAGTTGATTCTCATCAACCAAATCCAGGAGGCACATCCGGGTCCTCATCACTAACATCACATGACTGCTTCTGGTCAATATCTTCAGAAAAGCCAGGTGGCACACCAACATCAACATTATCCTGTTCCTGCCCATTCTGTGAGTGGCGAGGCTCTTCCTGCCAGTTTTCGATAGGTCCAATTTCATAAGGCCTAGGAAGCTGCTGCTCTGCCTCATTCTGCTGCTGATGGTGGTTGCTGTGATGAATATTGGACAGAGAGAAACCTGGTGGTTCTTTTGGCTCACCATCAGATAATGTATCATCAACTCTACCAGTTGAGCCCTTAATGAAACCATTATTTTCAGCTTCCTTTTTGACAGGCATCATATCATGAATAGATGATTCGCCCTCTTCTTTCCCTTGAGGATTGACTAATTTATTGTACACAGATTGTACTGTTTCTGTAATTTCACTTCTCATGCCACCTTCTGATCTGATTACTTCCCACAGACTATCAGAAATTTGGCCCATTACTTTGTTCCTAATGGTTATAAAACATCAGAATTATCAAATCAACATCAGTATTAAAGAATGAAAGAAAACAGAAGAACTTATAAAAAGTTGGTGAATTAAATTTGAAGATGAAGTGAACATTTGAACATAGTTTTGAATAGAGAACAAGTTAACCTATTCTTTCTGAGTTGGTATTTTCCTCCCGAAGTACTCACAATTTGTCATGATATCCATATCTTATTCCCGAAACCAAAGATTTTAATAACCAATTTCTCATACCAAATGTACAATAAAGAAAAATGCAAACATTTTATCCGGGAATACACATGCTTTCCACTAAGAAAATCATTAATGATTTCATGTTTCCACTTACCCAACCTCCTCATGTATGGCGTCTGATAGTTGTCTTGGTTTCATATTTTCAGCACCTGGACGGTTAAGCGCTGCTGATTGCTTCACAGCTGCAATGATGTTGTTGCGTAATTCATCCTGCAATTTGTTGCCTTATTCATAAAAACTTACAAATGCACATAGCAAGCAATAAGAAACAGCACCATTCACTATTGATCAAGTCGATAAAGCTTTTAAAACATTTAACCAGGCACACCTGAACATTTGGTTCAGTGGTCGATGCATGTATTCTCCTGTTCAAGAAGCACGTTCAAATACCCCTTCCCCCAAAATTTGAAAAAAAAAAAAAACATTTAACGAGCCAAACTTTTTGCTATAAAAGCAAATAAAACTCAACCACAAAAGATCCTTTAAAACCAAAAAGCACTGTTTTTAAAAGGAAAAGGCTGATTGAAACAAACTAAAGAATCAGATTTGCCAACAACCTGCAGCAGCAGCATAGCAACCTAATCAACTTTGATAGTGGCACTGCGATGTTTAGTACAGTTAATAAATCATTCTAAGCTCTTTCTACATGACAAGCTGTTTGAACCAACGTAGAACCTACTAAAATCAAGATTTACGGTCATAACAGCTCATGTATTAGTACAAATTTACAAAAAAAAAAACGAATTTTTAGTCAATCTTCTATTCAATATCAGGGAATTGTTCAGCATCAACCCAAAACCATGGCATTTGATTTGAAATTAACCAATTATACCCATATATAATCATCATATAAAATTCCAAAATACCCAAAACTCAAAATCAAGAAACACCCACCAAGCGAACCATCACAAACAACAAGCATCCATATTTTCCAGGGTACTCAAAAGCTCAGCATTCTAAAATTTTTCACCTTGATTCCCAAAAACTAACAAGATAGTTTCCACCTTCGGAAAAGAGAAAAAAAAAAGTAGTAATAAAAATGAACATACGTTATCCTTGAGCTTGCGAATGATTTTGAGACGGAGCTTGTCGAAGTCACCATCGTCCTTGAGTTTTGCAATTACCTCTTCTTTGTTGATCTTCTTGTTTTCTTCTCCCATTGGCTGCTTTGCATTCAATCTGTTGGAAAAAGAAAAAACCTGGGTTTTTTTTTCTTTTCTGTTTCTGTAAACTATAATGTCTTTTAATCAGCCAAAAGAGACAACGTAGGAGTACTAAAATTTACACAAAACGAAGGAGGTCAAATCCGTTCCGGGTTAGGATTTTACGAAGTCAAGTCCCATCATGGAATTAGTACTAAAAAAAATTCTAACCAAAGGCTTTAACAAAAATATTTCTTCTCAGTAAATTTAGTTTGAGTAATAATACGAACTTTTCTTTTCTTTTGTTTAAGCATCAAATTGTGTTCCTTCTGAAAATTTTTGATAAAATTAATTACACATTACAACATCATTTTCTGTGTTATAAATTGCCAATTTAACTTTAGTCATAAAATTTTGAGATTTTCTTATAATTATTAAAATTTGATGGCTTTAACAATTCAGGTAAATTAAAATATTGTTAAAAAAAGAGACTTGAGATATTCAAAACCAAAAATGGGAAGAATGTTCAATTAATTCATGAACAGAACATTAGAACACAAAAATTTGCCACAATTCAATTTTTAAGTTACAGGAAAAACCTTTGGGGGATTCAAAAAGATTAGACACTACAACAAAAGTCAAATCATTGGCTACGTAACCAGGAAGTATAACTATCTAAACCATCTCTTCTTTTTCTCTCTTATCAAAAAGATAAAAAAAAAAAAGGGGGCAAAATGATGTTAAAGAGCTACAAAGAGAGTTGAGGCATGACATTGCCAATTGATTTCTGTACAAGTTTGCAACCGCCCCTTGTAAAAATACGATATTCAGTTCATAGAATAGAGTACATAAATGTGTACAACATGACAACATTATGTGTCTGAATTGTATCTTAACTATCGGATTAGAACAAATTTACTTCACTCAATGACCACATTGCAGTGAATTTGAGCTCCACCAGATGAAAGTGAGCAAGAGAAAAAACCATGCATCTCTCAGTGCTGGAGCTGGAAACAATCTAGGATGAGTTATGCGTCCTTTTGCGAGAGTGGTGCCGGTCTGTTACCAAACTTGAGCTTCTGCAGAATGTCATCCAGCTGAGCAAAGATATGCAAAAAATCAAATTCAAGCATTTAATAATAAATCTGAATTACTCACGAATCATCAACATGCTTTCTACTTGTTGACTCCAGCATTGTCCGAGATGGTGCAGTCACCTGCGAAGCAAGCACTACTATGTTATAAACATAATATAAGGTTCAATTTATTGTACATACATACAAACACACAAACACACACACATATGGCATGGTGCAAGGCCAAGCTATGGTGTATAACAAGGCAAAGTCCCAACTCAACTGTAAGGCTGATGAAACTCAATTCATCCAGACATCTTCAATTTTATTTTCCCATTTTTTCTTTTTGTGCAGCCTTAGGAATAAGTTCAGAATTAAAAAACTTAAAGTTCAATTAGGCAATGAAGGGTGCAGGTCGCAGGCCAGATCTCCTAGTATGAAACAAAGTCTTCATACAAAGATGAGCATGTTGTCTACCTAGTAGTGCTTCACAACTCAAATACAATCATTCAACTGTCCAATCAATAGGAACCCAGAAATCTTGCCAGGTGCAATCAGACTGTGGTAGCATGATGATATTCATAAGCAACGTGTTATTGGATTGTTGACACATTTTATTTATCGCTGAGGTCAACTAACCATTATTAACTTATGCAGTAATTCATTGACAGATACAGGTAGCAGATGGAAAATACACAAATAACCAGGATTAGAGAATTATAGATAGACAAGTATACTCACAGAACGGCATAAGTGTTTGCTGGTTCGGCCATGGGCTTCAAGGTATTCTTCATACGTCTGCAACAAAAATCAGGAGTAAAACATTAACAAGAAGAAAGATTCAGACATAAGCCAGAAGGACAATTCTGAGAGAGAAGAATGTTCCTATTATTTGTTTTGGTGGTAAAACAGCATAAAGCACAGAGCTTTGTCTACAGACTGATCATGCAGCACCAAGATTTGAATAAAGTGTGGAATTCTTTGTCTCTACAGTTAATTAAGGACAAACAGCACATGGAGCACATTAAAAATATTGCGGGATTCATTATGCTGAATTCTTCCTAGTTCACAAAGAGAAGTTAAAAGTTATGGCTTAGGCCTTAGGGGCTCTCAGTCAAAATACTAACCTGATAAATCTAGCTTCCCTGATAAGTCACATTTATATGACTACAAGGAAAGTATCTGCTTAGGATAAAAACATAAAAATTAAACTCCATCAGAATATAAAGCTTAGATAGGGTTCCAATACCATTTCAAGAAAATCATCGTCGGTCAAGGTACTAGCATGAGGACTTTCTGCAGATAAACCCCAAATATCAAATTGAGTAGACATATCATTGTTTACTTGTAGATTGGTGAGATAATTTTTGGTATGAGAATTTTTCATACTTGCAACTTTTGATGCTCCCGTGGTAGTAGGAAAGTATTCAGTAGCCAAAGTATGTGGATGTGTTAAATGAAATCTACTCACGTCAGCTTGATGTTGATAGAGGAAGGGATGATAAGGCATGGGTGTACCGGCCCAAGACATATGCAGCGAAGGCACATTATAATCTTCATCTCCTAAAGAATATGGTGGTTCTATGCAAGGCCTCTTTGAAGGTAGATCATCCCTGGTAAAACTATTCCAAGTAAATTCACAAAAACCAACAACGCTCATAAGCTCGATTTTAATAGAACACATAATTTGAAGATACCTTTTAAGTGAGCCATCCACATCATTACTCCCATCAAGGAGCTCACATAGAGCTTCCCCTATATCTTGAGGTAATTCCTAAAAAGGAAACATGAATCAAGATCTTAGTCTGCAAGTGGTGGATACTTAATTTTTTATCCAAAAAAAGAGGAGAAACAATAGCAATTAATATTAAGGACACCTGGCAGTCTCTGCTGATTTTGACAGGTTTGTAGTCATTCAATGGGTTCTTAAGGTGTAGAGTCTTTTGGAAAGGCAAGTGATTTAAGCAAAGCCATTTGACCTTAAAACTCCGGCCCCAAGGATTACCTTTACCACTTCCTTGGCTCCAAACATTATCTCGCCTCCATCCAACAGAAGACATCATTTGGGCATACCCTTGGAAGAAACCACTCATGTTGACACTAAATACTAAAATAACTCTACCAGAATTCTGCAAGACAAGAAAATCCTCCAGTATAAAACATATAGACTTGAAAAACTAAATAAGATCAAAATAAGAGGGCTTTTACATGAAAAGCTTCTTCCAGAATTGGTTCATTCATGAGTTGAGTCGCCCAAATTCCTTTGTCAATCGACAATTGAATATTTTGGTGGTTCAAACTCTTAATGATGAAATATCTTGTATTACACAATCTGCCCCTTTTTTCTGCCATGTGGGAATGCCGTGGTTCTTGTCCCCTAAAGGGATAGCCATCCTCATTCTCTGACATAAAATAGTGGGAAAAATCACTTGATGATACTTAATGAATAACACTTGGAAAAAAAATTTAGAAAAGGCAGTTCCCACATTAACTGGTAATCTATATACACTACAAGTACATGGAAAGTAGTACAACAACAACAACAGCACTTTAATACATGAATGTTAACTTGCTTCATCAATCATAGCACAAAAGTATATAGAAAGTGAACTCAATGCCAATGTCTCCATAAATTTAGATTGATTATAACAGAACTTCGCTCATCAGAATCGATTTCCAAAAGAAAAAAAGATTTAATAGTTTCTCACTCCATTGACAAGAAATGATGTCTGAAATACTGTATCACAAAATCAAGTGACCGAGTTTCAATAACGTTGGATCTCTCCCTGCTAGTGTCCTGTTTAATTTCTTATCTTTACACAACCATCAGCCAATTCAAACTCACTTGCAGGAAAAAACAGTTATGATCACATAGTTATGATGCAACTAATAATGCAAACAGAGCACAAGGAACATCCAGTTTTATTTTAATCCATTTCATGCATTAGATGGTTATAACTTTTACACTTCCCCATACCTGTTACACATTAGCAGCTGCAATTATCCATGTCAAGAAAACATGGTTTTAGTACATGTTTCTTGCAGAAAAGTGTACTGTGGATGGTTATTCCTATTAATAGCACGATATCACTTCCAAATTATATGTGTCCGAAAGAACCATAAGTTTGTTCTGAGCAAGGAAAAGAAGAGGGAGATCACAAACCTTAGTCAATGAACAGACTCTCTTTTTTTTTTATTCTTTTCTTTTAAAATAATTCTAGCTACAAGCACAATCATGTTCAAGATATGGTGCAAGCATATATGCGGGGAAGACAAATTTCTCATCAAGGTAATTCAAATACAAGAAACATGTAACGATGTGTTAAAAACAGGGAACATACACCATATTTTTACCTGGATCATCTGAATTTCCCACATCATTTTTCCATTCAGTCGCTGATGAATCAACTACAGATGCATTTTCTCTTGCAGTATCAGAAGACATGTCCTTATTGGCCCTCCTATCAGAAAGCAGATATAGTAAAAGATTCAAGCCAGACTCTGCTGCAGTATAAAGATCCAAGCCAGACTCTCCTGCAGGACAATGCAACTGTAGTCGGGAAAAAAAATACAGTAATATTTAGCAATCTCATTCAAAATGGACAAAGCTTCAGTATCAGAAATCTGTAGCATCGGCAGCTCTAACCAGAGATAAATTAGGGGTAGAAAGAAAGAAGCATTAACGTAAAAGAAAACCCTAACTCTTTGAGGCCAAGTATATACTATAACTTCAAGTTACCTTATAGCAAAATGGGATATAATTTGGAAGTTCCTAGCCGATTACAAAAAAAGTGGCATTAGTAAATTATCGAACCAGATAACAGCGCAATTAGAATATCATATATCAAACAGAAGAACAAAGCAGTAACAAAAGTGCAGTAACAAAAGTACGATACTGCATGTTAGAGTTTCAATAATAAGTAAATATATATTCTTCTGTTAATTCTATTTACTGAATTTTCAAATGAATATATTTGACAATATATTTTGCCCATAATTCTATTTCCTAGCATAGTCCATTTAGCATACCATTTGGGCTAACTCCATAAAAAATGAATTCCCGTAACTAAATATATTAACTAATATTAAGAAAAATTACGGCCAATTCCTTATTTGAAACAATAATAATTTATAGGCGAAATGACATTTGGTAAAGTTAGCATAAAATTAAACGGAAGTTTCACAAAACAATTGAAAACTAATTATCCCAAGGAATTCCTCCCATTTTCCTTCTACTTTAGTTTCTCAGCAACCAAACAAAACATAAAACGAAAAAGAAAATTTGAAGTAGAAATAACGACGTGAAAGTGTACCTGCTTCAGAGAGAGAGGGAAAAACCAAAGTCGAAGGCAAGGCAAGCTCAGGAGAGTGTTGAAGTGACAGTACCGAGTACTTGGATTTGTGTTGTCTTGCTTGTAGTAATGAGCCCTAATTTTTTTTTCTTTTTTTTCAATTTTCCTTTTCAGTTGAATTGAACCTTCCAAATTAGACACTGGTTGGGTTGGGTTTGGGTTCTTTTTCATTTCTATTTTTTCATTATTTTTTTTTTCCATTTGCGGGTCTTGAGATTGGCGATCGGGCGGTTCTAGATTGGTTTGGCTGTGTTGATGGTAAAAAACTCGGACGGTGATGCGTGAGTCTGTGGAGGAGAGATTATGCTTTTAAAATACTGGGCCAGGGGCAGCTCAGTTGAGGCCCAGATAGTTCATGGGCCACCTTTGACCTGACAGGCTGACACCAAGCCTTGCAAACATATATTGAAAATCTTTGGGCTTAGACCCAAATGACAAAGTTGCCGTGCATGTTTTTTCAATTTTTAATTAAAAAATAAATTAACTAGTTAATGATATTATAATATAAAATGATAAATGACATCATATATGACATTAAAATAATATAATAATGTGATATATTTATAATTATATAATAGTAATAGAACTGTGTTAAGTTTCTAAACGAGAGAGAGGTTGGGCTAATTCCGCGGTTGAAAGTTTTTAATTTTTCCAAATCTTGTGCAAAAGACGAAAAGCAAAAATACTTAAAGCTATTGATTTCAAGATTAGATGTGATTTTAAATCATAATCTTATATTATTGTTATACATATAAGATTTTTTAATTATTGAGTTGCACAATTCGAGCTCATTTTTTTAAAACCCATGTTGTTTTTTCAAAAATATGAATTTAAAGCCAATAAATTAAAAAATAATATTTGTGTTTATACATTGTGAAAAGGAAAACGTCCCTTCCTCAAATTTAATATTAAAAAGAGTAATGTTTGTTTTTTTGTTTTTTCCTTATGTATACATCTTAATAAAAGAAAATAAAAACGTTATTTGAATTTCTCTTACTCTAAAATATATCCACCTATAATTTTTAAGAGAAAAAAAAGTCAATACACAAGTGGTCAACTAATTCCATTCTCATCTTCAGAGAGGATTTTATAACACACCTAGAGTCGCATTATTGGTAATTAAGTTTTGCATGTGACACTTATATTCTCACCTTTAAATATATTAATTAAAGATTGGATGATCATTGAAAATGAGTGATTAAATATTTTATATGATCATCATTACCTTTGGCTAATGTCCTTGGTTTACTTTCTATTCTATAAATAGCTAGCTATCCAAGCCTTTAATTAAATTACTACAAGTTGCTAAAAGTTACTACTTCCCAATTTGCATGCACATCTCGTATAGTATATTTGAGCACAGCAATCCATTCCATGTATTTAGAAAAATTAAGAATTCATTTGTACTTTTCCTAGTTGGATTCACAGAAATTCATCATCAAAGACAAAACTAAAGTAAAAGGAAATTAAACCCTCATTAAATTCTTTAATCATCATTAAAATCTTTGGCCTTGATATGACGTGCAAGTTGCATTTACATGCAGAATAATGTCATATACTATATATATTGGATAATATATATATATATATATATATGCATCTGGACCTACATCTTTAATGGTCAAATCACCCCACCTAATCTGTTCCATCACAAAAAATGGGCACCATCATTCAAAGTTAAACAGTGCCAAAATCCATGCCAGTGCCTCTTTAATAATTTAGTTGACAAGAAACTTAAAACAATAATTAGTTTCTCTTTTCCTTGAATAAGCTTACAATAAAAAACTAACCCACTTTCTTCTTTCAGGTGGGATGCTTCCGGAAATGCTTAATTAAATTTTCTATAATTGGGATCTTCTTGATACTAATAAGGATACTTTCCCTTTTCCTTTGTCCTATGTGCCTTTTTGCTTCAATGATTATTAATGAATAAAAAAACCATAAACCCTGATCATTGTGATGGCAATTAATTAGCATATTGTCATATGTTATATATATGACCTTTGGCTTCAAATTAAGAATCCGATGCTTAACTTCAAATTAGGTCTGTCTCTATCACCGTGAATATGATAATGATAATTTGTACATGTGAAGCAAGTGAACCAATTTCCAGCTCTCACAATGTTTATTCATTCAAATATGATAAATATAAAAGTGAATCCTATTATTCAAAATAATAATAATAATTTATTTATTTATTACCTTCATATACGTAGTTGGACTATCTTACATATGTAGCAATACCCTACAAGTAATATAAACTTGGAAGGTGAGGTCACCTCTTATATCACCTTGCCCTTGAAAGAAAACAAAATCTTGGAATCTTTGGCCCATCAAAGATCTCATGCTTAAATAAATGTATATCCCATGATACACTTCCAATTCTTGTCTAGAAGCCAAAGACAAGATAGATAGGATCATAAGAGATTTCAGGCTTCGAAAAAATGGATTATGTTAATTCAATGATTCGATCTGACCAAATGGCAGATGAGTTTGAACTCTTTCCCATCCCTTGCCGACACACAATCCAACAGGATGAACTCTTTTTGATCCCTTCTGAAGATGCCAATGATCTCTCCAACTGGGGTGATAATAGGCAGCGCAAGCGTAAAGCAGCTAGAGCTTTTCTTGTCAACGATGTCGATGGGAAGCCCATTGACAACAAAAAGAAGAAAATCACACATAGAGACATTGAGCGACAAAGAAGGCAAGAAATGGCTACCCTTTACGGGGCTCTTCGATCACAGCTTCCTTTTGAATATCTCAAAGTTAGCTCCTCTTCCCTTCTTACATATTAAAATTTCAAGTATCCATATATCCAATTTGGCAGACATTAAAATTTCAAGTATCCATATATCCAATTTGGCAGACTTTTTCTATTTTGTTCACTATTTGCATTTAATTACTTTATTGTCTTTTCACTGGTAATTTCAGGGGAAAAGATCAATATCTGATCACATGCACGAGGCTGTGAATTACATCAAACATCTGCAGAAAAAGATCTTGAAGTTGAGTGGCAGGAGAGATGAACTTAAAAGGTCATCCAATTCCTATGCTTCAAGTTCTGTTCCGGAAAGCTTACAAGATAGTTCCGAGCACAGTGTAAAGATTAGACCTTGTTTAGCAGGAGTGGAGGTTGTCATGAGCACTTGCTTGAGACAAGGGCTTAATCTTTCAAGTGTGCTTGAAGTCATACTTGCAGAAGGTCTAAGTGTTGTTACATGCATATCAACTAAAGTAAATGAAAGGTTAATGCACACTATTGTCTCTGAGGTAAAATTAATGTTGTCAATCTTTACTTGAACACATATATAAAGCAAGGTTTCCTCCCTAGGAGTATAGAAGAAGCGAAACTTCTCTCTGATTTCTTTTCTTTCTACGCAGGTGAATGATGGAAGAAACATAGAGCCGTCTGAGCTGCAACAGAAATTAACAATGTTAGCAACTTCCTCATCTGAGTTACATCTCGGTATGCTGGCCAAGTAAATGCTTGAAGCAATTTTTTTCCTGTGCTATTAAAGATTTGATTCTTGCAGGGTTTCCTACCATCAACCTTCCAAGGTTGGTGTCTTTCATGTCAGGTAAAGTCTTCTAAGGCTAAAGACTTGATATGGCGTACTGGTAATGAATAAAATTAAGCTTTAAAAAAAAAAAAGGCCTTCCTAGGTTGGTTCTGAAAATGGTGGACAAATTTTCTTCAGCCTTGTTTATCTTCGTAGTTGTACATATATATGTACATAAGCAGATTATGTTGAATTATTGTTAGCTGATTAGGAGATGCCATACTTTCTTCAATCATACCCTAATTAGAGCTAGCCATATTGGTTAAATATTTTAATGGTGTCCACTGTCCAGAGTCCAGATTTGGGTAAACCCCAATTAGCCATCTCCCACAATACCAAACAAATAAGTTTTAGTCTGCAGTGCGCTAGCTTTTGAAGAAAGTATAGCTGACGTTGAACATTAACACCAACTTCCCCCTAATGTCTTCAATTAAATCTTCACCCAAACTGCTCCAGAAAGAAAAGAAGTTAAAGAACAAAAAAAGACAGACCAAATTGTGATAAAAGAATCATGCTTGCTTGCCTTGCTGGGGCTAAAATAAAGCAAAATAATTTTGGAGTCAAAGATAAAAACCCGTTTAAACTGCGTAGCTGCTTCTGGTGTAGGTGAATATATAGTGCATTGATTGGATTTTCGATACCCGCTCGAGCTTACCCGGAACGTTTAAGTATGTCAAGATAAAGATAAATAAATACAATTCCCAGAGTGTCAACCATCTATAGGTCTAGCCTCCGTCACCGCTTCAAGGCTTCTGCCTTCAAACTTTTAAAACCCTAGTTTGTATTTCGTCTCCGCATGCATTCTTGAGTTTTCTTGCCCTTCCAAAGTTTTAACAGGTTTTCCATGTTTTTTTCTCTTTTACCTCGCTTCGCTGGGTCCAACTCCAAACCAAATCAGCACTATATGACTATAACTTAATCGAAGTCCTGGCCCAAAGTTAAAAGGAAGGCCTAAGTCTAAATGGCCCTGTTTCTTTTTCGTGCATTTTTCAAACCTCGCCGACGGCTCCTTCTAGATATATGGGTTTTTGTTTTTGGTAACTCAATTCTGGAACGTTGACTAAGGAAGGTAGCTTGCAAAACCAAGTAAATCCACGAATCTTAATTCAATCAAATATATAATCGACAGTTGAATCATTCTTCCCAACCGCGCCTGTCAACATGCATGATTAAGCATATTGAACATAGAGATTTTGATTAACAAGTGTAATAGAAACAAGTACTTAATTAACTTGTAAATTAGGCCAATCGAGTCCTCTGCCACAATAAAATACTAAATAAATCTTAGTTTAAATAAAGAAATGAGTCGCAATCTTCACTCCATAATTATGAATATAAGCATAAATATGTACGCGATTTTCTCGTGGCAAGTTAAAGAATAGAAAATGAGATAACTCCAAATATTTCGAAACAAGGGAGACAAAAAAAAAGGGAAAATATAATGTTAGCTAACGTCTCTGAAAGACTTAAAGCAGTTGTGTCATGTCTGTTGAAGTTGAAACGGTAATATTGTACAATAACTGGCGTAGATCAATTCAAGTTGAAAATAACTCGCATTTTAATTCTCATTTTAAGAGCCTTCAATATCTAGACGTGGCATTTGCTGATTCTCATGCTGATGATCAGATAAGCTCAGAAGGGCCAAGTAAGTAGGCCACAGATCTTAATGATATATGCACATTTGGACCTACATGTCCAGGATTAATCACATTTTCCTAATCCTGTTCCCTCTCAATAATGATCAAGAATTCAAAGATTACTAACAAAAAACAGTAGCGTCTCTCTTTGGTTGGTAGCAAACTTAAATATATAATGGGTAATAGCTTGCCTTCACCTTTTCTTGAATAAAGCAACAGTATCTCGCTTTCTGATTTGAGGAAGGAAATTTTCTCTTCCTCCCCAAGGACTCTTAAAAATCTTCCCATTAGGTTTGACTTAATTTACCTCCTAGTGGTATTTGGATCTCCGTTTCCATATGGATGTGATAGTTCAAGGCACGTGAATATTGTGAGGAATGATCAGCCGTCCAAATGTACAGTGGCCTTTGCTCTTGTCTTTGTCTAAATGTAGAGTAGCGGAAGTATGTAGTATAAGGTTTGCAATCGGTAAACGAGGTTACTTCTTATATCTCCTGGTCCATGAAAGAAAACGAAGTCTTGGAATCTTAATTTCTTGGGCCTAACAATGATCTGATACCTGTATAAACATCTCCCCTTTCTTGTTTTACTTATTGATAGGAGCCAAAGCAAAAGATACAGAGGAGATTTGGGGCTTAGGAACATGGACTGCGTGGCGTCCGAGTTTCCATCAGAGGAAAGCACGGTTGAGCTGTTTCAATTCTTCTCTATTCCCTGCCAGCAAGACAGCGGCAACCCTAAGCAAGATGAACAGAATTTGATCCTTGTCTCCAAGAAGAGTGATTGTAGCCGGGGCAAGCGTAAAGCAGCTACTGCTTTTGGTGTCAAGGATGGGAACGCTGCTGATAATAAAAGGAAGAAAGTCATTCATAGAGACATCGAACGACAAAGAAGGCAAGAAATGACTACTCTGTATTCGACTCTTCGGTTGCTGCTTCCTCTTGAATATCTCAAGGTTAACCTTTCCCTCTTCCTTTATATTAGAATTGCAACTATAGCATGACAAGAAAAATTTTTATGGACCTTTTCAGACTTCTGAAAATTTATATACCCTTTGTAAATAGTTAGTCTTGTCTTAATTTTCACCGGTTTTAGGGAAAGAGGTCTATATCGGATCACATGCACGAGGCTGTGAAGTACATCAAACATTTGCGGAACAGGATCATGGAGTTAAGTGACAAGAGGGAGGTGCTGAAAAGATCATCCAATTTGCATACACCTAGCTCTATGCCGGAAAGCTCACCAGATTGTTCTGAGGACAGTGTAGTAGTTAGAGCTTGTATGGTAGGAGTGGAGATTGCCATAAACACAGGCTTGAGACAAGGCCTTCCTCTGTCAAATGTGCTTGACGTTATAGTTGCAGAAGGCCTAAGTGTTGTTAACTGCATATCAACTAAAGTAAATGAAAGGATGTTGCACACTATTGCGTTGGAGGTACATATAGTTGCAACCACGGCAATATTCATCATGCTTTTCGCTCCTTTTTAATTGAGAATTATTAATTAGAAACAATATTCCTCTTAATTTCTGAGGCTCAATTTGTTTCACAGGTGAATGATGGAAGAAGCATAGAGCTGTCAGAGCTGCAACAGAAATTAACAAAACTGATGATTCATCCTCCAGGTTAATTAGATTTTTAAACCTGCTGCTAACTGGTTAATTTGCTTGTGATGGTATCTTCCTGCTGTGAAAGATTTGATGCTTTGCAGCTAGGATGAAGTTCCTAATTTTGTAACTTTTGTAACCTAAGGTTGGTCGTGGAAATGGTTGATTAATCTTCTTCATCAGCTACCCTTGTTTTTCAGCTACATAAATAAATACGCAAGCAAATTCGCTGGATCATCAATTGCTTGTTAATGTTTAGTCTGCATGACATACTTTCTGTTCATGTGCCATTAATTCACATTCATATTCATTTACCTTGTTAGTTTCTATAGTTAGTACTTAGTACTGCTGCATGCACTTCGATGACATTTCAAGTGTTGGCAATATATATGATCACTTTGCCATATGATAATCTTGATTAGTGATACAAGGTAATTGTATGGAATCAGTTCAAAAAATATAGCCAGCTAGCTAGTACTCTTCAATGTGCTAAAATGTGTCCCCGAGTTGCTTCAAGTTTTAATTCATGTCTTAAGGGAGAAATTGCATAAGTTAACTCCAATTGCATGTCATGATTTTTCTTTTTGTTTTCTCATCATTTCAACTTAAATTTTATTTATTTTAATACTTCATGTGAACTCATAGCAGCTCGATGAATTTTAGAAGAAATCTACTGAATCCTACTAGAATCATCTATATGTGATATATTTCAGATCATAGTAAGTTTTGTTAATGCAATCTATAAAATTTGCCATCATTTATCTTCATAACTTTATTTGTACCTGTACCTATGATCAAAATGCATGATCTTTACTTTAATAACTCAACAGAGCTCTGGCATCTCTCGACACCAATCAAATGATCAAATTTGATCAGCTTGCCTTGTTTTTGTGGAAATTAGTTAAAGTATGTACTGATGTAGTTGAACAATAATACATATTAAATTGCCCATAGCTTAAGCTAGCTAACTGTTTATGATTTCATACTGCATTCCTCCGTTTTGAATTCATGAATGATCAAAGACACACTTGTCTATCTTAAATTGAGCGTGAATAATTATTGAGCATAGGGTAGGAGTAAGTATAATTAATTGATAACGCATCCCTAGGTCTACACAAACATATATAATTCTGTTCATAGTTTGAATTGTAAAACATATCTTACATATATTTAAAAAAAAAAAAACTCTTAAAAGTCATGTATGAATACATTAAAGTTCTCATTAATTTGTCTAATATATTCATTTTGACAAATAGCATGCATGTTTGGTAGTAATTATTTAATGTTTTCTGGTACAAATAATTCATTTAACGATGTGATACTAGCGAGGATGTCAAGTCTCAAACAATAAGTTGGCACATCCTAATAATTTTACTCAAATAGCTTTTGGTGATGGGTTTTGAACTTGTAACTTGTAGGTAAATTTCCTTTAGCTATCCCAGATAATTACCTTGTCCAAAATCCTATTTTGACACGATGGGCAATAGGCATTGCTGTAAGTCTTCGATCATATCCTTCACTAGCTACTGCCCTCGGATACCTTAACTTGATACCCTAGCTCTCCCTAACAAGTAACGAAGGCATTGTCAAGCTGCTGTTGGCTAGCTAGCTCGATCGGTCCTCTCCTTCAGCTTTGCAGTTGACCGCACAACCAGCACCATTCCCATGCCGTCAATACTGCATGCACTACAATGTAAATGATATTAAATAAATCTAATTATCCTACCTACGAAAGGGGGCGGAAAAGAACATATATACTTTAATAAATCTCTCCTTTTTACTAATATAAATTCTGGTCTCCTTCTACTTCGTTTTTTCCCTCTAATTTGTTCAATCTGGATCCATGAGTTATGACTTGTTCAGACAGATTTGATCACTGATTGATGCATCCGTTCGGGGGTTATGGGCTCGCTCATTGCAGAGATAATTAAAAGCTAAAGCTACTGCTTCCTTCTTGAGCAGAGATGGCGATACTGTTGTCCATCTTTTAGCTCCATGGGCGAACTGTTCTGATGTGATTTAGGCCTTTTGTCCATCGGCCATCAGACATCTTTCTGCCTAGCATTAATATTTAATTGTTTCATAATTTCATTATGACAATTCATCAGCCTAAGGCCCAAGTCTATCCCTTTGTTCTCAACAGTAGGTAAAACTATACTACATTTGTGATATTAAATGAATGACGAAGGTAAAATACTAGCACTAAGATTCTCTCTATGCTCAAATTGTGATTTTTCTCTGTGATAAACCTCTACTATCTTTTCAATCTATCGTTAAAAACACAAATTGATTATTTAGAGCTTCAAATTATAACATCCTCGTTATTTTGCTGATATTCAAAAAAAAAAAAGAGAAGGACAAGGAAAGGAAAAGAAGAATCAGGCATGGGAATGGGAGTGTCATTTTCTTGCACGAACTGACAGATGCTCTCCAACAAAAGTTTCTTGAAAAAAATCTGGTTGATGAGTAGCATTTGATCTGCCTTGTTTTATGTCAATGTTCATGACAAGGAAAAAAGGTACAAATGACCTAATTGAATTGGCCACACGATGGGATGTTCATCAAACTTATCATGATGATCAATTTTTTAAAAAAAGAAAATAAAAAATGTTTCGATCGCGAGGAATTGATTATTAATTAATGATACTGTCAGAAAAGGACCCCACTTCACAAAAACGTTAATTCTTTCCGGTCTGGTCGAAATTGTACACGTTAGCTAATAAGTTACTATAAAGGTTAGTTTAATAATCAAAGAATAATTTATTAAAAAATTTTTTATATAAAATAGTTTATAAAAAAATTTAACATTTTTATTATTTAATTAAATTATCAAAAATATTTTTTATTATTTAGATTTTTTTATAAGAAATATTTTTCATTATGATGGAATTCTTTAGATGTTAAAATAATAAATAAAAATTGAATATTAAATAGTATTGATATTTAATCTTTAACAATTTAAAAATAAAAATAAAAATAAATAAAATCAATAAAGATATTTTTAAAAATATTTAATCACAAATTTATAATTAAAATAAACTCTAATTTTTAACTTATCATAAAAATCAATTTTCTTAAAAAAAATAAAAAAGAGGAATTGATTATTAATCAATGATACTGTCGGGCAAAGACCCCACTTCAGAGGAACATTAATTCTTTCCAGTCTGTTCGAAATTGTACATGCCAGCTTATAAGTTATATAACTGTTAAAAACAAGACGTGATCATTATGTCATCAAAACGCAGTTTTAGCGTTTTCTTAGCTTCCAATCAAGGTAGGAAAATTTATGTCTTCCTCTGTTGTCTGAAGAACAAATCAATACTGGAAAATGGGTTATCATCAAAAACCGCAAAACCTCTCCAAGAACCTTCAACAAGACCTCCTCCTCCCGTCTGTTCTTGTCCTTCGCTCTCCATCTGTTCCTTCTTTCTTCTTCTCCAAATCCCATTTACAAGCTCATTTCCATCTCCTAGACCCGCTCGACTCGCCAGAGCCAACTCACTCTTTCCTCTCCCGTCACGCTGCCTCGGTGCTTGCCCTTCTCTGCGTGGCCAGCACGCGCGTCTCCTCGGAAACTCTTTCCCTTCTTCCTTCTTTGAAGCTCGTCGTGGCCACCAGTGCTGGACTTGACCACATCGACTTAGGAGAGTGCCGCCGACGAGGCATTGCCGTCACCAGTGCTGGTCAAGTCTTCACCGAGGATGTTGCTGACTTCGCTGTTGGGCTTCTCGTCGATGTTCTCCGACGAGTGTCAGCTAGTGAGGGGTATGTTCGGGCCCGGTTGTGGGCCGAAAAGGGACCATCCCCGCTTGGTGCAAAGGTGATTATTCTTTTCAATTTTCAAATTATTGCAAAGAAAGCATACCCGCAAAAGTATTGCTTGATACTACTATAAAAAACATGAGACCCGTTGCTTTGATAGTATCACGATTGATGATTGATGGCCTTAAATTTCTTCTGTAAAGAGGTGCCCTGCCTTGTTCTTTTATCTCTATAATGAAGAAAACCTTGTTTCGCCAAAAATATAATGAAATTTTAAAAGAAATTAAAGAAATACATAAAAGTATATCACATAATATCACCTCGGAGATTTGTCAAAGTTACAATGATAATCAAGACAGTGTGGGTTCGAGCATTATATTCTCATGCTTCTTTGTTGAATGCTAGATATATATAATCATGATTCATGGTTGGGTTGCAGCTGGGTGGAAATCGAGTTGGAATTGTGGGACTTGGAAGAATTGGGTCCGAAGTTGCAAAAAGGCTGATAGCTTTTGGCTGCAGCATTGCCTACTGCTCGAGAAAGGAGAAGCCATCTGTCCCATACCCTTACTATCCCACTGTCAGTGAACTTGCGACAAACAGTGATGCTCTCATTCTTTGCTGCTCTTTGACAAAAGAAACTCACCACATAATTAACAAAGGTGTCATGGAAGCATTAGGGAAGGAAGGAGTGATAATTAACATTGGAAGGGGGGCTCTGATCGATGAGAAGGAATTGGTGAAGTTTTTGGAGCAAGGGCAAATTCGTGGTGCGGGTCTTGATGTGTATGAGAATGAGCCCCATATGTCGCAAGAGCTGTTTGCAATGGAGAATGTTGTTTTGGCACCTCATGCTGCTGTCTACACCTTAGAATCCTTTGCAGCATTGCAGGAGCTGGTCGTAGGGAACTTGAAGGCTTTCTTCTCCAACAAGCCTTTGCTTACACCTGCTCAACTTGAATGAAGGGGCTGCCCCTTCTGATAACACCCTTTTGTGACAATGTTGATATCATGGTTTAGTCTAATCTAATAAAGAAAATTCTTATACCTGCATGGTTTAGTCTAATGTTGCAATTAGTGGGAAGCGAGTTGGGACTGTGGGACTCGGGAGAATTGGGCACGAATTGCCGAAAGGCTAATAGCTTTCGCCTGCAGCATTGCCTACTGCTCGAGAAACTAAATTAACCCCATTTTCAGCACTATATTTCTTTCAAATTATACTAAAGGATAAGCAAAATCATGCTAATTGATTGAAAATGAACAAATTACTAAACCAAAATACTAATTTACATATAACCATTTTTATTCAAATTAAATTATATTTTAAATATTCCAATTCTTCAAAAAAAAAGTATTAGTAGCATTTAATTTCTTGCATATCTCGAATGCACTTTTAACTTTCATTACTTTCAAACGTTAAAAAAATAAAAAAGACAATTAACCAAACAATGCTTCACTTGTTTTATACCGTTTTGCTTGTGTGGCTACGCATGGTCCACGGAGCTAGCCTGCCTTAAGCAAAAGGAAACTGCTGTAACTTGTACCGTTGCACCATGTGGCTAGCTATATTTATGTAGGCAGGCGACCGACACAACATTTTACCGTTTCCATGCATGCGTATTACTTTGCAGAGATGTCAATATAGTTGCCCGGTACAAAATATTGAAAAAAAATGAGTTGGGTCAAACTAGCCTAATTTTTATAAGGATTATCAAAACTTCAACTCAACTCAGTTTTTGTCATCTCATAGATCAAGTTGAGTCCGTTCTTTTAAAAAAAAAATTAAAAAAATTATTTTTATAATTTTACATAATAAATTTTTTATCAAAAAAATTATTTTATAATTTAATTCATAAATTAAATAATAAAAATATATTATAAATAAATAAATTATACTAAACATAAATAAATAAATTATATCAAATATAAATAAAATTTCAATCTATAACATAAATTACAATCCTATAAATATAAGTATATAACTAAATAAATAAAAATTTCAAAACACATTTATATTCTTATCCATTTTCATTCTTAGGTAAAATATTTAAATCTTGTTTGGATAGTAATAATGTTTAAAAATTTAAATCATTATTATTTAATATTTATTATTATAAAAAATAATAAATTTTAATTTTAACTAAAATTATTAACTTGACAAATAAAAATTAAAAGTATTAAAATATATAAAATAAAAAATATTATTAATAACAAAATTATTAATTATATATATAAATATATATAATTATTAAAATAACTAAAATTATTAATTTAATTTTTTTTTCTTTTGACACGCAAAGCTAACTCATAGCATCCCAAGACAACCCACCAATCAAATGAACTAATCTATTTAAACTCGATTTTAATATAGAATTGAATTTGTAAACTTCAACTCACCTCACTTTTAATAAAAAACAAACCAACTCAATGAATCAACCTAATAAACCAGGTCCATTTTCACAGTTCTATTACGGTCCTTTAATAGTTTAGCTCGTTTTAGTTGTGCGGTTACGCACGGAGGTAGCTATCAGGAGCTATATTTACTATATTATATTAATGGTATAGTGTTTATGTATGATCATTTTCGTCAGAGAATGGGCTGCGCGGCCCCTAACCAAAGTTGGACAAGTTGGGAAGTGAGATCCATTCTTTTCCAGCCCAACCAGTTATTGCTAATAAAGCTTTTTAAAAAATGAGAAGCAGATGCTTAAAGGGCATTGAATTTACCGGACAGGTAGCAAATTTCACGATCATTAAATTTTTTTTATTTGATAAAAATTAGAAATGAAATTCATAAATATTAATAATTTTTTTACTTTCAATATACAACATTTTTTTTATCTTAAATATTCAACCTTCCATCCACCAATAAAAAACGATCCAAGGGCGGCAAAAGATCCGAGCTAGATGGCCTGCGAGTTTTGACCCATCCTAAAATGGGCCCATATTTTTGGGCCTGTGGGGTATAAAGGGTCGGATGCGGGTTTGTTTTGCCCGTTTGGAACTCATATTCGGGTATTATGACAAAGATACCTATAAATATAATATTTGATACCTATTGTATTTGACCTATAATATGCGTCTTACACCTTAATATTCTAGTTGTATTATTTTTATATGTAATTTTATATTCCATTATCATCAATTTCTTTGTCAATTATATGAATGTATTTATTTTAAAAGGTTACCTCCAATACGGGTCTACTTGTCAGGCAACGGTAGGGCTCCAAAGACTAGAGCAGGACAATAACAAAAGCAACAACATCGTCAGCAAGACAACAACCGCCGAAGAAAAAAGGGACATTTTGCTGTTTGATAGACCAAATCCTCTGCAATTCCCATCAATGGCTACCAAACAAACTGATTACCAACAACATTTCTCATCGCAAGAGCTACCTGTAGTACTCGTAAATCGTCTACCATCATTCAGGTTGCCTTCCAAGCCTCCCTTCATAGACAATCTACTTCCTCACTTCCATCTACTGGACCCTCACGACGCGCCTGAGCCATATGACTCCTTCCTTTCCCGTCATGCTCACTCCATCAGGGCTCTCATCACTGTTGGGCCCACCCCGGTTACCGCCGAGTTTCTCAATCTTCTGCCTTGTTTGGGGCTTATAGTGGGAACTAGTGCCGGTCTTGATCATATCGACCTTCCAGCCTGTCGGAGCCGAGGCATCGCTGTTACTAATGCTAGCTCTGCCTTCTCCGAGGATGTAGCAGATTGTGCTGTTGGGTTGTTGATTGATGTTCTTAGAAGAATTTCTGCTGCTGACCGATTTGTTCGTGGCCAGATGTGGCCTGTTAAGAAAGAGTATCCTCTTGGTTTTAAGGTAAATGTTCTTTTCCTTTACAGGTTACATCTTTTTATCTGGTTTTTCTTTGCAGACTAGATACTACAAGCACTCAGTAAATTTTGTACAGGTGGTAGTGGCGCTTGTTGCTGCCAAAATTTTAAACCTGGCATGAAATTAGGATAATTACGAGTGGTAATGGATGTGGAATTATCGATGGGTGAATGCATGATTGAGTTTCCTAACCTGAAAAATTGGCTTGTACAAAGTGATTGCTATATATAAGAGCTAATTTATGCGGTAGAATTCTCTGATGAAGTCTGCTAGAGTAAAAATGCAGAATATTGCCCAAAGACTAAATGCATATAAGTCAATAAATTCAGTTGAGGAAAGATATGTGGTTGGGACTTATACTGATCTTGTTGAACCTAGTTAAATAAAATCTTTGACGTTTCAAGACAGAAATGGCTTAATGACCTAAAGTTAACTATTCAAATACATATTATCTATTGTGAAAATTATAGAATTATCTCTAAAGAGTTATCGAAGATCTTACCAAATTAATAGAATAAAGAAAGAAAGAAATCAAACACACCTACAAGAACATAAAAATTTTACGTGGTTCGATCTTTTGAAAACTTGCGTCCACGGACACAGCAACAAAAAAAAATTCATTAAAAGAAAAATTAAGAGATTATAAAAACAATTTCAAATTTACAATCTTTATCCCACATACATCCAAAGTGATGATTATTCGTTAACCCCATAGAGTCCTTTTATTGTGCCAAATACAATAATCTTATGATATGGTATTCTAGTCTAACTAGATTTAAAGATTATTTAATAAAGTATATTAGTTTAATTAAAATTAAACAATCTTAATCATATTATAATTTAAGACTATCATAACAAATCTCCACCTTAGGCTTGAATTCACCAAACTTCACTTTACAAACCAATCTCTATCGACACCACCAATACCCCAAAAGGCCTCAACCACTACGAATATCAATCAAGTCTAAGCAATGCTTGAACTTTATCTCAGAAATTGACTTAGTCAACATATTTGTGAGATTTTCATTTGGCTATTTTCTTCACTACAATGTCACCTTTAGAAACAATCTTTCGAACAAGGTTACACTTACTTAGACGTATTTAGTTTTCTCATGAAATATTTGATTTTTAGTCAAATGTCTGGCACTTTCACTATCACAAAACACAACTGTATGTGCTTGTCCAAAACCAAAGTCATTAACCAATGCTTTAAGCCATAAAATCTCTTTCACTGTCTCGGTCATAGCCATATATTTAGTTTCAGTTGTAAACAAAGCAACGGTTGATTGAAGAACTGTTTTTCAACTGATTGAAAAACGGTTGTAAACAAAGCAATAGTTAATAACATTGTGGTAATTGAGAATGGATAAAAATATTGAGATTTATTTAATAGAAAAGTGAGAAAATATATTATTTTATTAATTATTGTGATTTTTATATATTTTAATGAGAAATGAGATAAAAAATTGAGAACTAATGGATTAAGTGAGAAAAAAGAGATATTTATTAGATATGAGAAAATAAATAGATATTTTATTAATTATTTTAATTATTATATATTTTTAAAATAATTAATTATATTATTATTATAAAATTACGAGACTTCCTAAAATTTAAGACCTAAGCCTTTGTTTTATTGACTTTACTCCCAGCCAACACTGTTTCAAGGTCTCACCACTGATAGTGTAAGTTACAAACTACTGATACGGAAATCAAGTTACCCAAGTAATTGGATTTATTGAAAAAAAAGGAAGCAATTCCATGAAAATCTTTGCTACTGGGATCTTCTATCTCACTAGGAAATAGTAATTCAAGAAGGACCATTGCTCTGGTTATGATGCGCGGGTAGCTAAGCTGCTTAATGCCTTCAAGATGGTTAATGCATTATTCTCTTTGTTCTCCTTTGTCCAACCACTGGTTGTGTATCACAAATATTAGAGTTGAGTCTCCCAAGGAATCACACCGGTGGCCTTTAAAATGTTACACTACTTTATCAGCAACTTAGGATCAAACGTATTTGTTTGAAGCTGTATGAGTACCTTTTAATGTATAGGGTTTAACAAATCAAGCGGGAATCAACACGTCAATGCCAAGACATGTATAACTTCAGGGGCTTTTTTGTTTGTTTTTCATTTTTCTTTTGGTTTATGGGGAGCAAAAGCTAAAACAAAAACCCAAATTCAACAGAAATTATTGAAGAACAATGAACACATGGGCCCATGTGATGGTGTATAATTGACTGAAAACACTGGACAATATTTACATTGACAACATAATTGGATTCAAATCTAATCACAAACTCTGTTTTATTGATCACAGATGTGCTTTTCTTTGGGACTGCAAGAATAGATATTAACAACAGGTGCATGCATGTACAGGACAAATGCAATAAATCAGAGAATTATTGAAACATAACGTAACCTTGGTGCATGCAAATCCATTGACCAAGTCGATACTTTATGATCTTTTAGAAAAATGTTGATTCGAATGCGGAATTCTTCATAATATTTCCTAGCATTAGAATTAAGCTGGGAGTGCTATATCTTTGTGCTTTGGTGTTTCATGAGCATGACGCTTTACATTTCATCAAGGCATTAGATTCGTCCTATTTGGTCCTTCTAAAACACAGTTCCAAACTTCCAATTGCAGTTAGGGGGAAAGCGAGTTGGGATTGTAGGCCTGGGAAGCATCGGCTCTGAAATTGCAAAGAGGCTTTCGGCCTTCAACTGCAGCATTGCCTACAACTCAAGGAAGAAGAAGCCATCCGTGCCATTTCCATTCTATGCTAATGTTAGCGACCTTGCAGCAAACAGTGATGTTCTCATACTTTGTTGTGCACTGACAGAGGAAACTACCCACATTATAAATAAGGATGTCATGATAGCACTAGGAAAGCAAGGGTTGATAATCAATGTTGGGCGTGGGTCTCTTATCGACGAGAAGGTATTAGTGCAGTGTTTGGTGCGAGGAGAAATAGGGGGCGCAGGTCTTGATGTGTTTGAAAATGAGCCTAACGTGCCCAAGGAGCTGCTTGGACTTGATAATGTTGTGTTGTCCCCACATTGCGCAGTCATGACCCCAGAATCCTTTGAAGCATTGCTCCAGCTGACCGTTGCTAACTTAAAAGCTTTCTTTTCAAACAAACCTTTGTTATCTGTAGTGTCAAATGAATGAACTATCCAGTCTTTTAGCTGTAAGGCTTCCTAACCTTCCCAGCTTTGGCATCTTTGTAAGTTAAAACTCTAATGTTCCAATAAATGCTTCGTGAATAAAGATCAACATTTGGTTAAATGTCAAATGCTGGACTGTTGTACCCAAAAACATGTTTATTTCTTTGTTCAGTTGTCAAAAATGATAGTACAACTGTCATGTTTTCGGCCTAGGAGAATGAGAATGTAACTGAAATTTTGGGCTTTTCATTTTTCAAAAAATCTCATAATAGGTTAAGCTCACCAAACAGACTAGAGGAGAAATAAAATAATTATTTTTTTAAAAATAAAAATATAATATTTAAAAAATATTTAAATTATTTAAAAAATTTTAAATAAATATTTATATTTTTATTATATTCAATCAAGTTTTATATTTTTATTTTGAATCAAATAAAATTTTATAACTATTAGTCAAAATGTAATTTTATCATTTTATGTCACGTTGTATTAACATATTATAATTAATAAAAATATGAAATACTGATATGCTATAATTGATAATGACATGATATGTTAATTTAATATAATAAGATGATCATATAATATTTTATACTCTTCATATTAATGTTATATCTAATTAATCAATTATTAATCACAAGAGTTCATTTGACATAAAATAAAAATTCAAGAGTTTGATTGAATATAATAAAACAATAAGAGCCCATTTAAATTTTTTTGAATAAAAGGAGATAATAATAGTAATTATGTAATTTGATTAATGAATAAGAGGTACTGTTATAACATTATTCTAATATTTGGTTAATAAAAATAGTTTTGAAATGGTTAAATAATAAATGATAAAAATATAAAAAATGTATTATAATTTATCAATTTTTATGTTAAAATATTAATAATTAATAATTATAATTTTAATATAATCTTTAATTTAAAACATTAATTTTTTGATCTATTTCTATCTGCTTGAAATATATATTATTAAGGAGATTGATAATAGCTATTTGGATTTTCCCAAAATAGATATTTCTCGAAACGTTCCGTTCAGCAATGGAGGGAAAAGGAATAGTAGCCGTTTAGCAAACCAAACACGCTGTCAAAGAAAAAGAGAAACAAAGGCTTCAGCTCCAGGGCTTGAGGCTCCAAATGGCCACCGCCAAAGAACAAGAGGTACCGCTGGTCCTAGTGCGCGGCCCACCCAACTTCCATTTTCCATTTAGACACAGTCACCAAGCCCACTTCCATCTCCTCGACCCGCTCGACTCGGTACGTCCCGAGTGGACTCACTTCTTCATCTCCCGCTATGCAGCTTCTGTACGGGCCCTCCTCTTCTGGGACCCCACTCCCATCTCCCGTGATCTCCTCTCCGTCCTCCTTTCCCTCCAGTTCTCGTCTGCTCCAGCGCCGGAGTCGATCACGTTGACCTACAAGAGTATCGCCGCCGGAGCATCGCCGTCAGCAACGTCGGGAAGGCCTTTTCCTCCGACGTCGCTGACTTGGCTGTAGGCCTCCTTATCGATGTTCTCCGTAGGGTCTCCGCCGGAGACCGGCACGTTCGGTCTGGATTTGCGGGCTCGGAATGGGGAATTCCCGCTTGGATTCAAGGTTATTTTTGGTTATTTGCTGGTTAAATTTTGTATTATTTTTTTTCGTCCAAAAAAGAATCTTTTCATGAGGTTTGAGTGATGAGGTTTTGCAACAATTTGGTTGATTATTGTAAAGTTTACAATGAAGGGTGCTTACAATTTAAGAAAACAGAGTTCCTTGAGCGAAACTACTTTGTTCCCTTGAACGATCTCTTTGAACTGAGTAAAACTGGCATTCATTGTGGGATCCATGGCAGCTGGACTGGTCAGCAGGTATCGGGCATTATGAAAGAATGTAACGATTCTAAAATAGGGTAAGGAAAATAACAGTTATCTACTAAAAAATGAAAATGATAAATCATACTCTAGTTAATGCTCTTCGCTACCAACAATGGCCTTTAGAATTGCATCGTCATAGAGGGTTTAAAGCAGTATTTGATAATTTCTAGCTAGGTGGAGTGGACTAGCAGAGTTTGACAAGTTCAACAGAAGCACGGATGGTTGGCCACTGCTTTGTAGGAAAAGTTTGATGGCCCGCCACTATGCCATGTTATTAATACCACTGTTTGTTTCGTATAGGCTAAGCAGAGCTGTTGTTTTTGTCTGCCATTTTTCTTGTTTTCCCAGTTCTGCTTGTATCTTTATAAGGCCATTGGCCCCAAACACTGTTAAAATGGTGTGAATCATGGGAGATTCCATTGTTGGAATTTTCTCTCATTGTGATATATCTGAATTGTGGAATTTTTTTGGCATGACAAAAGATATAGTGATCCTCATTCTTCAACAACACAGCAGGCCAGCACTCCCATCCCTTCCCTTCTATTACATCATGCACGTTTTGTTAGACACTAATTTATGAGTTTCTTTTTAAACGTCGTTATGGTGCAGTTAGGAGGAAAGCGAGTTGGAATAGTGGGCTTGGGAAGCATTGGTGCTGAAATTGTGAAAAGGCTTGAGTCATTTGGCTGTGCTATTTCTTACAACTCAAGGAGGAAAAAGCCATCTGTTCCGTTCCCATGGTATAAAAATGTCCATGACCTTGCAATTAACAGTGATATTCTGATTGTTTGTTGTGCACTGGCAGAAGAAACTCATTACATAATTAACAAGGATGTCATGACTGCCCTGGGAAAGGAAGGAGTGATAATAAATGTAGGGCGTGGGGCTCTTATTGATGAGGTGGAATTGGTGCAGCTTCTGGTGAGAGGTGAGCTGGGTGGTGCAGGTCTTGATGTGTTTGAGAATGAGCCTGATGTTCCGGGAGAGCTATTTTCCTTGAATAATTTTGTCCTGTTTCCACATTGTGCTGTTGCAACTCCAGAATGCTTTGATGCCCTGGAGGAGTTGATCACAACTGACCTGAAATTCTTTAAGAGCAAACCTCTGCAGTCATTGGTTGAATTTGAATGAATGGACAATTCGTTTATTTCTAGTTATGATTTTTAGGCAGCTAAACCAAGAAAGTCTCTATAGTAGAGATCATCAAGTTGACACATCAATATGTTTTGGAACGATACCAAGTCCAAGGTATCACAGTCTCTGCAGCATCTCGGAATGGCAGCGCTGTGAACTTATATGATAAGGGATTATAATGATTAAGCTGGAAAGCTATCCCAACCACTAGTAGTATACATTAAATAAGGAAAAAATTGTTAGAAAGTTCATTTTCTACTTTCAGAAATCAAGTTGCTTGCAATTAAGGGTTGATGCAACCTTAGAACATTGTTTCTAGCAGTCCTTTAAGGCTTTAACATGAAAGTGATGTATGGATTACAGATTAGAATTGCTGAGTTTGGAGATCTGGGGTGGATAAGGTTTCTTATAACGTGGAGTTTGGTATTTTGATGATTATTGGTTGCTTGAGAATTACTATCCTTATGGATTTTTGGCCTTGTTTGTTTGTCTTGTATCAATATCTGTAAATTTTTCTTGATGAAAAATGAAAGCTTGCATGGTACTGTCCGGCCAAAATTATGTTTGACAATTGACAAGGATGCTTTGTCGGAAGCATCCTCTGTAACATCCGGGCGTGACCAGTTGGTCCAGTCCTTTACCTTCCATTCAACCAATGCCAACACTCTTGTTAGTGGCCACGACTGGCTAGCCTTCTTTTTTTTTCCCCCGTGGGCTCGATTCGACTGAGGAGGGTAGAACTATTTGGTTTTCTTCTAGCGCAAGATAAATACTGCAATTCTTTTTCTCGTTATTTATTTACTAAAAATTTTGAAGCAATTGAATCCAAATTCTTCTAAATCTCTCTTTGTTCTATTCTTACCATTTGAAAAATGTTCAGGTAAAAATTTTTTTATAAAAAATTATATATTAATTAATAAATTAAATACTCGAATACCATTGAGATGTTTAGATAAAAGTTTTTTTTATTACATTTTAAACATTTATATCTTTGCTTTGAAAGATGTTTTACTAGGAACCCAGCACCATTTTCACTGCTGGGTCGTAATGATGCAAAATCTATTAAAACTACTGATGATAGAAAATCCGATCGCGGTTGATCGGTATCAATTGTCCTGTTCCAGCAACTTAAACCTGCCAACTATCAGTCCACGAACTCAAGAATGCATTCGTGATTTTCTCCGGAGAGAGAAACAAAAGTTGGAGAAGTAAAATAGGATCACAGAAGACGCTGTCAGTTTAGTTTCACAGCTTTTGTTTGATAACACTGAACATTCAACACTGTGGAAAAGTTGAAAGTTGGACAGTTCTGTGCAAAAAAATTTAGCAGATTCAGCAGCGAAGCACAAGTCAAAGACAATACCGCTCGCCTCGTCGGTTGTTGGAAGAAAATACGTTGATGATATGGGAGGTGTTGAAAACGTTTTTCTTTTCCTGAAGAGTATGGTTTCGAAAGTTGACTGGTGGACGGGGCACGATTCACAGAACCATTTCATCCGCCTCATTCAATTGCTATTGTTGAAGCGATCTCCACCTAAGTAATAGTACTAGTTCTTTTTCATTATTGAGACTACTTAATAGTTAGTTAGCATGGCTGCTTGACCTTCACATGGCAGAAAATACCCCCACCACAAAGTTATACATATCAAAATCTAAACGACAATTAACCCAGTGCCATTGGGGAAAATTTACCTTTTGTTAATTTCCTGGGTGTTCGGAATAAAAAGAACAGAAGGGAGGCAAAAACTTGCCTGTTTAGAGTTTGATTCACTATTTAGATAATTACAGGTACTTCACTTGATACGTTTAAGAAAAAAATTGCTAATGTATTGAAAAATTTAGACTAAGAAGGAAAGTGTGGAGGGGAATGAGTTTTGTTTATGGAGACGTAAATTGAGGAAAGAAATGTAAACAAAGGCCATTAATTCACAAACTTCTTAACACAAGGAAGCAAATCAGTCTGCCATTATTCAATAAAGCAGGTAAAGAGAAGCCAATGAGTGAAAGACAGACACCACCCCGGCATCAGCCTACCACAACCAAAGGTTTAACCCAAGATAATATAGCATCATCAGACCCGTAAACAGCTTATAAAGACATTAAAAACAAGAAGATATTTCTAATTTAACTAATGACTAGCCTCAATTGGACTGACCATCCCGGGTCTTCCTAAACAGCTTGTGCTGAATATGCTGAGCAAAGGTGCGAGGAGGGAACAATGGAGGCTCCGTCTCGGTCACAGTCTCTGACAGTGGCTTGAGAATGATCTTCTCCTTTGGCGGCTCACAGAAAACTGCCCATGAGATCCTAACCTTCTCCTTGTTAACCAGACCCCTGTGAAGAATGCTCTTGAACTTACCATTGCTGAGGATCTCGATGGTGTCACCAATGTGCATGATGATGGAGTTTGGAACACATTTTGCAGTGATCCACTTGCCTTCGTAGAAAAGTTGCAGGCCAGGAACCATGTTGTGGAGAATGAAGGTTAGTGCACTTACATCTGTGTGAGCCTCCACACCGAGAGCGAGTTCTGGTTGAGGGCATTTGGGATAGTAATTGATTTTCATTTGAAGAAGGAGCTCTTCCAATCCACCAACTTCCTTCTCTAGCCTTCCTTCTTCCAATCCTAAGCAAAGTGATAGTGCCGAAAGAATTTTGCTCGCGAGGACTCGGAGTTGCCTTGCGTACTCACTTGTGACTTCACTGCATAATAACCAATTAACAGTGGCGAATTGTTAAAATCCGGACGGATAGTTTACGTTTAACTTTAATATTTCATATCACAGAAATAGTGTTCTTAGTGTAATAATGTATCCTGAATATTAGGAAAAGTTTCTGTCTAATCAGGCAGACAGATAATTGCCAAACTGGTAGATCTTTTTATTAAATGTGAAAGTTTTCACTTTTCAAAAAAAAAAATTGTGAAAGTGTTCAATGAACCCGTTGGACATATATAGCATGTTTGATATGGTGCTCAAGAAACATTATCATTAATTGATCAAAGAATCTAGTAATTGCAAAGAGTAGTATGTAAAATAAACCAAAAGCCATAAACTCACGTGTAGTCGCTTGGCGTTTGAGGCCAGATGGACAAGTCTCTCTTGTCTTCGGGATACACAAGATGGAAGAAGTAGTCCTCCCACTCAAGCTGACCACTAGCATTGTTAGCTAGCTTGCTGCCATACCCCTGAATCTTCCCCGAAGCCTGGTCGTTGGCATACTTCTCTTTCTCCTCGACAGAAAGTTCAAAGAACTTCTGTCCAGCTTTCTTGACACGTTCCATGAGCTCGTCCGAGATCCCATGGTTAACAAGGTGCATCACACCCCACTCCATGGCAGCTTTCTTCAACTCCTGGCGACATCTCTCGCGTACTTCTGTGTCCTCTGAGTCAATTTCCCTTAAATCAATGGTTGGAACCTGAGGCCCTTCCTCTTTTTTCTCTTCATCAAACACATTACCAATGCTTGTAAGCTCTTCCTGAGGTCTAATGTACTCTTTCGGGATTGACTGAATCCCACTGCTTGCCAAGCTCTCTACTCTGGGGGCCATTGAAGTCACCATTCTTGCGATCTTCTAAACTTGCTTTAGAAGTTAATTGTTTCCACTCTGTAAAAACAACCCTTTTTTTTTTCTCGGCTTTTGTGGTGAACCTCAGTCTCAGGAATATGCTGTGGTGCTGATCTTTAGTGGCCTTTTTATAATGATCTGGCTCAAGAAAATTTTAAAGTGGAAGATCAAGAAAGCTATGATATTATAATAAAAAAAAAACAAAAAATCAGTTACCTTAGTGAACATGCAAATGGGGTAGAGCTACCAAATCAAGAGAAAGAAATACTGAAGAAAAATAGATGTAACTGGTAAGTCGTACACGTGATGAGCTCCACTAAGGACTGAGTTAGAGAAGTGGTCATACAACTTGGTCGTCCCAAGGTGAGTTGACTGGTAGGTTGGAGCACGAGCAACCCCGAGCCTAACACCCTCCGCTCTAATTTACTAAACTATCTCAACCAAACGCGCCTGTGAGGTAGAACTTGTTTTGCTTTTGTTTCTTTTCCATTCATCATATAATTCTTCTGAACCTAAAATTATATGTAAAAATGAGAACATCCATTCAACAGGTAATTAATGTTACATATATACATCTAATACTATAAAAGTTTTCAATATCTCTTAATTTAAATATTAAATTGTACTATTCTAAATTACTTACCGATTTTTCGAACCATGCTAGATAGCCTGTTTATCAATGGTTTAACTTTTATAAAATGAAAAAATTATACATACATAAAAGTTAATTCTCCATGTCTTAAATATTGTTATTTGAGAGAAATTAAAAGTATTAATAATATCATAATAAACACTCTTTCTATTAAGTCACTTTGTATTTTAGCTTTACACCAGGCACTGGAGAAATGCCTAAAGTGCACATTTATAGAGCTACTGCGCATACTAGTAATGGGTAGTTTAAGCAAATTAGCTGATTTGCTTTAGAGGAGAGTTGACTAATTAATTAAGCAGCGCGTGGATAAACAACGACCAAAATTTTTATTGGGAAAGTCCACCTACCAAGCGAGGACTGCACGTTTCATCTAACCCATCTTAATTTGGATTCATTTAACCCCAAATGGAAGAGAGGACTCAAATGATTTCAACATCCAATCATCATTAGTGAAGTTAATTGAATCCCTCCCCTGCCCTCTTTTTGGAAACATTAAAGTTCGATTGAACTCAAATAACATTAAAGATATTAAACAGGCCTTAATTCAACAATGCGTAGATGATATGAGAATTGGATATTTTTATATCAATAATAATACTCCTTTTGCTTTATATTATATATTATAAAGCAATAAAACTCTTGTAAAATATATTTTTAATAACGAATAACAATGATCAAAATTATATACTCTTAACATATTATATATATATATATATGTACGTATATACCTTGTTAGTCTAGGCATTAGAATGTCTAGTTTATGGACCATTCATTGCAAAAAAAGCTTCAATTGAAATTTAAATAGGTTTAATTCAATATTATTCCATATGGTTTTGCTTTTAACAAATGGTTGTACATGAACATTAATTATTATGTACAAAAAAAGAAAGTTCTAGAAGTTATATAATTGAAGATCTTGCATGGGATCGAAACTAAGAGTTGCTTCTGGAAGAACAATGAGGTAGTTGGTTGCTCGTGCTTCATCTCCACGAGCTTTCAGTCAGCAAGATATCGGCCTGCTGCTAGCTAGTTCAATTAATTTTCGTATGTATTTGCTAGCAAAACCACTGGCCCCTATCTTGCCTTAGCCTCCGTACCTTGTTTCTCTGTCCCCAAAAAATTGGCCAGAAATGTGATTTTATATGAATTATCGGATAAACAGGTCTAACAAAGGAAGGGGAACAAAGACTTTTTTGCTTTTTTTGTGCTCGCCCATACTTCTTGGTCTTGACAGGAAGAGTAAAAGCCTTTTAAGTTTTCAATTCTATAGGATCATATAGAATTGTTTTATCCATATGAGAGCATTATTCTTTGCAAATAGTGTAAATGTCAACGATTTAATTCGGTTCTATATATAAAAGAGAAAAAGAGATGGACCACCCAGGAACCCTTTTTTTTTCTGAATTTAAAAACAAAAGAAAACAAAAATAAGAGATTAGGTTGATTTGAAGGGGAGATATGCTTGAGAGCATTGACACTTACATATTGGCTGGTAAGATTAAACAACAACTAGGGCCTAGTGGGGAAAGTTGAGAAAACCTGTGGGCAGAGGACCACTGTTTTCCAAGGATTACTATTTACATCCATTGCCCAGCCTCTCCAAAATAATAAACACAAGGTGGCACGAGCAGGAGTCAAGTACTTGTGTACTGCTGCATCATAATCAAGCCCATTCAATCTCATTTTCATTGTGTTTCTCGATTCTATAATTTTGGGGACCCCCACTATTCCAACCTAGCTATGTTGAAGGAATTGTGTATGTGGAATTCAAATACCATGATAACAAAAAAATATATAAAATAAAGTGTATGTTAATTACATCATATATAGGTTGCTCATAACATTTTGTTTGTTTTTCTATTCTTTTTTTACTACGAAAAGTCTTTGTCAAAGTTTCATAATTGCTTCGATAGTCTCTAGGGAACCGAAGGCTTAAAACAGTTTTGTGGGGAAAAGCATTGAGTTTCATTGTACCAACAAAGTCACCCCTTTAAAAATGTCATTAATTCCTGTAGTGGTGAACTGGAAAATCATTCTTTTGTGACTCTATTTAAGCAAAGCAATAGTATCTGCAATGGAACAAAGTTAAAAGATAATTTAATATGCTGAGCAAATAAAAAAAAAAGAGTTAATATGTAGTTCCTTATATCAGAAATGGATTTAGAAGTTAATCATGCATGTGGCATGCATGTCAGCTTAACGTTTATACTCTCTAGTTCAAAGTGCATTTTGACAGGCAAGTAGAAAGACGAAATTATTAAAATAAAAGAAAAATAAATTCTCCAGCTTCTTCCCAAGTTTCAAGTGATATGATTCAATGGATTAATTGTCTGCAAACGAAAGGAATAATTGAGACACCAAACCCCCAGTTCTGAATTTATTTTATTTTCTTTTTTTTTTAATATTTACTGATCAAATTAATTATATGAATTATTTATTTCCATTTAGCTTTTCAAAGAAAAAGAGGCTAGATCGGGCTCCAAAAGACTAAATGGGGACCCATGGGCTATACTAACCTTAGGCTTGCCCAGACCGAGAAATGAAGCCCATGAAAACGACCATCGCAGACGATGACGTGGCCAGATTTTGTAAGATCAAAAATCGGTTATCCTTTGCAGCAGGACAATAGAGGAAAGACCGTTGCATTTCCCTCCACACGTTCCTCGCTTGCCTTATCTTTGCGCTGTCTCTCTTTCCCTCCAAGAAAAAAAACAAAAAAGGGGTGAAACAAATTAAATTGCAAAGCTCCATCATCAGCGGCTTGACTCTCACCACCTGAAACCAGCGAAATAAATAAATAAACTTAGCTTTAACAGGTTGAGCTCTTGGTTAATTTTTCCTTTAATTAATTTCAATGGCTAGCAAATTAGCCTTCAGTTTGACACCCCCTCGTTTGTTCACTGCCCCTATTCAAAAGCCCTTAGTTCCTTTCTCTTCATCTTCTTCTACCAGGATTCAATCCAATGGAAAGCAGCTATGTGTTCGACGCAGATTGTTCTTACTTCCCACCAAGGCTACTGCTGATCAACAAGGTTTGAAACTTAGAATCATCTTTTTGAGACCAGAAAGTTGTCCATGTTCTATAAGCTTACAGCTAAATTCGCAAGAAATATTAAAATATATTACTCAAGAAAGTCTAGTCCTTGCGTTTAGCTAAGTTGGCCAGTGGATAAGCTTTCTGTGCTTCTAAAATTATTAGGTACTTAATTAGAGGAAATCGTGCACCCACGATTCATCTATGGAAGTAGCATCAGGTGGAAAAACAAAGAAAAGGAAGAAAGACTTGCACAAGATAGTGTTAAAATGTGGATATATAACACACTTTCATAGCCTTCGAGGCTTCCACTTAGGATTTGTATTTCTTTTTCATTTTTGTCTTATTTCAATGTGGAGAGAGTCCTTGAGGTGACTCTTGCATTCTTTGCAGGCCAGGTCGAAGAAGATGAGGTTGTGGATAGTAAAATTCTGCCTTACTGTAGCATAGACAAGAAAGAGAAGAAGTCCTTGGGTGAAATGGAGCAAGAGTTTCTTCAAGCCCTACAAGTATGGAAGCACACTTGTTTTGCATTAATTTGTTTTCCCTTCAATGCAGATATTTAACACATAGCAATTCTACCAAAGAACGGAGCAATCTTTGTGTTCCGCATAAAATCAATCTATGAAACTTTACTGAACACATAACTGCAACCTGACTGTTAAGTATGCATGACACAAATTTTCTTCCTCTTTTTTCCTACAGGCATTTTACTATGAGGGAAAAGCTATCATGTCAAATGAGGAATTTGATAATCTCAAGGAAGAACTAATGTGGGAAGGAAGCAGTGTTGTCATGCTAAGTACAGTCCAAAATTCCTATCAACCTTTGTTAAAGCAATATGGTCATCAATCATGACATAAGCCTTGAAGATGTTATAACTTTCTTGGTTTACTCTATTTGCAGGTTCTGATGAGCAGAAATTTCTGGAAGCCTCAATGGCTTATGTATCGGGAAAACCCATTATGAGTGATGAAGAATTTGATAAACTGAAGCAAAGGCTAAAGGTTTGTCAGCATTTGTCTTATTTTTAGATGACACAAAATGATCTTTACCTCTCAATCTCAGAAATGATACCAGTCGTTGGACATAGTAGCAGAGGAATTCTTCATTGCATCATGACTTAATCTGTCTGTAATCATCCTATTCAATATAGTATCCTGTTCCTTTATAGGCGTTAATACTGAAATATAGGGACTTTGTTTCTGCTGCTTAAGTTGTGCGAGGTAGCTGATTGTCTACTCTCTGAAAAGTATAGTTGCTATAGCACTGCATAAATTGTTTTGAATGCTTCTGGTTTGTGGGTTTGATTTAGTAAGCAAAGGAGAACTGTATCCTCGTATGATATGGAGTACTGTTCCCATCTACTCAATGCCTAAAATATCTAGTCACATGTCACTGATTTATGAATTTAATTTAATGAGAAAAGGAGAATTCTACCCTTACAAATTATTCAACCATGTCAGCTCCATTTCTACCATTTTTCCAATCCTAAAATGCCTGTAGTATGAATGGAGTTTAGGCCATCAGCTTTAATTGTTTCATGCAGCATTTCCTTCTAATATTTTTTATTTCTTCCATAACCATTGTCTAGATGGAAGGAAGCGAAATTGTAGTCGAGGGTCCACGATGTAGTCTCCGTACTAGAAAGGTACACACCATTCTGTTTTCTTCTGTTTCTACTGTTATTCTGCATCATTTTGAATTAGCCATAGATGAGCACTGCATGCATTCCCTCATATTTACATTAAGTAACTCATTGCACTTCCCTTCCCCAGCACCCACCCAAACAACTCATCTTCCTGCCTTCTTCAATAAATCGTAACTGTCTTCTGCCTTAAGCCTAGTGAAGTGGTTTTGATAATTTTTCTTCTTATAGGTGTATAGTGACCTATCTGTTGACTATTTGAAGATGTTCCTCTTGAATGTCCCGGCCACTGTGATTGCCCTAGGATTGTAAGTCTTTTTACCCCTGTTCTTTGCACTAATACTGTCTTTATCTTAAACTGACAAGATGTTGATGTCCTAATAGAAATCAGTATTCTAAGCCTGTGATGCTGAATGCTAGTTTGTTATGTTTTCCATCTTTAATATGGTATGATTTTCCCCTATAAAATTACTCATCTATGTTCTGGTCTTCGTAGGTTTTTCTTCCTAGATGATCTGACGGGATTTGAAATCACATATCTTTTGGAGGTAACCTGTTATTGCTTCTGTTTTTCTGCTGCTAAACTAATGCATGCAAGGCTGAAATATTACCCTGGTTCTTTGCCCTTTTCTAATGGTTGCATTTTCAAAATAAATGATCATTGTATTGGCTGAATTGATTAGCCAAATCAGAAATCTCAGATTGACAGGAATGTCCTATTTGGTATTTTACTACCTTGGCTCAATGTCAAAATCTTCAAATGTTCTCTCCATTACCACTTAAGCAAATCCAAAATAGCATTTTCGGCAATTATAATGTCAAGGGAAATTATGGAATGGCCATTCTGACAGCATTTTTTACACATAACTATACTTTTCTGGGAATTGTTGAATTTGCAGCTCCCAGAGCCATTCAGCTTTATTTTTACGTGGTTTGCTGCTGTGCCCGCATTGGTTTGGTTAGCTCAAGCCCTTACAAAAGTGGTTGTGAAAGACTCTCTGATCTTAAAGGTGAAATCTCTGTTTCATCCTTTCCATTGTTACATAGAATTGCCCCATAATCCTACTATAAACCAAGGAATTAATATGTGTCGTTACCTTCTAGGGCCCTTGCCCGAACTGTGGTACTGAGAATGTCTCCTTCTTTGGCACCATACTGTCGGTTTCCAGTGGTGGAACCACCAACAGTATTAAATGTTCAAAGTAAGTCGGATCATTTGTTTACTGACTGCATTCATTAATTGAGCTGTGAGCTCACGTTATTCACATTGCTGCAGCAATTCTTTTTCTAACTCTTTTTCTACTTCAGTTGTGGAACTCCAATGGTGTATGATTCGAACACGCGATTGATTACATTGCCAGAAGGAAGTGAAGCTTGATTGGAGGTATATACCATGCTTATGTATGCTTCCCCTGGAATCGCTTCTTGGATAACTTTCAAGCATCAGATGGTACCTATTATCTGTTAGAATTTTCTTCTTCATATGTACTTGCTAAAACAAAGGGACCAAACAATTATTTATGGATTCATTATGCTGAAAATGATAAGTCACTTTAGACTTCAGACACAAATAACTGTAATTAACTTTGCATCTCTTTCTGGGGCAGTGTTATTCCCACGTTAACAGACACAGCCATGGCTGCAGGATAAATTATTACCAAGGATCCACAGTAGGACTGCTACAAACTCGAGAACTTGGGAGTGAAGAGTGTGTCGTATGTTCTTAAACATGGTGGGTCATCATTCGCAGCGCAGGTGGAAATTTTGACATGTGCTGCAATGTAGAATGTATATCGGTTGTATGTTATGTCAAATCCTTTATTTGTAAGTAACATGTAATATATTTAAAACTGTAACAGGCATGTTGACAGGAAGAGAGGAGAGCAAAAATGTTGTCGTGAAAATCTTTTGATCAATAAAAATCATGTTCTATGTAATGCTTTTTATCAGCTGTAATTCATATACTGTTATACTATACTAGTAAGTAAATAAAATAAACATAAAGATCAGGGACACAAATATACCCAACCAAAAATAGGGAAGATTACATTTTCTAACAAGAATTCAAGGAATTAAAAAGATTACACCTTTTCGCTACCAATGGTTTTCAAGCGAGGACGATTAGGAATGGGGAGGAGGAAGTGGCTGACTGATTGCTGCGAGCTTGTGGCTCTCCGTCTCTCTCTCTCTCTGCCGCTTTTACTTCTTCCTTTTCGGTTTTGGGCTTTGATGGAAAATGGGAACCAATTGATCCATCAAGCCCTGCATCGAACGGACCAGGAGACCTCAAGGCCCACATTCGTCTGTCAGCGCGTTCTCGATCCAGGCGATTTGCGTCCTTTCTTCTTTTTCATAAATCAATAATCTATTTTACTAAATTAATGATGCAAATCATATACATTTATTGGAATTAATATTATATTTTTTATCTGATATTTAATTTTCATAATTTTTCTTCTTCCTTTTTTTCTTAACAGGCGTAAATTGTAATCTATTACTATAAGAAATTATATGCATTTATTTTTTGGCAGTATTTCATTAAAAAAAAGGAACCACCCCTCCTTTTTGGGTTTAATATATCTTAATTACTAAATTATTATTTTGTCTGTTTGAGATAACATCTTAAAGTTTATAATTGATTGAAATTGTGTTACAAAAAGTTGACATATGTCAGCATGCTTGCAAAAGTACAAGTATGGTACCAATAAAAAGGAAAACAGTAGAAAACATTGAATTGATATATTACTAATTAAATTCGTTGAACCCTAAAAAAGAACAAATGAAGATAGTTAAGGGGCGGCAAATAAGTCGGTACAATCTATCAGAACTAAAATTTCAAGTCAATACCTGTGAATTTTTTTTTAAGAAAGATTGTTAATACTTAATCTACTTACCCAAGCAGAGTAAGACGCTGATTGCCAATATTAAAAAAACTTAATTACTCCCTCTGTCACATAAATAATGTTTGAATTTGACATCTTACAGTTAAATTTTTTAAAAATTTTGATCCTTATTATACTAAATTTTTAATGAACTAAATTTATATAAAGATTTATTTGAAAACCTCATCGATCGTTAAAGGTTTTTAGAAACTATCATTTTTATATTTTAATTAATTATACATTTAAAATAAAATGAAATCAAAATTGGAAAAAAAAAAAGACCATTTAAAAATTAAACTAAAACAGTATTAATAGGACGAAGTAATGGAGTAATAAATATAAAATAGAACAAATATGTTAACTTAAAATTGACAATAATTAACGTTTTTCTTTCAAATGACAACAAAATAGTTACTTTTCAAATTGTTATCATACGTAAAGAGCTAATTAATTAAATGGTAAGATTAAAGAACAAATAAAGCAAGTTCTTTTCTTCTTTAATTTTAATTAATATAAATAGAGAGCACAAATACAACCTGCACGCACGTTGACAATCATTAAAAAAAAGGTGTATAATAATCATCCAATGAATTCTATTTCGAAATTTTTAGCTTGACTTGAGAGAATTTAATCTTCGTGAGTGTCACGAAGGCAGGCATTCGTTTTTCCTTGTCCCAAAGGTTGGTAGCTTGCCAACTATATATATATATATATATATATATATATATGAGAAGGCAACATTTACAAGTCAATATACGTTACACAAGATTGTAATTTTGTCTCTAAAAGGTCTCCCGAAGGAAGAATAAGCCATGGCTTCTTCTTCTAATTCATGGTCATGCTGCTGTAGGTTCTTTTCGTTGACACTTACAACGTTGGCCATCATCAGCAAACCTTCTGTTGCTGCTCCAATTTTCCGGCCAAGCCCTTGGGCCCTTGCCCATGCCACCTTTTATGGCGATGAAACCGCCTCCGAGACAATTGGTATGTCATTGTTTTAACCTTTTCATTGGTGTATTATGGGGGTTTTCTTCTTCTACTTTTGCTTTCTATATCATATATATTGATGATCATATACATTAGTCATTGGTGTCAATAGCTAATCAAGATTTATCTTTGAAGGGCATGCTCATTTGTTAGTGATCGTTACATCTTAATTTCTACAAATGGAAGTGAGTTCGGTTAAATAGTTTCTATGTTTAATTATGAAGCAACATGGTTTATATTTATTTTCAAGTTTCAATGTATGATAAAAAATCGAAGACAACATATCTCTTATAATTTTTGAATTACTATTAACAAATCATAATTATGAATTGTCTAAGATTTATCAAAATATTACATGAAATTTATATTTTATTATGATTACATAATTATAAAATTGCAATAAAAAATTTGCAAATTAAATGCTCCAACTCGTGTCAACTACAATTGTTTGCAAACCCAACTTATACCAAGGTTTTGAAGGGATATTTTGTTACAATGACATATCGAAGAAGAGTTAAATTTGGGTCAAAAGTATTTTGTTAATCTCTTAATAAAAATGTCAGCCCTTATCCTATGAAAGGAAATTAAAGGATATGTTGTAAAACAAATTCGACCATGGAACAGGTTTTTGTTAATTTAATATCCTAGAATTCAGTTTCAGGTTCGTCCTTACTAACCCTGTGTTCTACTGGACCTTGCAGGAGGAGCTTGTGGGTATGGGAACTTGTTTTCCAATGGTTACGGTACGGACACAGCTGCTCTGAGCACAACATTGTTCAACAATGGGTTTGCTTGCGGCACTTGTTACCAGATCAAATGTGTCCAGTCACCTTGGTGCTACAGCACGGTTCCTTTCACCACAGTGACTGCTACCAACCTTTGCCCTCCAAATTGGGCCCAAGACTCCAACAATGGTGGCTGGTGCAACCCTCCTCGAGCCCACTTTGACATGTCCAAGCCCGCTTTCATGAAAATTGCTCAGTGGAAGGCTGGTATTGTCCCTGTGATGTACCGAAGGTACCGTAAACATGCTCAAGATTCAGACTTATACTTGTTGGACACCCAAAATCCCCTAATAGTTTAAAATTTCATGTTGACTAATTCGACATGATTTTCTGTACGGAGGAGCACGTTTAAACCATTTTTTAAACTCTCCAAGAAAGTTTTGAACTACGATCAACTTGGTTTTCCTAAAATCGTTTCTGAATTCTAGTATTAGAATATGACCTCCTAAATGGTCTATGTATTCCGATCCTTGCAGGGTGCCGTGCGTATGGCCAGGCGGGCTTAGGTTTTCTTTCCAAGGAAATGGGTACTGGTTGTTGGTGTATGTGATGAATGTAGGAGGAGGTGGTGACATTCAAAACATGTGGGTTAAAGGAAGCAGAACAGGGTGGATCAGCATGAGCCATAACTGGGGAGCTTCATACCAGGCATTTGCAACTCTTGGAGGCCAATCTCTTTCCTTCAAGCTCACTTCATACGCAACCAAGGAGACCATCATAGCTTGGAATGTTGCACCTGCAAATTGGAATGTAGGATTGACTTACAGCACAAATATGAACTTCCATTAATCAACAAGTTCACTATAGCTCTTCTTTTTTCCCTTTTCTTTTTTTGTTTTTCCTTTCCCCCTTTTTAAAGCCCTATGCCCATGCATCATTATTGACTTTCTTTTCTTGAAGAATTTTCCTTGTACTTTCTAGAGCATAGGCAACTGGGCAGCTCCCTGGTTCAGCCGAGTTTGAATGGCCAGGAGAATAATTATACCTTCTCTTCTTTTGGTTATTTCACTGATTTTGTCTTTCCTTCTGCTTCATTTTGATCTTTGCTTTTCCTATTCCTTGAAATTTTTGCTTTTGGGAATTGAAGCTAAATGCCTTGCTGGCAATTAATTACTTGTCTGATCACCAAGATATATATGGACATGGTTCTCTTTGCAAGAGTATTGTCTACAGCTTCTTAAACTTAAAATGTTAGTGGTTTGCACACAATCCAAAACATGTCATACAGTGAGTTTGAAAGAGAAGATTTCAAGCTAAAATAAGGCATTAAGAATACTTATCCAAAAACAAAAATCGAAGAGAACAAAGATTTTGATCTTCAATTTTTGCTCAACATTTGTAATAATGATATAAATATAGATCCCTTTTAAAAAATATAAAGACATTTAGGTGATATCATCAGAGTATTGAAATGCAGAGCTGATAGTTAATTGTTATCTCATATCTTAGGTACGAACCTAAACAGGAATAAAGATCGCAGATGGTACCAATTAAAAAAACTCATACACTTATTTCCTTTGATTTTATTCCACAATGCCCATGTGTATTTGTGGAACCCTCAGGGGGATAAAAAGAAATGTGATGGGATGCCATATGGCTAGCTAGCATGATTCCCACAAATTTGTTTAAGTGGGGAACATGCTAAAACACAGTTTGAGTACTGAGCCCCCAAAGGGGAAAATCTGCCCTCATTTCAATCCCTCAGCACGCCAGCTTCCTTTTTGATATGAGGGGTCATCATCAGGCCACGCTCCAAATCATTTCTCCCAACCTTACTTCCCCCTTCCTCCCAGCTGCCTCGCTCTCGCCAAAGTTCCTTTCCATGCCACAAGCAAAAAAGCTTCATTCGACAAGCTTTTAGGCAATTCAAGGGAATTAATTAATTAATGTATACCGAGTTAGTATTTGCCAGTCATGGTAAAAGCAAATTACGTATTAGTGCCTGTTGCTTGCTACGAACTTCAAAATGGTCTTAAAATCATATAGTAGTCAGAGTTTTTCCCATGTAGATGATGCATGGTTGATACTTGATATAAAGCAAAGAAAAAGCAGAATCTCATTGTTACAAAGATGAGAAACCTCATTGTAATTTGCCAGTGTGGCGAATTGTTATTGGATTGAACAAATGGAGAAATTGCAGATAAAATGATATATACTCTGCTTGGATTGCCTGATGCCCCCACATCATTCAAAACAGGCAGTCTTTCTTATCTGTCCTGTTGTAGCCATTGCACGTAGATTCTACCTAGGACACCATATGATGAAAAGAAAGCAAGAACTTTCTTTTCCGTTTTTTACTACTTCCTTTCTCTTCAATTCCAAGCTTCTATCTTCTTTAAACTTGCCCATACAGTACAAACTTTCCTCTTTGCCACTTCAAACCTGTCACATCTACAAGAGAAACAAGAGTCTGATCTAGAATATAGCTTTCAAACAAATCAAGTTCCTTCCATACACCAGCCAAGAAAATTAGAAAAAGACCAAACAAACAGTTCCAGCCAACTTCTTTTAGCCAACCTAAGCGCCTCTCATGGGCTCTCTCTTCTCTCTCACATTGATAATTCTTTCATGGGCATCATTACTATTGATGAAAGCTGATGCTGAAGGGATCAGATCAGCTCGCCTTCTTGATCTTCTCATTAGGGACTACACAGTAAAGTCCTTTGACAGGCACTTGAGAACAGGCATTGTACACACTGTACATTTACCTGCAAACTTCTCTGGCATCAAAGTCGATATAGCAAGGTTTAGATGTGGAAGTCTCCACAGATATGGCGCACAAGTTAAGGAATTTCATCTGGGAAGTGGGACGACTGTACAGCCTTGTGCAGAGAGAGTCATGGTAGTTAGACAAAACTTGGGTTATAATTGGTCATCGATATATTATGCTAACTATGATCTATCAGGTTACCAGCTTGTGTCACCTGTATTAGGCCTTCTGGCTTATAATGCTGGCAGCGATGTGAGTTTTGGTAGCCCTTTTCAGCTTGGGATTCTTGCCAGAGAAAAACCAATTAAAATAGATTTCAGCAACATCACAAAGGCATCCAACATGACAGGAATCAGGCCGTTGTGCGCTAGTTTTGAAGGAGATGGCAAAGTAACAATGAAAAACCAAATATCACCCAATGTTTGTTTTGCAACCAGGCATGGCCATTTTGGTTTGGTCATTGAGTCACCGCCATCACTGCCTGTGAGGAAGAAGATTAGAAGATGGAAAGTGGTGGTTGGCAGCTCTATTGGAGCTGCATTGGGTGCTTTCCTCTTGGGGTTGCTTTTTGTGGCAATGTTCGTTAAGGTGAAGAAGAAAGCAAGAATGGAGGAGTTGGAGAGGAGAGCATATGAAGAGGAAGCTCTTCAAGTTTCCATGGTTGGACATATCAGGGCTCCGACAGCATCTATTACTCGAACGACGCCTACAATCGAACATGAGTACATACCTTATCCTTCATGAACTGTAAGTTATGTATTTTTCTTTTTCCCGATCATTCTTTTTGTAAGATTAGCTTTATTTGTTTTTGAGGTAGACAACAAATCCAACCAAATATTCTTGGGTTCAATATCTTGGAACAGGACAAGTCTGTTTTTCAAGGATATGTTGCATCCTTATTCTCTTTTCCCATAACTTTCAGGAAAAGGACGAGACTCTTTTATGTTTTTTCACTTTCTATTATGGTTTTGATGTTAATATTTTATTTCTAGCCGGATCTTCCTAGATAAAGAGGCAAGTTCACAGGTTCCATGTCTGGGAACGTGGCAACTCTGTTTCCCGGATCTCTTGCCTTACTGTTCTCGTTTCTTACCACTCTTACGAAAACGATGCAACTTATTTACTTCTTCTACCGAGCTTTCAATGATTTGTTACTTCATTCTTTTGTTACCAACCTGATTTGTCAAAATAGATGGGCAAACTGAATCGTGAATACTTTGTTCTCTACGTTTCAGAATTTCATAATCCCTGAGCACATATTGGAACAAACCTCACAGAATCTCAGATTTGTGCTTGTTTATCTCAAATCTCGGATCCCAAATAGCATTAATTGAAAGGGCTTGTCGGTTCTTTCTTTCTGGCCTACATCAGTCAAAAGGCCATGTGCGTGAGCTTTAAATATTTTCTAAAAATGATTGCTAGTTTTCTCTGACAGTTAAGGTCAGAAGAAACAGCACAGAATGGTTAAGAGAAAAACCAAAGTGCTTCATTTACCCCTCATCCCAACCAAGGTGAGCTTAGGCATCTCAAATCAGATCAACAAAGTGAGAAGAAATCTTGGGTACTGCTTTTGTTCACCATCATGACAAAACCAAATGTACATGAGAACAATCTCATTTTTTTGTACTAGTAGAGAAGTTGTTGGCTGAAATCATGGGAGTGCATGCCCTTGGTAATTTTTGCAAAGAACATGATGGAAAGAAAGACTTCGATCAACACTTTATACTTCAGAGAAAGAACCCGTCGCACGCTTGAACGCAAAGACTCCGCGCTTTACAATTCCTTTTCTTCTTTTGTGGGTCAAACGCTATTATCAGCTGTAGACACTTGGAATTTAAGTTTGTTTTAGGGTGAGCAGAGTTGGTGGCCACCTCTTCTTAGGTGTGTGGGCCAAGATGCGGCTGGTTTTTCCATATTATAATAATAACAAGAGTTTTCAACCTGTAATGCTCTTTTAATAGCTTCAAATGGTAGTAGATACTGCAGACTGAATTAAGAGATCACATGCAATAAACTAAAGTAGGCAACTCTTTCTCTCAGCAAATCAATCTTTCTTTGTATTCTGTCAAAAGTGGAAATGGCTCTTTGACTGTGCCACCCAAAGTGGGGACCTTTATAATTCAAGGATGTGCTTATTAACCTTCAATTATTCCTTATAATTTAGCTTTAATACCTCCACCAACATCTTCCCTCTTGTTACTGCCAATCTGCCATGATCTCCCATGCCTGCACAGACCCTTCCATGAATTCTGCCAACATGGTACCATCAACCCATAAACCCTTGCAACTGGTACAAGAAGTTGGCTTATATTTTTTTATTAGTAACAGCTAGGAGGATCTTTGATGAATAAATTTGTTTAATTGTCTAAAAGTATTTGCTTATATCAAATAAACACAAAGAATGACAAATACTTGTATGGAAAGAGGGAGAAAGGAAGTAATAATTGTAGGATCAAAAGTATAATTTTCCTCTCAATTATCACTTTCAAGGAATAGGAGCTTAATAACATTAAAACTGACTAATAGATTGATGATATGAAGAAACCTAAAAATCAAAAATTTTATGTTTTTAATAAAATGAAATAGGATAATAATAATAAAAAAATATCAAGTGTAATCGTACGAAAGTGATCGTAATTCAATTAAATTGAATCTAATTCATATAAAATTTAAATGTTATATTTTCATAAAATTATAAATTTTTTAATCTATTCATCTAAGTAATTAAACCTAATTTAAAATTTTTTTACTTTATTTTATTTTTTTATGAAGATTTTATACTATCTTAGCAAAAGAAATAATAATTCTGAAATATAATCGTTTGCAAATTGCATTTCGCAAAGGGCGATGTTAAAAAAAAAAAAAACTTGGGCCTCTTTCCAATCGGTTGGCCCAATGACAATATGCGGCTTATTCTGAACGACGAAGGGAAGTGTCTAATCGAACGGTCGATTTTCTTGCGTTGGAATCTTTCCTAACTTTACAGTTACCGCACCCTATCCTTTTTCTTTCGCGCAAAAACGCTCTAACACTGACTGTTACCGACTTACCGTTACGTGGATTTCCCGGGAAGGAAACGCACATTACCAACGCTGTCAAAATCCCCTAGTCTTTACCTTTTCTTTTTTTAAATAGAATTGCGTGGAAAACTTTAAATTATGAAATTAATTAATTTTGTCAATTCAATAAAATTTCATTTTATTTATGGTAATATTTCCTTTTAATTATAAAAAGTTAGACTGAGAAATGGTAAATTAGATAACACATTCATATACCATTATTTACAAACAATTCCCATCAATTATTTTCTTATGTGAACTTTCTATTAATTATCAACAAATAAAAGTTATCAAGTAACTTTATTGTCAAGATTCTCTTGTTTTGTGATCCCTACAAGGAAGGATTCGATCAACCGACTCAGCTTCATCCACACATTAATATGGGGTCGTCCACACCGAATTCTAACTTTTCGCGCAAAAAAAGAATAATAAAACAGTGCCAACGTTTTCCGTCACCAATAGGGGAAACTAAAAAACAAAGTGAAAACCTTCCTCTAGTAACTCGTCTTCAACCTCTCAATCATTCTCTTTCTTTAGGGTTCTCCTGATTATCAACCCCAAAAGATAATCATCTATGGACGATCCTACGATAAGCAATCAACGTAGCCAATCAGCTTCATCATCAACTCCTCGTCTCAACCTCCTGTTGAGAATGTCCGACTCTTCCCTCCATCTCGAAAACCTTCCGTCTCGGGTAATGCACATCAACCGTATGATCAACTCCAACTACAACCGCTCTCCGTCGCGCACAATTTACTCCGATAGGTTCATTCCCAGCAGATCCGGATCCAATTTCGCCCTATTCGACATCTCAAATTCTCCCACATCGGCCGAAGGAAAAGAAGACGGTTCCGGTACTTATAACAGTCTTTTACGCGCCGCGCTTTTTGGGCCCGAAACGCCCGACAAGAAGGATTCATCGGGCCTTCCAGCTTGCCGGAACATTTTCCGGTACAAGACTGAAACTAAACGCTCATTACACTCGCTTTCGCCTTTCGGCCTCGAGGAGTCGATCCCCGGGATCATCCATAGCCCCGTTAAAGCTCCCAGGAAGGTTCCGAGATCACCTTACAAGGTGAGGTTTTGTAGGGGTTTTATGGTAAATTTGGTTGAAATTTGAATTTTTTTGCTCTTTTTCTTCTTTGGTTTATGTTTGCTTTTTCTATTGTAGGTTTTGGATGCACCTGCATTGCAGGATGATTTTTATTTGAATTTGGTGGATTGGTCTTCAAACAATGTGTTGGCCGTGGGGTTGGGGAATTGTGTTTATTTGTGGAATGCTTGTAGTAGTAAGGTTACGAAGTTGTGTGATTTGGGGATCGATGATAGTGTTTGTTCTGTTGGTTGGGCTCAACGTGGAACTCATCTTGCAGTTGGAACTAGCAATGGGAAAGTTCAGGTTTGATTTTATTATTATTGATTATGAAAATCTTCATGTTGCCAACTTATTATGTCAGTATGTGTGTCTATCTTACTTTCTGAATTTGGCTTTGTTAGTTGTAGTCTCTTACAATCTGATATTATAATTACGTGATCGATAATGTGTGGCCCCAAAGGAGGTTAATAAAGAATCTAGATAGCAGTTCTTAACAAACAAAATAATGTTTTCAAAGTTGTTTTATAAACAGGGGTGGCAGAATCTTTGCAAAGTGTGAAAGTTTTGTCTCCCAAGGAGAAGTATCGCTGAATCCTAAAATGTAGTAATAAGAAGAGTGCAAATTTATTTTCATTCATTTGATTTAGCTGGCAATTTTTGTCAGTTATTTTCCATGAATTTTTCTTGAGTTTACTGATGCTTCTATATGTTGTTTGCTTTATGGGATTATCAAGCTATTGCATCATGTTTCAAGTTGCAACTGAAAGTAATAGTTTGTCTTTTTTATGATGTAGCTTAGAAAACTTAGAATTATAGATAATTTTTGGGAGAAATAGGAGGGTAGAAAAAGTCTTAAATTTGGTGGGAATCTGCTTCGTTGGTCTGTTAAGGTCTGACCCAAAAGTCAAAGCTTCTACCCATAATTTTTGGATTCAGGCCAGAGAGAAAGAAGAAAATTGTTTCCTGGTATCATCAAATGCAAGCATTTATACCTTTTATATAGATGTGTATGAACTGGTTGAAATTCTTGGTAGTGCGAGATAACATTTGATAATTTAAGACTTAAACTTTGTTCTAAACCTCATTTTAACTTCCTGATGTAAGGAAAATACTTTCTTTAATTGCTTGCATGAATTTTGTTGCTTGAAATATTGAAAGGTTAGGTATCACCGTTCATCAATTTGCTCGAATCCTTGGGTTTTTATTAAACTTTGACATAAAGAGTTACCAGAAATTATGAGTCCCCTTATGTTTAGAAATCGGATTGCATGATCCCTATTGTGGATTGTTTGCAATCCGGTGTTGAATTTGCATTCAATGGTCCTGATTAATGTTAAGTTGTTCTTAATGACACTGATTTGAAAAACTAAACTGAATATACATACATAAAAAGATATATAGATATATACCTCTATTTAATTAATAAAAGAAGACCACTCCTATTGAACCATAATTTAGATAAGTAGCAATTCACATTCCTGTTATCAGAACCGCATCGATCCATATTCCAGGTAACTAAGGTTAGTAACCCAATACTTCTACCATGATAATTGAAAACTTTGAGCCCAGCATTGGACATTTTCTTCTTGAGAGACATATTTGCTCCGCTATTCCCTTTGCATCGAGTCTTCTAACCTCTGTCTAATATATGGACTTCTGGCATTATGCTTGTAGGATTATGTAGTTAGCTAACGGTGACTACTTTGTATTTAGATTTGGGATGCATCTCGCTGCCGGAGGGTAAGAACAATGGAGGGGCATCGATTACGTGTTGGGGCCTTAGCTTGGAGCTCTTCACTATTATCTTCTGGTAGTCGTGACAAGAGCATTCTTCAAAGAGATATACGTGCTCAGGATGATTTTGTTAGTAAACTCTCTGGACACAAGTCAGAGGTTAGACTCTTCATATCCAGCTTGAATTAACTTTATCAGTGATCTTTTTATTCCCTATATATACACACAGACTTACACGATGGGATATTTATTTATTTTTTACTAACATGAATCTCCTTTGATTCATAAATGACACTTTTCCCTTTTGTTTTGTCATGAATTCATTGTCCAATGCCAGTAATTATTTATTTTGAAAAGGCATGTGCTACCAATCATGCTTGTGTTCATTCACTTCTATGCACGTGTTGCCAACTCTGAGCTGGAATTTTTATTGGTCATTGTGTAGGTTTGTGGACTGAAGTGGTCTTATGATAATCGCGAACTAGCATCAGGTGGAAATGACAACAAAGTATGTAATAACAGGTCTTTTGCCTGTAACTTTTTCTCATGTTTAGTATACGTTTAACTTCTTAAGTGATTGAATGGAAAAGCTCTTATCCATGTGCAGCTTTTTGTTTGGAATCAACATTCCACTCAACCTGTATTGAAATACTGTGAGCATACCGCTGCTGTGAAAGCAATTGCATGGTCTCCCCATCTTCATGGGCTTCTTGCATCTGGAGGTGGTACGGCTGATCGATGTATTCGATTCTGGAATACAACCACTAACACACACTTGAGCTGCATGGACACTGGCAGTCAGGTGATTTTTCCTTTTTTGTTTTTAACATATCATACCTCTTTAATATGGCGTTAAAAACATTTTTGGTGCATAAAATTGTTTCCTTGACTGCATTGATATAATGATCTTTCTCCAATTAGTTTGAAATGATGGAACATGCCATCTCTATGGTAGTCAAAGTAATTCTCCTCTCAGTCTTCAATGCAGTAGCCTTGTTGATAATAATGAGATACCATAAAATTTAATCTATATATTTAATTTCAAGTTCTCCTATAAGTTCTTGAGATATGATATGTACATTCCATGGTAAAGTTTTATTATAGAAATGAACAGATCGGTGGTGCTTCTTAATTTTAGAGTTACGAATTTAGAACTTCTAATGTCCTTTACGCATGGCAGGTATGCAATCTTGTGTGGTCAAAGAATGTCAATGAACTCGTCAGCACTCATGGATACTCTCAAAACCAGATAATTGTCTGGAGATACCCTACCATGTCAAAGGTATACAAAATTTAAGAACAGTGCATGAATGATAATAATCTCTCATTATCTATTTTTTCCACTCTAAAGTTTTATTCTACTAATGCAGTTGGCTACTCTTACGGGCCACACATATAGAGTTCTCTATCTTGCAATCTCGCCTGATGGACAGGTAGCTCACCGTTCGACACTTTACAGTTATTCTGGCCTGCTACTTCTGTAGTATGATATAAATAAATAGATATATGAAAAGTTATGCAATTTATTTTCTCTTTATTACATGCATACTCTTCCAGTGGCTGAAAATTTACCTTTTTTTTTAACTTGCAGACGATAGTTACTGGGGCTGGAGATGAGACCCTAAGGTTTTGGAATGTGTTCCCTTCCCCTAAATCTCAGGTAATGACACCACTGAATGTGCTCACTTTTTAGTGGAAAGTGATTGCTGCATCATTCTGTGGTTTGCCTCTAACAGTTAATTATTTGCCTCTAACTGCATCAAGTTCTTTCAAGATTCTCTTTTTCCTGGTTTGTATACTACTGTCTGTCAAGCAAAGGTCTATAAAACAACCCATTTATTTGTGGTTACATGATCTTTAATCCAGAACACTGATAGCGAAATAGGAGCATCATCTTTTGGAAGAACCACAATTCGGTAAGTTCATCAAGAAAATATGCTATAAGCATTTTCGAGCTCTGAATTATCAGACGTTGTCAAGAAAATTATGCTGTGAGCATTTCTCGTGCTTGGAATTATCAAATTTGTCGCGGGCACCACCCCACGAAGTAGTCAAAAAATTTGCAGCAGGTGCAAGAACTAATTTATTTCTAGTTTCTTGCAAATCATTGATTTTGAATATCAATTTTCTTTTCTTCTGAATAGATTTGATTGATGTATAGTGGGAGGTGCTATCAATTGTTCCTAGCACCGCCCTTGCATTGTAAATTAAACAAGTCGGAGAGGTTGTTGAAGAACTCGAAACTTATTGTAGCGCGGTACTTTTTTGAGTCTGTAAATAAATTCTTGCTTGTTTTTCCGAACACATTTTCGGTTTTCCGGCTCTGCTGTTTCCAAGTGACAAGATTGTAATGTCGACTATAGGAAAGCCTTTTTTTTGGGAAAATCATCGAGTCTAGGAAATCTGACCCTAAACATTATAAGCTGGTCAACACCCACGGGATCCAAAACGAGCCATTGGCCCTATTTCTCGAGAAAGAGTTTCCCTTCCGAGTTCTTCTTCCCTGATGATGCAGGTGCACATAGGAATTAAGGGTCTTTGCAATCGATCAACTTGATAAAGATATTTAAGTCTACTCAAACTCTAACTGAAAAAAAATTTAAATATTTAATTTATTCATTAATATATAATATTTTATTTAAAAATTAAAATTCGAATCTCTCTTTAATTATAAAATTTAAAAAAACTCTTAACTAAAAGAATAGAGAAAACATTAAGTCATTTTAAAAATAACATAATAATTACTACAAGAACACTCGTTAAGTACATTTAGACATGAACTGACAGCTGACAGCTGACAGACAACTATCACCCTTGCCAAACCCCACTTCAATTGTTCCGTGTCGAATGCACGACAGAAGTACAGGAATTTGTAGACCTTGCTTCCGGGGTCCATAAATAAGATGAATGGGTCATATTTGAACACACATGCAGACAACGACTCTAATCACATTCACGTCCTGGAGAAAAGATCCCAGAGAAGTGCTTGAACCCCAACCATGTCTCGTAAGTTTTCTTGGAGGGGAAGTGTCATAAGAAATCGACTTTTTTGTATTTACATCTTTCATCACAAACAGAAGAGCGGGAATAAATATGAATGATTAACAATCATTAATTACTTAAATATCATCCCTATTTCATTCTATAGTTTTCAGATTTGTTAGCGGCGTCCCCTGCTGGGTCCCATGTTGTTCATTTTCATTGGGAAGCTTTGGTGACCATGGGATCGAACTCAGCGGTGGAAAACAACAGTTGCAGTTCTCTTGGCAGGGCTCGGGCAATACCCAATTACATAGCGAGATTTCTTGCTTTTTCACGTGTTCGGTTCCATCATCCCCTCTCCAAGGTTCTCCAGCCCCCACGAGCGGACCCCAGCACTCTACTCTGCTGAATTCTGGAATGTTTGAGTGAAAATAAACCCAAACCAAAGCCTCCTGTAATTCCGGGTAGTTTTTGAGCAAATTGCCATCACCATGAACAAACGCCTTCAACACCTATATATTTTAATAATATTATTAAGAGATTGATGTCTGGAATATTAGCACCAATAAATAAGTAATCATTTGTTAAGAGAGATTAAAGAAATGATTAATTACCACAGGGAGTTCTTTGCAGAAGATGAAGAATCTAAGTCTAGCACACAAGTCCAAGAGGAAATGGCCTCCGCTTATGTGACAGTGGACATGTAAAGACATCTTTCCCTTCACTTTCTTCCATTCTGCCACCACTTCGTCTCTGTATAATTTGTTTGACCAACCCTGTAACTGCAAGCAGAAACCCCAATTTCTCTTTTCCTTCAGTTTTGCATGAGAAAAATATTGTGATCGAGACATTACAGTGAATAGCTTAGGGTCAGTATCATCATTTCACAACATAACTTTCTAAGAAAAAGAATGTATCAATCTGTTTAGCAACAGACTCCACATCATATCGACTGTTCTATCTTCCCATGTTTTCCTTTTATTCACTCTCTGATTTTTTTTCTTTGATCAGATCATTCTTCTAGTGACCAAATAGATCCATTTTACCCTCCTTTCTCAATGCAAATCCCCCTTTTCCCCTGTTTTCTTCTCAGTGAAAAATAATAATACAAATTCCAATAATAAACGGTAAATAATTTTTTGTCAAAAAAACAATAAGGTTCATCAGCCAACTGAATAAGGAAACAATTTTATGAAAAGGGTTACGAAATGAAAGGATTACCTGAGAGTTGTTTATGGTCTGTGAGATTGCTAAAGTAAGTTTAGAGGTTATGTCACTATGTGTAAGGGTGTAGGTCCTAGGTAGCTTCCCTGGATGCTTCCCATCATCAACTCCTAAAAACAAAACCTTTAGCTTTGATGCCTCGAAAATAGCCGGCCCGAACAACCTTGCTACCTGATCCAATCCGGTCCATCAAATCAATATAACCTTCCTTTCAAAGGTTGTAATGAAATAAAAGAAAGAACAGAAAAAAAAAAGAAAGAAAGATTACAGGAACAATGGCTTGGTTCTTCTTCTTGGATCTTCTTTTAGACACAAAACAAGATTTGTTCTGTTCAAACACAGAAGGTCTTGGCTTTGTAGTAGGTAGAACGTGAGCAAAAGTCAAAGTTCCCATAGCTATCTAAGCTCCAACTTTGATGGAGAGAAGCACCCAAATAATAAAGAGCAAAAAGTACTCGACAGAGAAATACCGACTATAACAATAAAGACAAGATAATTATAGCAAAATAAGCATGAAGAGCGGAAACTCTGGAGGGGAGGAAATAGAGAGAATCTTGGAGGAAGAGGAGACTGAGACTTTGAAACTTTGGGAGCTTTTGTTTCCTTTTTGCCTTTTGCTTTTGCTTTTAGTTAGGAGTGGCTTAGCTTAAACTTCTACCTTTGCTTGTATGTTGAGCCAAGTTGGAAAAGCTCCGAAGATTTTGAATAATTGGGATGGCGTTTGGACCAGAGATTGATGGAATGCGTGTCGATACGGTAGTTTTTTAGTTAGCAGCAAAGGCAGAAGAGAGGTTGCTTGAAGCTCCAGACTTCCTATTAAGATGGACACTTGGGTTTAACATCTTATTAACACGTTTGAGGTTGGACTCAATGTCTTTTCATGCACACTCGTTTAGCTGGCACCCTTTTATTGACTCCCCATTTCTTTTGGATACTCACCTACTCTACTCTCGGGAGGACAGGATCAGCGTTGGGCAATCAACCCTTCTTTTTATCATTGATTACCACCCCGTCAACCTTTCCCCGTTCTGATATTTATCTACATGTTCGATCGTAATGATTACAACCTAATTTATTTTTGGTAAAATATCTTATTTTTTTAATTTTTTATTATAATTTTATACAAATTTATTAATTTTTAAAATAAATAATTTATTTTTAAAACCATTTTTCGTTTGATATATGAGTATAACAGTTAACTTATTATTAATTTTTCCCATAAATTAATAACGTGATAATATTACAAAAATTATTTTTAAATTTTAAAAATTATTATATTATATAAATTATAATTTTTTATTTTTTAAAAATATTTTTATTTGACATATAAATCTAACTGTTAATTTAATGTTAATTTTTTTTATTAAATTAATAACATGATAATATTGAAAAATAATTTTATTTTTAATTTTAAAAATTATTATATTATATAAATTATAATTTTTTATTTTTTATTTTTTTCTTATTGACAAAAAAAACTTTATCTCGTACCTCTTCTCCAGTTGTACCCTCAGATCCGGCTCTGATTGGAGAGTGCCAGATCCGGCTCTGACTGGAGAGTGCCAGATCCTGCTCTGACTGGATCTCCCTCCTCTTGCACTCCATGCTCGGCAAACCCCCACCCCCATCCTAGTGCCGCTCCAGCCCTCTGCTCCCCAAGGGCGCGCGAGATCCACGATCTGGCTCCTTCGAGGAGCACGGGGTAGGGACCGTAAGGGTGGCCAGTCGAGTGGGCCACCGACTGGCTTAAAAATAATAATAAAAAAGAGGAAGAAAGAAAGAAGGGTAATTTTGATATTTTATACTTATTCATTAATATTTATATATTCCGAGTGAATTATCTATTTTGAAATTATAACTAAAAATGAAAAGAATGAAGATATTTTACATTTTGTTTTTTTTATTGATTTTTGACACTTGGATTTTTCAAAATGAAAAGGTCAAAATAGGACTGTCTCGTAAGAATTACAAGTATTTTTTGCATGTGTTTTTATGGACAATATCGGTCATCGCTGTATTTGAATCCCTGCATTTGACAATAGTACTACCATCAACAGGTTCTATCACTGCCCTTGCCTGCTGGTCCTTTGTCCTAATCGTCATAAGAAATAAGAACATTTCACGTGTTCTAAACCCAAAAAGGACGGAAAAGAGAAAACAGAAAAACGAAAACTTGGTGTAGCTAAGCAAAACGTGCAAATTAAACACCAACACGTGGAGGATGGATGTACCTGTTTTCAGAGGCGGACAAAAGAGGGGGCTAATAGGGCCGCCACGTTCCAAACATTTCTAATATTTTTGTTTTTGTTCTTGTTTTAAATATTTATATTTTACTTTTATTTTTTAACAAATTTTATAATTTTATCTCCCTAACTATTAAATTTTTTATTTTTCTCTTTCAAACCTAAAATCCTAGCTCGTCACTGACCTTTTTGTTTTGGGGTTTTTTTCATCAACCGCGTTTGAGAATGAAGTTTGAACTAGTGAAATTTTGAACCAAGGACATGTCTTTATTTGGCTAGATAAGAGACGTAGTTCACGCCTTAATTACAGGTTTAAATAATTTCCTTTTATTTGCGTAAGGTTCTTTAATTTTCATAAAATTGAAATAAAAGTGATTTATTTATATAATTTTTAAATTTATATTTAATGTATTATCTGAATATGAATTTTATTGATGAAACAAATTCATTAATTAATAAATTTAATTTATATTTATATTAATTGGAAACATGCACAAATATTAATTAAAAGATATAATAAACTACATGCACGTAAACTCTTAAGTCATACCATTTGCTAAAAGTCAAAATTTTGAATTCCACAGTATGAAAATTACTTTCGAATATGCATCCAAACTTTTTTGTTTCATACTAAAATTTTTTTAAAAAATAATAATAATAAATTCACATCGTAAATTCTGTAACGAGACCTACTCTACCTAATTTCAGAATCTCCCTTATCTTCTTCCACCGATTAGGTAAAAATAGACCAATAAAAAGCCAAACAGCTTTCTTACTCGTGAATCGTGATGCTGCATTCCTCATTCTATAAGAGACATGATTAAAACAGGCAACAGATTTCTATGTACATGTTTACGGGTTGAATAACTTTCTTTTTTGCCATTCATTCGATTTACAAATGTTAAGTATCGTAACCCAGAAAAGTTGATATGAAATTTAGTAATTATACTTGGAAATTGTTTTCGCTTATAATTGTTCATGCATCTGCTGCCACACACACACTCTCTCTCTCCCCTTTTGTTTGTCAACGTTTTATTTTAATGGTGCTTGTTCGATTTTCGAGGTGACAAAAGAAACTTGAAGTTGTTGAATTGCGACGTGAGATCCTGTGTGTTTTAATTATGTTGAATTTCATATAATGCTTTGAGATTGATTGAGTCTATTATGCTGTTTTGATTGAACCGGTGTAGGCAATACAGATTTTATAGGCATTGGGTTTTTCTTTGGTGGAGGGATGCTTTTATATTTTTGTAACTCTTTCGTGGAGATTAATTCATTCCCTCCAATTAGAAAAAAGATTTTATTAATTGAAAATAATGTGAATTCTTAAATATTTAATTTCATTTTAATATCACAGTTGATATGGTATCACATCTCACTTTTGTATCAAAATTGATGTGGGATTCATATGCCCAATCTTACTCTAGTCCTCGCGAGCTTCACGTTCTTCCCACTCCTATAAGGGTTCACCATCATTACTGACAGAATTCATATGCCTAATTTCACTATACCCTTATTGGGAGTGTGACATTTTCTCCACTCTAACAAAGGTCTATTGTCATCAATAGCACATCACTAGTCTAGCTCAAAATCAACTCTGATACCGACCGTCATTAATGATTTATGAGGTGTTATCTTTTTTAGTCCATTGAACTCAAAATTTTGTCTCACAAATTGAAGATGGTGTGAACTCTTAAATGCTCAATCTTATTTTAGTACCACAACTAATGTGAGATTCATAACTCCCGTTTGGGACCATGGCATCCTTCTTTGATGTGAGATTTATAGCTCTACCCGTTGCACTACAACAAAATTAGGTTTTGACTATACTTCGTTGGGTAACATATCTTTTTGAGTAATGAAATATTAAAAATATAATTATTTAAACTTTTAATTTTTCCTTTTTCATATTTAGTAACAATAATAATATACAGTCTGCGCTATGCAATCTCTATATTTCATTTTCTTTGTAATACTAAAAATTTATATAGTGTAGTCAAATTTATAAAAATGTTATAAAAAGTTAAAAAAATATAATTAAAAATATATACAATCGCTTTGATATAAAATTCACATAACTCGCCGTTGGAATCTCCCCACTTCAACAAAAGTCCATTCTCTCCACTCCAACTTTGATGTGAGATTCACATGACTCTTTCTTGGAATCGTGATATCTTCTACACTCCAACTAGAGTTTATTCTCACCGTGATATCTTTCGCACTCTAACAATAGTCTATTTTCCTCACTCTAACAAGGGTTCATTGTCTGCGTGTCGCACAAAAAGGACCTCACAGATTGAAGATAATGTATGAACGTATGACCAATGTGAGATTTCATGTTCCTCTTTAGTACCATAACTGATGTGAGATTCAAGCATTCCTCCCTCAATATGAGAGCATACAATTGCTTCAATGTGGGACTAACATAACTGCTTGCTCCAACAGCGTGACAACTTCTCCCATGAGCCCATTGTCTCAAAGTTCACCACAGGTACGACTATCATTCCCACGAGCCCACTGACTCAACATTCACTATAACTACGACTATGACTATCTACACCAATCGACAAGGTATTGTCATCTTTGACTCGTCGATTTTACAATTTTCTCTCACAAAAATGACCTCATAAGTTAAGGATGATGTAAACCCTTAAATGTCTAGTCTCACCCTAATACCATAATTAATGTGAGATTCATGACTCTCCTCTGAGATCATGATATATGTGAAATTTATGGCTCTATTTGTTGAAAACATATAATCGTATTGATGTGAAATTCACGACTCTCCATTGGGACCCTAACACTTTAGCTAATAAACTAATAGTACTAATATGAATAGTTAAAACTATTAAAAGAGATTTTCTCATAGCATCATTGATTTTGATTGCCAACAGCTAAGAAAAATACCGTTCATGGCGGAGTTGTAGTTTCTGTGGCCTGGCATGAATGCAATCTCTCAGTCACTGAATAAATAGCTGGGACGGGGAGTTATTTAAACAGACTGGGGAGTTTCCCTAAGAGAAAAAACAGTCATAATTGGGACAAATTAAACAGACTGAATGCAATAGATGTAATTGGCCCTACTTCTCGTCGGCAGAAGCCTCGTTCTAAATTGTGGACAGGATCCGTGGCTGAGAAGGGAAGAATTGAATGATAGAAAGATATTCTATATCTTTTGTTCTGTTGTTGAGAACTGAGAGGGATAGATCGATTTTCTGCATATTAATCACATGCATATAGAGAAACAAATAGATTTGTGGCCAGATTCATAATAAATGGCAAAATACATGATTGAAGGGTACCTTGGGCCCCTGTTATTAGTACCCAAACCTCTTTTCAGGGTTTAGCCTTTTAAGCATCAATGTGTGTGGCTATATACATTCATCGTCAACACCACTGTTGATTTTATCTTTTCAGACTCAAAGTTCTGGTACAAGTGGAATGATTATGGTCACGACAAGAGTCAGAATCCAACTTAAATCACCGTTAATTAGTTTTAGTGGAGGTCTCCATACATTATATTGGTATGGGTTCCGCTTGATCAATGAGGTTATAATGTTATAGAAATTGTTTTTGTAGCGTGGCAGCTTGATCAATAAGACCGCCCACATATCAAATGAAATGAGTTCGACATGTCCGGATAAGGATTAGATATTCGAGTTTTAATAATTTTATTTATTTTTTCTTATACAGCACTGGATATAAAAAAATAAAAACAATTTAATTTATGGTCAAAAGGTTTTTTATTTATTTTCCAGATCCCAATTTAAACCCTTATTCCATTATTTAAAAAATCAAAAGTTAAAATCTATAAAAAAAATAAAACCTTATGTTTGGGATTCCATTGCAAATAAGTAAACTTTTTCATTATTAAAAAAGACAAAAGGCTATTAACTGATGCTAGAATAACCTCTGGACCAACTTAAGCGAGCAGAAGAGCAAATATAGTTGACTTGGAAAAAAATGGTTGATAAATATTGGTAAGATTTGAGAAAATATAGTGCTAGTATTTTGAAAATATCTGCAGCCATCGCTTGGCTGCTACTGCTAAATTTTCTTGACTTCTCACCTACGCACTTCAAGTTGAACACGTATCAATAGTTACCCAACAGTACAAGCAATTGTTCTAAATTATTGAAATCTGCATCAACTTTATTTTTCATTTTCTTTTCTCAAAATTAGTATTACGTAAATAGATTGAACGATCTTTTCATGCATACTTGCGTCATGCTTGAAAACTGTTTACGAGAATATAGAACATGACATCACTTGAATTATGATTAAATGCTTCCTAATATTTCAAATTTGAATTCCTACTTTGTTTTTATATAAAACATATAAATTTAAGATTTTTATATTTATTTTCATAAAAATTGGAAAAAAAATAAATATTTAAAGACGAAGAAATAAATTGTCGATGGCACAGTAAACTCGGAACCCCAAAGGCTAAGGCCCAGTTAAGGCAGACCTGAATGGTTGACACTGGGAATGGATAGTTGTCGACAGGGCCTTGGCAGAGAGTCATGGGCTGGCCATGATTATTGGATCGGTTTTGCAGTCATGGTCCACTAATTTTGATTTAGGCTAAAGTTTCCTGGTCCTCATACCGCTCTGAACAGTCCTTAACTAGTGAAGAGTGACAATACTCTAAAATGAATCTGGTGAGTCACATATATATATATATATATATATATATATAATACTCTAACGTGAATAATAAACTATATAATATATATTGTACATTTATAAGATAGTAGAAGTGGTTTATAAAAGGGTTTTGGTTTACATCTCACTTGTTTCTTGGTTTATTTATTATCAATGAATTCTTGTACCACTTAAAAACAGGTCATAATTATATAAATCAACAAAAATAAAAGAACGAATACGACATATATGAAACAAATTTTAATTTTTAAAAATTAAAAAAGTCTCAACTTTTTTCTTTTTGTTGAGTATTTTCAATTTTTGAGTAAAATAGTACAAATAAAAATAATCTCCGGATAAATTACATACAACTCTTCCATACATGATATTCTTAAGATAAATCACACAATTTTCTTAATTTCGTGTCCCCTTTTCTTTCTTTTTCGTTAGGATAACTATAAATATTAACAATTTATTCAGTCACCATAACTCAAGATGTAAAAGGAAGAAAAGGGTACCTGATTTGAAGCTTCCGAAAGCTTCGAAGCTTCATATCACTTTATTAATTAAAGCATCAACTAATTAACACTAGGGTTTTTGGTACTCCTCCTCTCCGGTGGTCCTATAAACAATTCCGTCTCCACCTCCATGCTCTGTACGTGGTGGAGTTCATCCGTTTGGCTTGCTGGTGATTGTCGCGGCTGCATTCCACACTGACGTAAAACAAAATGGTGAACTGGATCATCATTCATGCCAACAATAATCTTGTTAAATATAGAAACGAGTTAATACCAACACTCATTCGTCAGATTAGAGAACAAACTGAACAAATATACCTGTTCTCGCAGCTTTGCGTTTTCTTCTCCAAGGCGTCTCTCCTGAATGTTTAACAAGGAAATGGAGATAGTAACCGCAGTCAGAAAATTATTCTTACATAAGGAAGTTCCAAGGAATGTTAGGCATGCATTTGGGAAATGCAATTATATATAATCACCTCGTCCTTTAGCTTCTCAATCTGCTCCCACAACAACTGATTCTGAACGCAGCAAAATCAAGTCTTAAATTTTTTCGGTAGCAGATTCTTTGTAGACAGACATGAAGTATATTTGAACATGCATGCGAATTTAGACGTACCTTTCTGGCCCTGATTCGGCTTAAGCTTCGTTCCAACTGGTTTTCTAACAGTTGTAGCTCGTTGAAAGAACATGGTTCCAATCCATTTCCCAAGAGTTTTCTGTTACATTGAAAATATACAAGTTTAATGCAGATGAGGAAAAGAGACACCGAATATGAACTGGAAATTCAGTAATAGGCACAACTGTATACAAGTTTCAAGCTAAGGATTTAACCGTTTAGAGTCTTCTAGAAGTTCGATCTTCTTGGCCATGCTGTGAGCATCGTCCTTTACATTCTGCATGCTCAAGTTCAATCATTAGATATGGAATGACAAGCATTGATGAATAGGTGCATCATGAGAATAAAATTGTTTCAATAGGTCTTAGCTACCAGAAGCTATGAAAGATAAGGGTTAGTATAACATTTTATTTACATTTTCATATTTCATCACTTCCTTAAATTCCAAAGACGAGAAAGGAAATCAAAATGTAAAGAAGAAGTGAAGAGAGGCGTGAGCGATTCTAAGTTATTGCAGATACGAACATCTCAATGCATGATTAATGGCCCTTAGGTAATAAGAATACAAAGGAAGCAAAAAGAAAACTTTTTATATACGTTCATTCTAGGTGAGAGGAAGGAAGTGGTTCTAGATGTAGATAAGCCACACATGTGATTGCAAATGTTCTTCTCCAGCCCTGTAAAGAAAAATCCTATTTTCACTTGGACACAAAGAGAAAGGAGCATTTTCACCTTGGACTACATAAAATAAACAAGTTAAACAACATAATACCAACTGACCATTTCTCAAAACACCAGAAAATGCTGAAGCAGTAAAAGAAAGGGTGGCTAGAGCTACCTGCATATTTTCCTCTAATGCTGCTTTGCTACATATTCCATAATCCTTCTCTCTTTTCTGATACCGTTCTATGGTCGTGTTCATACTGAGACATCTCACAACACAAGAAAATGAACAAGAATGAGTGTACATCTAATTTCCATTAGTACTGATAAAGCACCCTGAAACGATAACACTTACTTTTGAAAGGCATATTACCATTTCAAGAAAAGCTATTCCAAAGCCGCCAGCATATGAATGCAAAACAGTCACGGATTCATAACAGTTCACAACTACACCCGCACTCACAGCTAAGCAACCAGGTCGTTCTATATCCATCTCAACCTAGCTATTGCTAACCCATTAATGACCTTCCAAAGATCAGACATGACACTAGCGAACCTGGCTTTCCCTGATGGAAATCTTGACTGTTCAATTTGTTTTTACACATGCAAAAAGGTCTAAGGAGATGAGTTGAATATAGGAACCTTGGATTTTAACTGTTTTAAAGAGAGATTAAAATCACTAAATGCTACCCTAGTTGTTAAACTTCGCTGTTTCTCCTTCATTAACTCTATATATTCTTGATGGAAATGTATCGCTGAACTAGATTACAAATTCCACGGATGTTTCACTTCTAACAAACAACGCTTTGGTTCAGTTTCAAGCTCAAAAAATTAGATCAAATGTTCAGTCGCTGATTAAAGCAATTCTCTCTCTTTCAAGATTGAAAGTTATAATAAAATGTGAGGCAGAATTCGTGGCGTGAATCTCTCAGAAGCTCAAAATTCCTCAATTTTCAAAGATAGACATCCATCACACGCTAGTTGAATTGTGGAACAACCACATTTTTCTTCCTAGAATCACGTCTCTGAGCAAAAGAAGCTTTCAAAGCAAGAAACAGTATTGAGGTTAGTGTCAATATATTACCTAGAAATTAAGCATCTTGTTACTATCCTAGTATATCGAAAACAAAAATTAAAAAAAGGGCTAAATACTTTGGATTTAGGAAAGAAATATAGACTGCATCGTGCACGCTTAGAGTAAAGCACACTGCATTCTCTTCGAAACCGTCCTTTCCAGCTAAGATCCTCTATTCTTTCAAATATTCCTTTTGGACCACATCTTCCTGGTCCAGTCTTTTTTCTTTTTTCGCTCATCAGCACAACTTCCTGGAATTACAAGAGATGTGGAAGACTTCAGGTTGGCTGCATTCTGAATTCATGTTTAGGTGGTTTGTTGGTGCAGTTAGATCTTTTGTACCAGTGATGTTCTAGTTTCTGTAGATGTTTTCTTCCTGGAATCTTTTATAACATGATCAGATTTTACTATTTAGCTTTTGTATCGTTTCTCGATATTTTACTATAATATTTTGGTTTAGAAAAAACAAAGCAAAGGATGTCTGAGTATCTACCTCAGACTCGGTGCTAACACAGTTGACTGTCTCCCTCCTGGACAACGGTAGATGATCTAGTGTAGTGAATAAGCTTTAAAAAGAGCTAATAAATGCTTCGGCTTGAATCTATATCAACCAAAGGCCACAAAGAGAACACAAAAAGTAAGTCCTGCATGCTTTTTGCATTCAAACTACCTGAGGCCGAGTCAAAGATCATAAGCTGGGGAAAACTAAGCATATGTTGGCCAAATTTATTCCTTTACCATGAGGGGTACAAGACCTCATTCATGGAAAGGATCAGCAAATTAGCCTTTTCCTTCAATTTCGGAATCTTGTCTCTCTGTTTATACAAAAAGAAAATGACCACGATGAAGTATATATAGATATAATAAGGTTTAACAACATGATAGTGGGAATTAGGGTCTAGCAGAGGCATCAATAGAGGTAATAATACTGGTCTTAGCTGAGCTTTCAGCTATAACAGTTACTGTAGTATCCAAGCATGAGAATGGCAAAACAGTTTTGTGGAACCACTCTGAACTTAGGAACTTAGAAGAAACAAATGATTAGTTACGACCAGATGATGGCTCTATGTGTATATATTTCTATTTCTTCAGACCAGTGTTGTTCAGGATTTGACTCCATTTTTTTTTTTTTTGAAAGGCAAGAAGACAAAGTGTTCATCAACTATTGAACCAAAAGTAGTTTTCACAAATCTAGAGTTTGGAGGCTTAACTGAACTTAATATTGGGTGAACTTCAAACCATAAGCAGAGACAAAACTAACTCCAACTAGCCCTCTCCATATGAGGAAAAGAAGAATCTTAAGTTTGAATAATCAAAATAGAATAAAATAAAAATAGGTAGAGAATACTCAGAAATATTTACTTTGAGCATTCAGAATATAAAAGAAAATTTTCATCTAAACTAATCAGATCAGTCTAATATAAAATTAAATGCTGTACAATATGTGATCATGATGTGTGATCACAAAACAGACCTGCCATTTGTTTGAGTACTCATGCAGCTTGTATCAGTTACTGAATATAGATATATGTTTCCTGTTTTGCAATGTTAATAACTGCAAACCATAAAGGCACTCTTTCTCACTGTTTAATAAAATGACTTGAAATATGTTATAAGGTGAAGAAATTGGACATTTCCCTAACTGGTGCTTAAAATTTCCAATACTGGAATCTATGCCTATACAACAATATTAGACTTTTTTTTTTTGAAAACAAAAAAAAATTCTGTGAATGTTAGCAAAGAAGGTGGAAATTTTGAAGCTTTCTACATGGAACCAAAGATCTTGCTTCCAAATGCTAAAAGAATTGTATGAAGCACTCCACATAGATGAATAGAAGTGGATGATGGAACCTGGTTCCTATTCATGTTAATTTGAAACTGAAAAAGCATTTCTAACATATGAAGAACAAAATTAATTATAAGTCTCAAATTTGAATTAAGTTAAAAATAACTAAATAGAAATTATCATCCTAGTCTCTCTCAATAGAATATGAAAACTCCACGACCACAAATAGATATCCATATGAGGTATCCGTTAATTTTTATGAGATTAACACTGAATTATGAAAATAACATATTTAATCAAATAAGTACATAGTAAAAATATAAGTTTATTTATAAAATTCTTTTAACTCTATTACCAATGTATAGAATAATAATACATTAAATTACAAAATAAAATGGGAACTATAAATTGCTAAAGTCACCATGATCGTGGATGGAGAGGCTCCCATCACAAGTGTTAAGCATTGAAACTACTTAGATCTTATATATTTTAGTTTTCATAAATTTATAGTAGGCACAAAATAACATGAAAAATGAAGCATGAAACTAGTTTCTCTGCTATCTAAAGCTTGTAGGTCAACTAAATCTTAGGAAGTCTTACACTAACTCGGATATGGAAGAGCCTATAACTCATTTAATTTAGTTAAACATCAATCTCAATTCAATAGTTCAAAACTTGAGTAAAATTTCTCTAAGATGAGTGAGAGGATTTAAAATCTTTAATTACGAGATGAACAAGAGTCTTAGCATCTTGAATTCTTTTGCTACTGCAGCCTACTATTAATGACCATTGTTTCACTTTGAAGCTACCATGTTAATCAAACTCTTCATTTTTTCTCAGTGAATTTGTATCAGTTATGCCTTGAACACTTAAAAAATGGGTATGGAATAAAGACATAACTCTTTCTCAATACATGACAACAACTTAGAAAGCACATAATTTATACATCTTTTACATCGACCTACAACTAATACTCGAAGTTGAGACTAAGTAACAATCAAGAATGGCCTATGTAGGACAAGTTTCAAGTTGTGAGAGCAATGATTTCATGTAAAATGGTGAATGCAGGAACCATCTATGAATTATCCTCATTAAGGCTTCAACAAAGATGATAATCCTATCGTGATGTCGGCATATCTCTATCTCTAGGAAGCCATGCGCAATATCAGTCTTAAAAGGCATATGCCCCTTGAGATTATCAGATGTTCTCTTGCTAGGGATCCATGTAGTTGTGTCACCTCAATTATAGATGAGTGATTTTTAGCTGAGTAAGAATCTATAATCTTTGTTTGAATTAAACATGAGGTCCTAAAACAAACACGATTAACACTAACACTAAAAACAAGATAGTGGGGGTACCTTGAAAAAAGCAAATTATTTCTCATAATTCACATGTATGTAAAAAAGGTAAAAAAAAAAACCATATACACAAGAAATGCCAGTGGCCAAGTACCAACTCAACTCTTGCTCAGAGGCCCCCCTTAAACAGGCACCAGGTTCCAATTTTTTTTTTCTTTTCTGGTTCAAAAAAACACTCAAAACAATTTTTATCACCTATAGGAAATGTTGATAATAAACCAACAGAATCAAACTAAAAATATTTTCATAAAATAAGCATATATATTGATGCTCCATGCTTATTAATTGTCATCAACTTGAATAAGTGTTTTAAAGCAAGCTAGCTAGGGTAAACTGCTTTGAATATGACTAAACACCTAGACTTTAGTGACTATCATGGTATATTTTACCCAATAAATGAACCCTAAGACCATGATTATGGTATCTCTCTCTCAGGACGTGCTGGTTGAAGAGAGGCAGAAATCTGCAAGGTCACTTGAAACATCAACTAACGAGGAAAACCCAACAGAACAAAATCACTATGTTAGATTCGATTCCAAAGAAAAATAAAGAAGACAGAAAGAGATCAGAGATCAGTCCCTTCGGACAGATAAAGCCTGAGATCATCTTGTACTCTCTAGTACCTGCCTAGATAAATGGTTGGAGAGCGGGGCCTCTCTATAACTAAGTATAATCCACGTTTAATCACCAAAATTAGTTCATATCCTCCCAGAATTAATTGCAGACTTGCATACGGAATTAATATAAAAAAAAAGGTACTGGTAAAAGAAATTGCTTGGCATATTTATTTACTCGTATAATTACTAGTCTTCATGTATATGAAGATGCAAAATGAAGATGAGAAAACGCACCTAGAACTAGAAAACTCATATAGCTTCCCTCTGGGAGAGAAGATGATGAGAGCAACTTCAGCATCGCAGAGAACTGATAGCTCAAATGCCTTTTTAAGTAGTCCATTTCTTCGCTTTGAAAAGGTAACTTGCCTGCTTGTTGCATTTTCTATTCTCTTCATCTGAGTTTTCCCTCTCACCATTTCTCACAGTGGTACTCCTACAACAAAAAGAACAATGAATTCTAGAAGAGAAACCCAGAAAAGGGTAAGTACTGCTTGAATCCTAGGAAATATATATACATATATATGTTTGTCTGAACTCAAACTTGATTTTATTGTCAACAAACCAAACAACAAAGACCCAGATGAGTAAAAGGTTTCCAAAAATAGAAAGGGAATAACTGAAATAATCTTCTCAAATTAGGAGAAACATTATTACTACCAGCAAGGATCCTGAAAAGGATCTTTCCCGTTATGTGAAATCTCAAGTTGATGTGAAGAGAAAAAACAAGATTTTGTTGAAATTTTTTTTTGAAATTTATCTTGAAAATGGAAAATCTTATAGAAACCCTAGATTTTGCAGAGGAAAAATGACTTCACCAATTTGGTCCCTATCACTCCCTCAAGCAAAAACCCTAGACTGAAAGCATTTTAATAGTAGCAAATGAGAAAACAAAAAATTTATAAAAATAGACAAAGTCTAAGCAAGTGAAGAACCTAATCTCTTTCTTCTTTTGGTAAATTCAGGAACAAAAAAAACAGCCACCTCCCAAAAAAAGAAATACAGAGAATAAATGCCAAAACATATGATTCCACTACGAAGAGAGACGTAGATGCACCGAAAATGTATGCCCACAGTGTGAGTTTACGACACCTGTCCGGTTTTACCGACAACCTCCACGCCCGGTATCCACCAAAAGGAGCAAAGCCAGCGTGTGAGGTGAAAGACACGGAACATTTCTGTCGGTTGCATGCAAAAATTGGACACTCATCGGACACGATAAAATGATTTCGAATGTGATCCGTACAAGGTTTGGAACCACGTCTTCGTCCGTCCGTACGATGGCAGAGTGGACGAGCCTATGGAAGTTTTCCACGTCACAACTTGAGTGATCATGATCAGGCTGGGTTCACGTGGCTCTTCCTTGTTTGGTGGGTGGGTTTTGGGGCCTCTTTTCCTCTTTCTTTTTTGGCCAACCTGTTCTTCTTTCCTATTATTCGTTCTTGCCCTTTTGTTTTCTTTCTCTACTCTCCATTTTCCTTTTTTCACCTTTTCTAGGTTTTCTTTAGGAAATAAAAAAAACTTGTGGGTTCTGTCAAGTGGTGGCGCACTATAGGATCCTAGATTTTTTCAAAACAATTATATTTTATTAATCATTTTTTTAATTTTAATTTGTGACAGTGGGTCTTACGGGACCACATTAGGGATATGAGCCCTTAACTTTAAGGTGTGACGTGGGCACCTCTGATGGCTCTAGATTTACGGTGCCTCGTGGTTTAGCTCATAACCTCATATAGTTAACGAACAAAGATTAGTGTCTAAATTTTAGATATATAGGCAATATACTATTCTCTTTTGTCCAAACAAAAAATAACGATGCTTCTTTAATTAATATATTTCAAGCTTTAATATCAAATCAAATAACTGCTAGTGTAATCAAGCCTCACAACTGATGATTTATTAGGTAATTAAAAAGAGGGGGAACATTAGCAAACCAATTAAAATTGTGTTTTTGACTTTAATGCTTGAAATCTATTAGTCCACGTCTTGTTTGCTTACTTGTTTCAAAGAAGTTCGTTAATAATTAATGTAACCATTTAAACATACTACACAACAACTTATTTTAAAAATAATTTTAATATTCATGGCAATCTTACTTATTACATGTATATAGTTAATGTTATAATCTATAATTTTATATATATATATATATATATACACATTAAGCATGCAAATACAATAGATAAAGGGGACATAAGAGAAGTTGTTTCCATCATAGTCAATCCCACTGTGTCTCTTTCTTTTTCTTTTTCTTATACCATAGAAAACAAATTAAGGAAATCCCTTTGCTTTTTGGTGCATAAACTGATCTCTCAACGTCATTTTCTCGTTTTATGGAACATTTTTCTTCTTTTGGGATAACGAGGGGAGTGGAGAGGATGTTGGGGGTAGCCGAGCCTCTTTATTGGAGACTTAAGAGACATGTCAGCATTTGCTGATACGCCGAGTCCTAAAAGCAGGAACTATGCCTGCCTCTGCCTCTCTTCTGGCTCCTCTATACCTTTTGAGAAGTCCATGAGCCTGGACAATTTGCGCAACCCTACTTTTTAACCTAAGTCCCTGATCTCTCCCGTACAATAATCATACTGTTTTCGGGGACACACCCCCTACCCCCATACCATGTGGTAAATGGTCACCCCGTCCCCCACCCTCTGGAATGATTTTCATTGTACAAAATGGTCACGTAATAAGAGCGAAAAGGACCATCCAGGAGCTACTCTTAGCCCTACAAATTTAATTTTAACCAGTTCGTGCTCCACCCATTTCACCGCACATTTCCTCACCACCCCTTGCTTAGCTAGCCCGTGATGGTTGAGATGGACCCATAATACATTAGGTTGGTTTTTGCTCCTAAGTTGTGGGCTAGGCTGAACCTGGAGCAGGTAGTGATAGGCAAATGGGTTCTAAAAGCGGAGGAAGCCTGATTCAAAGACAAAAACCCAAGCTAGAGTTGATTGCAATTTGTTTTCTTTCTTGTTTGGGGTCGGGCTCATAATGGGTCTTTGAAACCAGAACCAACTGAAAAAATAAAATAAATCAACACAACACAACCGAATGAAAGCCGGAAATGGCAACTGATATTTATTCGTTTCCAAGGAATTGGTCGTTGACAATGTAGACTCGGTAGTCCTGCCACACAAATGTACTTAATAGGCTGGTTGCAGTCCTTGCAGACAATCTTTCCTTCACCAGCCCGGACAGATTCACTCGTGAAAAATGACCTTTCCATACACACACCCCAACTCAGTACAAATACCAAGTGAAATAAACAGTACCTAGTTCAATCCAATAAATCAGCCAAATTATACCACACACACACTGAACTGAGTCAATTCAAAATTAGATTAAACTAAAATTCGTTTACTAGAGGAATCAATCATCATGCTAAAATTCACTATATATATAAAACCTATTGATGATAGAATTAGAAGCTTTCTTTTCTTTTCTTTTAAAATGATTTATTATTGTAAATGGAAAAAAGTCAATCCTCCATACGTCAAGACTTAATCTGATCATGGCCCCAATTATACCCTAACTGCTACAACTTTACCTGTTATTTCCCTTTCTTGGTTGCTAAGAATGCAAGACTAATCCATTGCTGGTGTCCTCTAGCGGAAAAACTCTTGGACTATCTGCTATCTAGCTAAGCTAATAGCTGTAACTGCTATTTCAGCTTGATAGAAACACGGAAAGAAAGAAGAGAAATGAAATCAAATCCGTTAAATCAGGCTAATTTATATCTTCTCTACAGTGCAAAGTCAAACAATATTTTTTAGCACGTGACGATTTCTTCCCTGCCGTTATATATATATATATATATATATATAGCTATTAATTGTTTTTGAAAAAGCTGACATTCAATAATAAATATTGTCTTTATTTTTGAACATTTTAATTTTAAAATTATAATAATGCATAATGCATGTGAAATTTTAGTCATGGATTTTTATTACAAGACAAAATGAAATTATGGTTTCGTTATGTAAAAATAAAAAGGGGTAAAAGAAAAAACTTTGGTGTTGCCGTCGAAATAAAAGCGGGCCTTAATAATCGTTCGCCCTCCATGTCGTGCACGTTCTTTTGTGATCTCTATCCGTAAGTTTAAAACTCTCTAGCAAAGCAAGTCGTTTTAGTGCCAAAAAAGAAGCAAAGTTTCCTTTCCTTCTTTTCATATTTAGTAAACAATATTTTTCCGTGATCGAGTTCGTCTCCGAAGCAAAAGAGGATTGAGAATGTCCGCTGCTGCAGCTCCTCATCCTGATGCTCCTGCAGCTTCTCCTTCTTCGCCTTCTCCTTCTTCTGTATCTGAATCGAAGGAAGAAGCGGTGAAAGATGAACAGAATCAAGAACAAGAAAAGCAAGAAGATATTAAAGAGTGCATGCACAAGACTAAGACAATCCAGTTCTTAGGTCGTACCACCCCTATCATTCTCCAAAACGACAATGGACCTTGCCCTCTCCTCGCCATCTGTAACTCCTCTCTTTCCATTTCTAGGGTTTTAAATTCCATTTCTTTTCATTATTAGTTATCTTTATGTTGTTTGTCAGAAAATTCCGGATTGAAAATTCTTTAGTTTATTGAATTTAATGTCTGGTTTAGGTCTTAGGTTTCTAATGTTAGTTAAAGGAAGTTGGAGGATTTTGATTCAATTTTCGATTGATTGTTTTCTGGACCGATGTGGAATCGATTTCGTTGGACAATTCAAATGTTTGATTATGCTTAGGGTTTATTTTTTTAATTCTTTATTGTTCTTTCTGTGGCTAGTGAACGACCTTAGGCTGAGAACGAAAGAAGAAAAAAAATTAGAAATGAAGTTTTTTGTCAATAAATTGAATTAGGAACATGATCATATTTCTAATTGGTCAATTTATCGTATTGTTTATATGGAGACTAGGATTGCAGATAATTAACTTTTGACACCGAACATTTTTTGGGGGCTGTGACAGGTAATATTCTCCTTTTAAGGAACAATTTGAACCTGAGTCCTGAAATAGCCGAAGTTTCGCAGGAGAAATTGCTTTCACTGGTGGCCGAGCGCCTCATTGATTCCAACAGTAATGTCAATGTAATTTCTTTCCTTCTTTATGCTTGGGTCGTTTGCTTGTTGCTGATATAGTAGGATGATACTGATGAATCCTTTTGGCATGTAGAATAAAGATGCAGGATATGTTGAGAATCAACAGCAGAATATTGCGGATGCCATTGATTTACTCCCACGTCTTGCAACCGGGATTGATGTAAATATAAAATTCAGGAGGTTAGCTTTTTCCTTTCTTTCTCTCTTTAATTTTCTCCTACAAGTCCCCTCTTTCTGCAATCCTTGTTGAATTATGTGTTTGACTTGCAGAATAGATGATTTTGAGTTCACTCCTGAGTGTGCCATATTTGACCTGCTTGATATTCCCCTTTATCATGGTTGGATTGTTGATCCTCAGGTATGTTGTTTTCCAACCACATATAACTCACATACTAGTATTTATAAGCTGATCTAAATTGTGTATTTTACGTGCTGTTATTGCCTTGGTCAGTTGCATGATTGTCATATGCATCTTCTGTGGTGCAGTGAGGTACACATCATGTCATCTCATTAGTCCTGTCTAGCTCCTTATGTAACCCACAAAAGCCTGTTATGTGCCTACTGCTGTTTTTCCTTATTTCAGTTAAATAAGTTTCTCAGTATGCTTGCTTGCCTTGAAGTACTGGCAATGAACTAAGATCATTTCCTTCTCACTGAGAGATTATGTGCCTTTTGCGCATTTTGATCTTATCACAGTATGAACTGAAAATTAAAAAAAGAAAAAAAATCCTTTAGGCTTTGTAGTAACAGCCCTAGAAGTGCATTTTTGATGAAACTTAAAAGCTCTAAATTTGATTGAATAAAAAAATGTAGCTTAGGCAAAGGAACATCTGCTGGTGTGCAGTAAAGCATATTCATTTCTATGTACTGTTCAAAAATTGGGGCTGCAATAGTTGAAGCAATGTGCTGAAGAGTGTATAGTTTCTTGCATAATCTTGACTATTTTTCCTGGTTGCATGGTGTGTAACTTCCAACTTTTTAGATGATTAAGGGCTGACAAAGTAAACTATAGATGCAGCGTTCAAGACAAACACAACTAACCCTTAGACAAGAAAACTTTGTTTTCAATTGTCTTGGCAGCTTACCTCCTTGAGATGACACACCAAGGTAGTTGGGCTCTTCTGACATTAATGGACTGATTTGTGCTACATGGTTAACAAGGGTGCATGCCGGGTATATGATCGCAGATCAATTCAAGTTGTACTCTGTAGCTTGTTTGGCTAGACATTCGTTTTACAATTTAAGTTGCATTGGACTTTAGATTTTATCATGTATCAAATTTCTAATGTTTGAGATAGAACTAGTCCCTGTATCGGATGTCTATGGTTTATTGTCTAATGATTATGGCTTCAACAACCAGTGCTGTTTGGTTGAAAATGTGGTTGGGAGGATTTTTGGAATTTGAGTAATATCAGATTTTGAGATGAATTTATTTGGAACATGATTGCATGGGGACCATCAGCTTACTTTTTTGGTAGAATTTTTAAGGCAATAAATCAGAAAAGTAATGTTAAATTCATAGGAAACAAATTTTATGTTTCTACTTTGAATTGAACTCAATATGGTTACTTTTTTTTGTTTTTTTGTTCGAGATTGCTGGTCAATCTCTGCAATATCTGATGATGCCTGCTAGGTTTTTAATCATTTGATGCTCATTTATAATCGGATCATATTGCTTACTTTCCAGGATTATTACATTAAATTTGATTTGTACTATACACTTTATTTCTAATTAGTGTTTATATTACTAGGGTTCAGTTATTTTTCTAAGACTTCCATTCCTGCATGGTTTTATGTTTCAGGTGTACAAGGCTTGATCTTGTACATCATGATATTAGTTTAATCACATATCCCTTAAACATATGAATTGGGCCAGGATTTGATTGTTTATTCTCACGGTGCACATGTACCAGGACTACGAAACTGCTAGTGCCATTGGGTCAAAATCATATAATGCAATTATGGGAGAGCTTGTGGCATTGGAAACACGAAATATGGAGGTTTCACGTAAACATAATTCTGAAGATTGTGTGGATTTTGCTGCTGCAACAACGGCCACTCTAGGAGTTCCGTCTCCTAGCCTGTCAAAAACCAGATCTTTTGATGACTCTCCTCGTTCTGCATCTGATCAGCAAAGATTAAGAAAAGGAGATCTTGAGGAGGAAGCAGAGTTGTTGAGAGCCTTGAAATTATCAGAGGCTGAGTTGCCAACCTCAGTTGGTGATCCTGGCAGTTTAGATGAAAGATCATGTTTAAAGAACCTTGTTTCAGTAGACTCTGTAGATACACCAGAGGGGGACAAAGGTGTTGAAGATCAAAACTTGCATCCGCATGAACCATCCTTTTCTGCTAATTGCAATGCCTTGAGCAATGATAGTGGTAGTAAGACATTTTTTGAGACCATCACAAGGGAAGTGTCCTCAAAGACTGATGGGGTTAATCAGAATCAATCATCGTATGTTATATCTGGAGAACTTACCCTTTCTAATGACGCGGTTGAGAAGAGTGGTGTTGAGACTATGGTTGTTAAGGGGAGTAGTGCTGATGAATTAATCCAGATTGAAGGTGCGGTTCCTGTTTCTCTGGCAAAGGGTACTGCATGTATAGATAGAAACAACACTGAAATTTCCCCAGGGGGTGAAAAGATTGAGACTCAATCCACTTCTGCAACTGATGCTCAAAAAATTCCAGATAATGTGAATGGATGTGACATGACAGAAGTATCATCCGTGTCTATACAAAATGCCGATTCTGATTCATCTAGTGGAAGAATGCATCATGCTGATGTGCCAGAAGCTTTTACTTCTAGTCTTGATGGAAGTGAACCTATATATGAAGGAGAAGAATGCATATTAGATTCAGTAACAACAACATATGAGGACCGGGAGCCTATATATGAAGGTGAGGTGATTCTTGCAGAACAAGCTGACAAAAAAGCTGTAGAGGGCTGCAATGTGAGGTCTAAGGATGAAATTACTCCACAACAAGGTTAGTGGTGGACCTTATAGAAAATGCAAACCTATATCCTTGTAGAGTGTGTACATCTTTTTTCAATTAATTTGAGCTCCTCCTTTTGTTGCTTGTTGCTTTCTTAAGAATTGCTATAAAGTAAAAATAATGTATTTTCTTATACATTAAAGTTTAATTTTTAATTTCTAATTCATAAAAAAACTTATTTGCTTTTTTTAACCAAATAAAATTTTATTGTCGTACTATTTTCATGTTTTTATTCAAAGATAACTTACTATTCATTTTCTCAATGTTCCTCAGGGGAACTGATTGCAAACTTCTTGAAGAACAACGCCAGTCAATTGACCTTTTATGGGTATGTTGAGTAGCTGCTTAGATGTTTAAAGAATCTTCCTTCTCAAGTCTATTACGTCTTTATTTATATGGTATGATGAAGCTTGTCGTTTAGTGACTATTTATATATTTTGCAGGCTTTTTTGCTTACAAGATGGTCTTAAAGAACGTGAGCTTTGTGTTTTCTTTCGTAATAATCATTTCAGCACCATGTTTAAGGTTAGGAGCTGGAAGCACTTCTTTCTGTGAAGTATTGCTGTGGCTGTCTATGAACTGCCAATTATGCTTGTAACAGTTGAACAACTTGACTAAATTAATAAGCTGATATGTGAACCAGGTTTCTTTGCTTTGTCAACTTTTAGTTATCATGTGATTTATTGAATCTCATTTTATTTGCAGTATGACGGTGAACTCTATCTACTAGCTACTGACCAAGGCTATCTAAATCAGCCTGATTTGGTTTGGGAGAAACTAAATGAGGTAAAATTGTTACCTACCAATCTTCTTAACCCAGGATCACTTTTTTGAGTTTTGGGTGTCATTTATTATTGTAGTCAAAATTAGTTAGGTGGATTGTTTACATTGTTGTTAATTTATAGTCTCAAAGTATATTGTAGTCACAAAGAAAGATTTTTAGCCAGTAGTGCAGTGGCCTCTGCATCGTGGGGCTATCACGAAGTATGTCGTGCTGTTTAACTGGGATGTTACAAGTGTCTTACTTTAGCATTATGAAATGATGGAAAATATCTCTTACTGAGGAAACAAAAATCTATGCCTGCCAATGGTTTTAGTATTGGAGGCTCTAGCTATAGCTGCGGGTGTTCCTGTTTGTTGATGTAACAACTATGATTATGAATGAGGGGCAGAATATCACTCCTGAAATATTGTGCTTTGAAGGAAAACTGGATCTTTCTCCATACTTTGCCTTGAAAAAAGTTCTTAAGCTAAACCACTGTGCTTAAATGGCAAAAAAATAAAAAATGGCTTCTGAGACATATTTTTTCTTATGTGATCCATAATACTAGTACCTTTTAAATGTTCTTCAGTTGGTGATAAGTTTTTATCCTATTATTTCCTTTGTTCATTGTTTTTGGCCCTTCCAGTGTCCTAATAAAATAAAATAAAAATTGAAAAGTGAGAGAAAAATGTTGCTAAAATCTTAAAATTTTAAATTTGAACCTTCTAACTGTTGCGAACCTATGATCTTCCTGTTATTGGTTCTTTTCTGAAGTTTGGTATCCAAAATTTAACTCACTATGCTTTCAGGTCAATGGAGACACGCTGTTTATGACTGGTAACTTCAAGGAATTCAAGGTTGATAGTCATGCCAGTGGCACTTGGGATGAACAAAATGCGATGGCTAGTACTGCTGTATGTGTTTCCTTTTGGGAAGAAACTTTTGACTGTTGGTATGAATGACTTTAATGAAACTTACATAAGATTTTCATGACACAGGACTACATTGCCAGCATTGATAGTGCAGCTCAAGCAGGATTGGACATAACGTAATTATCTGAGCTCTTGTTTATGTGTATTAGTATTAATTTGTTATAGGATAACTTCTCTTGATGTTAATACTGCCTAACTGAATCTCAACAACTGCTTAATTCTTGGAAGCCATTATTCTGTGGTTTTAAGACATTCATTAGATAATATTTCTGAAATATTGCTGTATTTTTTATAATTAATATTGGAAAAGTGATCAAGTTAAAATATTTTTTTCAAATCTTTCTTGAATGAATTAAAATTTTCTATATCTTTTTTAAATGGTTCTTCATTATGCTCAGGTATGACAATTTTTATTAACTGTATGGTATTATTATCACAGCTCTGATTTACAACTTGCAATAGCTCTACAGCAACAAGAGTTTGAACAACAGCCGCAGCGTCAGAATGTGCAGCAGCCACCCGTTGTAGGAGCTTCAAGATTAGTAACAGGTCCCCAGGTATTTTGCTCCCTCTTCCATCTAGACATTCTGAATAACTGTCATCTTATCGACTGATCACTGATTCTTGAATCTTACATCGGGGTGTGTGCACTTATTTGTGGTGTGATAGGCTTTCTTTTCCCAAACTCAGCTGGTCTTTCTTGGGTTTTTAGCGACATGGTAAACTATTGTTGTAAAATATACTTTGTTTAGTAAGGGAGCTATTTAAATGGAAGAGTTATGCCTTGCAAAGATGGGGCTATGAAGTAGGTACTTTTTATCATAACTTCAGTAGCAGTGTGGAATGATAAGAAGAGACTATTCTATTAGAAATTTTTGTGATAAGATCTAAAACCGTCTGCAAATGTTTGAGATTAGATTGGTCTTTCCATTAGTACCTAAATGCAGTCATGAATTAGACTGTGTGTTGATGATCTACAGGCTGCCCGAAAGATTATTAGTTGGTGTGACTTTAATAAGCTTGTTATTACTGATCTGACAAGCACTCTAGCACGAACAACCATGATTAGTAATCTATAAGTATAATTATAAGCCACTCATGCTGTTAGACATCTTGACTTCAATTTATAGATGGACTCTGTATGCCTTGTGTTGCAGAACAGTAATTCTAAATGTCGAAAGTGGCATTATGCAGGTGCCAAGAAACAGTGGAAGGAACTCTTCATCTTCATCATCAAAGCAAGATGCAAAATCAAAAGACAAGTGTATCGTGATGTGAGTTCTCGCCATCAATGCATTTGGGAGGTCTCTTATTGTAAATGGTTTGTCTGTCTTGGTCCCATTGTATTTCGACACTAATAAAACCCTTGATTAACCATGCATGGCATTTTAGATCCAAGGTTTTGACTGTAAAAAAGAAAAAGAAGGAAGTATATACCGCAATAGCACTTCAATCTATTCAAAGCCTACAATCAATCTATCGTCCATGCTAGCAGCGTACTCTTCAACAATTTTTATGTTATTTTAAGCATCCACGTTTCTCGGAAATTGCAAATTTTGTGGTCCCAATCATAAGCAAGTTCAGCGTGACCCGTGGGAAACTTGAACGCACCTCACCTCACCTCGATCATGGAAGCGTAGCCCAGAGTGGAAAAAGTCATGGTGGGAACATTGTTATCAACGCAGCAGCACATTTGGGACAGGGGCGTGATGGTGATGGAGCAGAACAAATTGACTAGAGCAGCATTTGGGGATTCAATTTTTGAAAGAGTCGGTGTATGGCGTAGGGTTTGTTCTCTCTGGTCAATTCTCGATGCCTTCAACATCAATTGCTTCTTGTAGTGTCAGCGTCGACCAAGGTTTGGGCCTTATCTTTAAGTGACATGTCACTGGAGTAACCAGAATCTATAACCACTTGGCATCCGGTAATAAATGTACGTGTTCAATTTCTTAGTCACTTTGTTTTTTTTCTCTAATCCTTTCTTATCACTAAACCTTGAAAAGTTTTACCTTCTCGCACTGGGGAGTTGAAACATGTCGCAATATATCAATCAATTCATAAAAATCTTTGATCCAGTGGCATTTGCGCGTTGGATGTTGGATAAATCAAAGATTTACTTTAACAAATAAATTATAAACGTGGCATTCAATTTTGGAACATCATAGGTTGAGAGCAAAGGCAGTGCTCTGGGTATGAAAAGCAAGCAATTTTCTTTTGTCCAAATGCAACCGAAACCACGACAAAAGTTTTTATCGTTGGGGATTTTGTTGCACCTTCAATCACAACACTTTCTTCTCATGCGTTCGCAATACCAAAAACCTTTGAAATTTGTACCGCGGAAGTTGGAAAATTGGGGATTCGTCACTTAATACTGCTCCGATTATAAATAAATAATTAAAGCCAAACGATAGACCTTGTAACATAAAATTGTACAATGCAGCCAACCAATTTTTTTTATTTTTTAAATAAATAAAAATAAAAAGAACCAACCAATCTAATTTCTTTCAGGACCCACAAAGCTCATAGCCAACAACAATAGGCTGAGACCGTAACATACAGATTCCGACTAAGCACCGACAACCTGCCCCTTTTCTTCCTTCAGCATCTGCCAATGATTTGATATTTTTCCTTTACTTCCAAATTACAAAAAAAAAAAAAACCTACACAAACAAACCTTTCAAAAGCTCCTAGTAATCTAATCGGGTGTGGTCGTAAAACTTTTTTACATGATGAATAAACAGTAATTAATAATCTAATGTTCTCTAAGAACAAATGTTAGTAGGCATTAGTTATTACTAGACGATTCTAGACACTAAACAATGCCAGAAAACTAGATAATTAGACCGAATTGTATTATTGTTCTTTTTAATTGGGTAGTTGGGTAACGCTAATTTTTATAATATCAATGTTTATAATTTGTGGGTTGTCCTCAAAATCATGATTATTGACTTTGTAGAGGAGGTGTGAACTTTGTGAGGTTAGAGAAGAATGCGAGAAAAGAAGAACGAATAGGAAAAGAAAAGGAAAAACAGATGGAAAGGATATATTGTGGGGTTGATGATTTTGACAACACCCACATCCATCCAAAATCCAAATCGCATACGTATATGTAATATTGGTAATTAGATAGTATTCATATATGTATCAAGTTTATTTTATTTTATTTTATTTTTTTAAATAAAAGGTATTGAGGATATTTTAGTGATGAGAATTGGGAAGGAGGGACCACTGTTTTTGTGGGAGTTGTTTTATTAGTAGGTATAAATGAGTTAAAGGATACCAAAAAATAAAAAAATGAGGGTGGTCCCTTGACGCTGAGGGTGTCGCAATCTTAGGTTTGGGAATAGGACAAAGCTACAGCTGTGACGCTGACCCCACTTCTACTTCCACCACCTCCAACGCCGATGCTGCACTTTTCTTTTCTGTTTTTTCTTGGGAATTACGTCATTAACCTTCCAACTCTTTCTCCTTCTTTTCTCTTCATTTCTTTTCTTCCCCTTAATTTCTTGTTTGTGGTAACAAAGTTTATAGTAATTCAATTTGATCCAATTAGAGATTTGTAGACTTAAATTTTATCATAAAGATTCATAAAACTTTTATAAATTAATACTTTTGAGATCAAGCAAATTTATTAAGATATTTTTTATTTTCTTTTAAATATTAAACTTAATATATGCATTGTGTTATAATTATGCGAATCTTATCTAATTATTGAATTATTAATTATCATTATTAGTGATAAGTAAATTATTAAAAATGTCATGAAAAATGACAAATAAGATGAAGTTTCAAATGATAAATGCATTCAAAGCAAAAATCACATTACATAATTTTCTTTTACAATACAAAAACACTATATCAGAACTTCTTAATTCATTATGAAAAATTAAAAAAGAGATCTAATGAGACATCAATTTTAAAATGAAAAAACAATATTTGAGTCATATTTTACATAGGTCTCTCATATATAATTTTGATATATAAAGAGATTATTAATTTATATATCAAGTAAGACTTATATATATTTTTAAATATATTATCTTATAAATTTAACAAATTATTAATATATCATGTTGGTATCAAATCAAAACCGATCAAAAATATTATTTAATAAAAATGATTAATTTATAAATATTTTACTATAACTTTCAATATTTTTTTAACTATATTATTTATAATAATATTTGATATTAAATTCAATAATTGACTATTTGCAAAATATTTTTTTATCGTCTTTCCATCATATCAAAGTTTCACTCATGAATCAGATTTTCCGAGCATTAGATGCTTTAAAACTTCTCAAGTTTTTGACCTTTTTGCTTGACATGTAAATATTGTCATAGTCCTTATCATATCAATTGTCTAATTCACATACTTAATTGCAAGTCATGTTTTCTGAAAAAATCATATTACATGACTAGAAATTCCGTTTTTAAGTTCTCGCCATCCATCCTTGACCCCAAAATAAATATATCATTATAACTTCAACTTTTAAATATATTTAATTTAAATTTAATTAATTTTTATTTCTTAAAGATATTTGAATATTTGATTCATTAATTAGTATATAATTTTTTTTAAAAAAATAAAATTCAATTCTCATGTTCTTAATTTTAAAAAAAAACTTGTATTTTTAAGAGAAAGAGAAAAAAAGAAATTTCTTATAACTTCTAATTTTTCTGTCATTGTAAAAATCTATGTATATATATATATATATATATATTCATATTTAGCGTTATTCATAACCATTTTGTCTCATCAATTTTTGAAGCACATGTGAAAGCTCCCAGAAGTTAGATTCTGCACGAAAGATATATAATCATATCTCATCATATCTAATTTTAATTTAATCTTTTTAATTGAAGTCTAATTTTTAAGAACAGTTGCTCCTAACTCTTTGATCATTACTTATTGTACTTTGGTTTTAAGCTTTTCTCAAGAAAGTTGAGAATTATGAAATAAAATAATTAATTAAATCAATTGTGTACATCCCATTTGCAGAGTTTCTATAAATGGGACATTACTTGTGAGGTGTGAAACCTGCATAAGAATATAAAACCAATAATAAGAAGGGGAAAAGGAAAATCGCTTCCTTGCATTCAACGCAAACATTTCCACCAAAAGCAGAAGGGGGGCGAACCCAAGGAAGCC